TGCATACCCGTCCTTGAACGGTGGTTCATGACTAAACCCCATTGAAGCCCATAGAAAACCATCATCAACCTATATTTTCTTTGCAGAGTCGCAATTCCTGTTCCATACCAGGATGCCAGCACCCTGCAGTCCGCGATATCTCTGGCCCTCCCTGGTATGGAAATGGCACTTGCCCTGTTATCGGTTGCCTGGTGAGGAAGGCCGCATCGCAGTCCGCGAAGAAGGGGCTCTTGCGAAGCTTCTCCTTGGTCTCACTGTGGCCAAGACGCAGTGATGGCGGACGAGCTCCCATTTTCGGTTCAAAGGTGATTGGGCCAACGTTGCTTAATCAATAAATGGTACCTTTGTTGATTCGGTTTTTCCCCATATTTGTAAAGTACACATGTGCGCCGCGCCATTATACACCTATTTTCATCGGCGGACTCTTTGCCGATCACCAGGCTGGATACACAACTGTGAACACTTTACATGTCAAGTAAAAATATCAGTAGTGAACTTCAAACAACGCCGCAACCCAAAGGAACTAACAGAAATCTGAAAAGGCGCAAAAAGAACGAAGGCTTGATCTGATTTCTCACAATATCGTGCAGGAACAGATCCATGTAAAGCAGCTACCGAAATTTCCAATCTTGTGAATCGTAAAAAATCTTGTGAATCTAGCTGTGCCACCATATGATATGGGTCTGTCCAGAAATCCTGACGGCCCCAAAGTAACGTTTCAATTGGGATAGCCTCCGTTGAAGGGTTATCTTGGGGTATTCCTGACTTTCAACCAAACCCATTTTACAGCATTGTTGATGCGCTTTTTGATATTCCATTTGCCCCACCATTTTTGGTTCATTTTGCCGTTGGAAAATGCTCTACCATTTTTGAAACGCACCCAAGTGGTTTGAACCCCCTTCGTCTCAGAGCGAATCATCATGTTCATAATAAAACCGTCATTCTTAATCTATGGGAAAACCAACTCCTTTGAAACCGCCAACCCGTTTTTCCGTTGGCCAACTCCCCCTGTAAAATCCATCCCAAGCGTCATGGCTTAAAGTCCCGGCTGTGACGGATGTAGAGGCCAGAAAGCGCGACATGGCTCAAGCCAACTCAAGCTGAAGGTGTTGTGGAAAGATACCTTGAACAAAGAATCTTGAGACATATCTGGAATGAATCCATGATGGTTTCAAGCAGCCCAAACTGTAGCTAACATCCTTCGTTGACAACGCAAAAGCAATGGGCGGTGTGCAAACAAATCATTGGTCTCTGAAGAAGATTTTGTAGATATGAAGAACTGTTGTGTTGGTGTCCCCGTCGTAAAGAAACGGCTGTCCCTTGACACCCCAATGGACAGTTTTTTCCTTTTTGGCACCGCTTTTTTTGAAGACATGAAACTCCTCCAGTGATGGCTGAAAATAGAGTCAAATAGACTGCTTCACCAGCCCGCTTAGTAGGAGTGAAATGGAATACCTCAATCATCAAACTGCATGTGCCTGGACAGAATCCAATCTACTAGAAGGAGGCAGGCAACGGAGAACAGTTGCCTGCAAAAAAGAGCCAAAACGGCTTCACAAAACTCAGGGAATGCCTCTGGTACTCCAATCTGGCTGGAGAATCGCCGATCAAGGTAGATATATATTGGTTGCACATGCTTGCTTATATCCGGGTCGTTCAGGATAAACTAAAATATTTTTGCAAGCTTTTTTGCAATGATTTCGGCGCCGGTGTGGCGTGTTTTGAACTACAAAAAACACTTGTCTGCCAACGGGCAAAATCTTCAAATGTCCCTGCAACCAAAGGATGGTGGACAAGGTACCCCTAGCAAAAAAACTTCGGGACTGACCTTGCAATCCCCATTGACCAGCAGATGTACATGCCCAAATGAGCTATTCATACTCAATGAATATTCAAGCCAAACCAGAATTTTCTTCTAACCTGGAGATAAGGCGGTTTTGGACTGACTGTCCACGGCAGGGTTGTTGAGAGCTCGCTATAGTTTACCCTGAATGTTATTGGTTGTTCCTTCGACCATCCCCAATGGCCCATACCTTCAAGGCCTTGCTGTGTGAATCAGGATTGTCATGCATCAACCTCATGATCCATGACAAATCAACCTTTCTTTGGGCATTAAGCCCCCAGTATCCCCCAATCTGGTAGACAAATCCCCTCCGCTTCCTTTTGGTGACTTTTGTGTTCTAGTCCTGCTAAATTTTGGATAACACAGGTTGCAATGAATCCCAGGCTTGAATTTCCTAAATGGTTTGCCATTCATAGAGCATAGTAGTTGGTGGTCGCTGAAAATTTTAAAAAATGTATATATATATATATAATCCCCCTTGCAATTCAGTGTGAAGGTCGCACCCCCTGATTCTGTAAGTACTAAGCTGGGGCCTGACCCTCAGACAGGGGTATCCATCATTACAAAATCAAAGGTACCAGACCTTTCCAAGCATGGTTATCATTACAAAATCAAGACTGAACATGTATTTTTACAGAGCAGTTAACCCCCTAATTCAAGGCAAAAATTTTAAAATCATATCAAAATCATAAAATTTGGTACCAAAAACACCCTTTGATTTTGTAATGGGCCTGATTTTATAAGGATTCAGGTCTGGTCCCTTGATTTTGTAACATGATCTTTCCCCCTATACCCCCAGGGCTTGATTTCAAAATGTGCCATGTTTTTATAAGGTTTAGAGTATATTTTGTCAAAACGGCGAGTATCAACACCCATGTTGTGGATATGGAACATTTATATATTCAAAATATTTCAAAATTACTCAAATATAATACAACATAAAATCACCTTATAAAATCAAACCTTACCATGGAAACAAATTAGAAACATATGGATACTTACAAAATCAACCCCAAAGTTGTGTAAAATTGGCTCAAAAATCTCTCCAAAATTTGTAAAAATGGGACCATTTTGGCACCCCCCCAAGGGGGTCCGGTACCCTTACAAAATCAAGACCATCCATCTTGCCATATGTCCACCTATCTTCCATAATGATGTTATACCCTTCATCCTTAGGGGTTAGGATATGATTTTGTAAGGTGGGTTCCTTACAAAATCAAAGGTGAAAAACCCTATGGACTGGGGGTCCGACCCCCATGATATTGTAAGGGAAATTGCAAGGGGGATTATATATATATTGATTGTGGCACACAGATTTTCATGCGGCCGGTAGTGGCCGTGGTCAAGACTGGACACAAAAACTTCAAATCATTAACACCGACAGCAAATACTTGGGGTGCATTTTGAACAAACCTTCCAAGGAACAACTGCTACAGTGGCGGTGGTCACCGGAATGGGCCTCCCAGCTGCAAACCGCTTCATGACCCACTGACCAGGGCTATTAACTAATCACTTGCGGATGAAGAAACATGCAATAAACCACCGACTGAAACCACAATCTGCGGGGGCGTTCTTTCATTTTGGGACCGGTGTGCGCGGAAACGCATCACATCAGCCGTTCCGCGGTCGTGCCTGACTGCTGCGGCGGTGGGGCACAAGGATTACGCATTGGTTTCTCACGGGGAAGGCATCCCAAAGGCAACAATAAAGCATCTGTTGGGAGAAGAGACAGGTAAGATTGGTACGTTTTCCCATTGGTTGTTCAAGAGCACCTAAAAAAACATATAAGTCAGTTGACAAGAAAAAGAGAACCTTTGGGCTCACCCATTTTGCAAAAGGCTAGCTGGAGCTAATGCGCGCACACCTTGCAAAAGAAAGGCAACCTTAATATACAAGGCCCAAAATCAGTGCATCCATTGATCAAGCCATTAAACCTGCATTGGCTCAGCCTCATCTGCCAATCGAAATCAGGATAGAGAAAAATTCTCCACAGAGTATTGGGGAACCTCTCTTCTATCTCGGCCAAGATGATGATGATGATGCTGCTGCTGCTGGTGGTGGTGGTGGTGGTGGTGGCGGCGCCTCTGCTGCTGCTGCTGCTGCTGGTGGTTGTGGTGCTGGTGGTGGTGGTGGTGGTGGTGGTGCCGGTGGTGGTGCTGGTGCTGGTGCTGGTGCAGGTGATGGTGGTAATGACAGAGATGATGATTGATGACTGATGATTGAGGATTCATGACTGATGACCTACGATTGATGACTGATGATTGCTGATTGATGACAGATGATTGATAATTGCTGGCTGATGATGGTGGTTGACAATTGATGATTGATGATTAACAACTGATGAATGATGATTGATGGTTGAGGACTGATGTCTGATGACTGATGATTGACGATTAATGACTGATGATTTATGGTTGACGACTGATGGCGGATGATTGATGATGGATGATTGATGACTGATGAAAGCTGATTGATGATTGTTGACTGATGACTGATGATTGGTATCCCAGTTCCACCGGCAATTCGTTACCATCAATTTTGTAAATTCAAATCGTGAACCCATGAAGGGATGTTCACCTGGCCAAACATTGCAAGGTACGTGATTGAGCCACCTGGACGCAAAAAAACTTAGGTGCTCATCATCTCATCTTTAGGGCTGGAAAACCACCTCCGCTATTACTGGCAGCTATGTCCAGTTTTTGATTGCTAACGTGCTCCTTTCTGCTGATTGATTCAAGAAAATTGCTTCCGAATTATTTGCTTTGACAAACACGATGTGAACAGTTTCAATCCCATGGCTTTTGATTGGGACCTGTATTCTCCATTTCGAAAGGAATTATTTGCAATGAGCCCCTCAAAGTCACATGGCTCCTGGTGCTCTCCAAAAATGGTGACCATCCAGCATTCAGCAAGGGTTGGAAACAATTCAACACATGATTCAAAAAGCAAACCCCCAGTGGAATGATCAGCTTATATCCTTCTGCCAGGATATTCCCCCCGAAAACACGATTGACTGTAATGCACAGTAGATATACTCCATTGAATTGTGTGCCTGGTCACTCAAAGGCTTTTCAACAGGTCTGGTTGACCACTGCTGTCATCATGGCACCCGTTGACAGCACATCGCCTTCAGGCAAGAGACGTCACATGCTCGCTGTCAGCTACGCCCAGGGTGGTATACGATTTCCTCTTCATACTCATAGCCCACCTGTTGATGGCAATGTTTTGATCGGAATCTGCTGTTTTGGAATCGCAAATGAAGGGATATAATTACTTGTGTCTCCAAAACTGGGGTAAACCACAAAGACACAGTTTTGCTAGGAACGATGATGACAAACCATGGAATTTTGGGATGCTGGTATCTCATTTAAAACAACACATGGGTGAGAACAATCAGTAGAACCTTTCGCTGTAGCTGATGTCCCTTTGGGTGAATGCAGAATGGTTGGATCGGTGCCGTTTTATGAAACTGCTGGTGATAAGTCGGGCGCTATCTTGGCTTTATCAACCATGTACCGGGAAAAAAGAGGAATGACAGACATGTTACAGTACGATCACGAATGTTGCTTTCAATTTCCTGCCCAAATTCAGACCTATACTTGGGATCAACCTGGGTTTTGACCTAATGGACCCGGGCCAGGTCTTTGAAAGCCATCATCTGCCTGGCCCGGGTCTGCCCCTCTACAAAATACAATGTGTACCGAGGGATTGCCGGTACAAAATGCAAAACCAGGTCAAGTTTTGCCACTACAAAATGCAAATATACACAACATGAATATTCGGTACAAAATTTTCAGGGGATGCTACTTGCTGATCTACTGCTTGCAATTTGCATTTTGTACCGAAACCTACTTCCACCCTTAAAAACATGTACCACTTGTTGCCCCCCATGAGGTTTGCATTTTGTACCGAGCTGTGATTAGCTGTGATTCAGGATGAATCTGACCAATTTACAATATTTCTTGGGCCGTACCTTCTTTTCAATAATTCAAAATGAAATTAAGTGAGGTCATCTGAAAAACGAAATTAGAATTCCAGGATAGAGCTTCACAGGGCCAAATAAATATTGAGCGAACAGGAAACCAACAGCTCCATGGCTTGGTAAACTTTGAAGATTCTGACCTGCTCCAGAGGTGTTTTAAGAAAACAAAAGTGTTGGCAGAATAGGGGACCGTCCGCATTTTGTAGGGGCATCATGCCTGCTTTCTGTTTGTAGATGTTTTTAGGGCCCTTTTTGAACTATGAAGCGCAAAGGGCCACCAGCAACAGCATGGAAACCAGCACAGAAGGGACAGACCCTTGGAGCATCTCGGCACGACTTAAGGTTGATTCACCTGATCTTGAAGTGCATCCAAGACCAGTGTGGGCAGAGCCTCAGGTTCCAGCACCTGTGTCTTGCCTGCATTTCCAAATATGTTGTGGGGAGTGGGCAGTGATGCTGCAGACATGGGAGCAGTTGAAGATTAATATTTTTTGATATCATCATATCTTTGAAGCCTTTGGTAGATGCCAAAATCATTCAAAAGCCAGGAACCTTAATCTGGGCCCAAAAGTTAACAGAAGGACGCCGTTATAGAAGGAAATTAAACAAGAAACAAAACCTTTTCAACATGCGCATTTTTGTGAGATTTCTTGTGTCCGGTAGGGTGGCCAATTGAGGGCAGGGGTGAAGCCTTACAAATGTCATTTTATAGGGTCCAAGGCATGGTGAAATGTTTTTGTAGGCAACCAGAACTCTCAGAATTTAAATTTCCTTGGGGCCCTTCTCGACGGGCCAGTGTTTTGCAATCCAAGAAAGCCGACTTTTTGAGCACCTTCTTTTATTGAAATTTCATCTGATTCTAGATGACAACCTCATGTCAGAACCAAAATTGGAGGTCCCCAAAAAGTCGACTTTTTGAGTACCTTCCTTCGTATTAAATTTCATCTGATTCTAGGTGACAACCTCATGTCAGAACCAAAATTGGAGGTCCCCAAAAAGTCGACTTTTTGAGTACCTTCTTTCGTTTTAAATTTCATCTGATTCTAGGTGACAACCTCATGTCAGAACCAAAATTGGAGGTCCCCAAAAAGTCGACTTTTTGAGTACCTTTTTTTTTTTGAAATTTCATCTGTTGTTTTGCTACTCCGGAAGGGACAACCTGACAACATTGGAAGAAAGAGAGAGAGAGAGAGAGAGAGAGAAAGAGAGAGAGAGAGAGAGAATGAGAATGGTGGCCAGAAGGCCGTGGGCGCTGTGGAGACTGAAGCTTCTGCTGCCCAAGTGGCTTGGTATGGTGGTCGGTGGGCTTTTTGGAACCCTGGAGACTTTCAGACATTTTGGATCATTTTGGACATAGCGCCCAAAATAGAATTAATTTTTCCTTCGGTCATTGACGAACTTCCCAATGATTTTAGGTGGTTCTATTTTTTTTTAAGCCTCCAGTGTCAGATGGAGTCACATATGAATTCATATCATCTCATATCATCTCATATCATCATATCTTTGAAGCCTTTGGTAGATGCCAAAATCATCCAAAAGCCAGGAAGCCAGGAGGAATCTGAATTTGGGCCCAAAAGTTAGCAGAATGACACCGTTATATAAGGAAATTGAACAAGAAACAAAATCTTTTCAAAATGCTCATTTTTGTGAGATTTCTTGTGTCCGGCAGGGTGGCCAATTCAGGGCAGGGGTGAAGTCTTACAAATGTCATTTTATAGGGTCCAAGGCATGATGAAGTGTTTTTGTAGGCAATCAGAACTCTCAGAATTTGAATTTCCTTGGGGCCCCTTCTCGATGGGCCAGCGTTTGCAACACAAGGAGCCTGAGAATGGTGGCCAGAAGGCGGTGGACGCTGTGGAGACTGAAGCTTCTGCTGCCCAAGTGGCTTGGTATGGTGGTCGGTGGGTTTTCTGGAACCCTGGAGAGGTTCAGGCATTTTGGATATAGCAATATTTTCCTGGGTCGGAATTTTGTGTTTGTTACCCTACTCAGCGAATACCTCGGGAACTTCTGTTTTCATGACTGCACACAAAAACTAACATGCACAAACTTAGTCCATCCGAGGTGCCGGAGGATTTACATCTTTCAGGTTGGACGCTTCAGGAAGTGAAGCTTCTGATTTGGACTGTGGCTTTTTTGTTGGAGCATCTCGGTTTTTGATGCTCAAAATGGGACATGTGTCAGGCCTATGGATATCTTTCCCAAGCCTTTGGTAGATGCCAAAATCATCCAAAAGCCAGGAAGCCAGGAATCTGAATCTGGGCCCAAAAGTTAGCAGAATGACACCGTTATATAGGGAAATTGAACAAGAAACAAAACCTTTTCAAAATGCTCATTTTTGTGAGATTTCTTGTGTCCGGCAGGGTGGCCAATTCAGGGCAGGGGTGAAGTCTTACAAATGTCATTTTATAGGATCCAAGGCATGATGAAGTGTTTTTGTAGGCAATCAGAACTCTCAGAATTTGAATTTCCTTGGAGCCCCTTCCCGGCCCTATGCAGCCTAACCGCTGCCCAACTGCCAAAGAAAGCCAAACAGTTTCAAACACTGTGTATCCCACCATGGTCATGATTGTGCTGTGATGCTGCCTGCTTGTGAATGCCATCATACGCTGTCAAAGTTTCCAGAAAAATACACATGAATTTATACAATATTGCATCATCAACGTGATCTCAAGCACTTTGGGAGATGATCAGCCAAATGCTGCTACAAAATGCGGCAACCAGGAGAACAAATGTGCAATGACAGCCCAAAGGTGCCCTACAAAATGCAAAATCCTGAGGTAAGATCTTCCAGAAACTAGAATTTTGGAAACAACATGGAAGCACTACAAAATGCCAAACCAGGTTCATTTTTTTTCATGAAAAAATGGTTTTGGTACAAAATGTATGGCCCAGGAGGACGTTGGCGTATAAAATCTTGGTCCAAACCTGCTTTGTACCAAACCCGGGTTAACGTATTTTGTAGAGGAAATTCAAACCCCGATTACTTGGGCTCAAATCGCCACCGCTACATTGTACATGGGTAAAGACATGGAGCACCACGAAAACCTCATATAAGCCAATCTTTAGTACTACCCCTGGGTAATCTAACCTGGTAATTGAAAAGCGTCACAATCATATACACATATATATAATATTATATATATTTTTTGAAATAGTAGACGCTTATTTTTTGCATTCAACATCAGGGTTCTCTGTTGCTACGATTGTTAACTGATGGCCCAAAGGGTCATAAAAACAACTTTGATTGATTAATAATATTGAGCCAAAGACATGTGTCCAATCTTGAGCACCCTGCATGCAACAGCTAATTTTCACCTGGGCACATGAGCCCATGAAACAAGTTTGCCAAGGTTTGCCCATGAATGGGATAGCACAAAGAGTCCAATGGTTGATGATCACATTCCCGGTCACGTGTGTCCAGACAACCAGTGCATCAGGGTATTAACCTGCGCACATTACTACATTTCACAAAGCTCCACAATAACATGTTTGACGTGATTCTCCTTACCCATCAGCATATTTGAGATCGGCCCATTGGCCGAGATATTCGCTGGTTAATTCAAGTAAATGCGTCATTTTGTCTCATATCTGGTTGGAGAATTTCCTTTTTGGACTAACCTAGTCAACTAAACCATTGCGCTGAGGTCCTTTGCTAGGAGTCTTCTCAAGGCCCCGGCCTTCTGAGAATCGGGTCCCACATGCCAGAACTCGATCTCTCGGTTATCGCGACGGTCCGGGGACCGCGCAGGACCGCGACCTGCAAAGCGGTGTGAGAAGCCCCAGTCAGATACACCAAACTGGGCCACCATATCCTATGGGGATCATGAAGCAAGGCACATGACTAATTCAAAGTGGAAATGGTCGCCGCAGCTCATCATGATCCGCATCATTCTATGGGATGCTTGACATTGCCATCATGTGAGGGGGCGCACCCAAGCGTTCAGAAACCATAGTTTGACATGGGATATCCCCACTTAAGGGACCGGGTCGACCATGGCTACTATCCTGTTACCAGCTGGGATGATCGACCAAGTATACTGGACATTCTTCGATACCCTATTAAAAAGAGCTAGGTGATGTATTCCTTGATATACGGCCACGGATTGAAGTACTAAACTGCCCAACCCAAGTTTATCCACTCATGGGGGAATGAATCAAGCAAATGACACTACATAATTCCGAAAGTGAACAAGGTCGCCATCGTTGGAATAGTTTGCATTACCAACTGCCATGTCTGGCCAGTGGGGGGGCACTGGTCATTAATCGCGCTTGGACCATCCAACTGAAGTGATGGGATCATGTTTGCATTGTATTGACTTGTGGCTTAAAGCTTGAAGCCGACATTCCCGTGGTTGCAGGGGGTGGGCCAGCTTAGAAACTACTGCTAACTTCAGGATGACCCAATGTCGCAAGATCTTGGATTTCCGGAGGCCTTGGATCATGAATGGCGGGCCCACAGCTAGGCTGGGATACCATCAGACAAGAAGCAGTAGACATCAGAGCGCTCTACATCATGGTGGGGGCAAATGAAGTCATACAGGTACTTCGCAGACAGTTTCCCCAGAGATGGAGATTAAAATCGTTCGATCAAAAATAGGCAGAACTTGGCCCAACCATGTCCAACCAGAAAGCGGACTTGAAAGTACAAACGAATGACATCTTCTTGACCAACAAACAAAGATGATCTTTGACATGAAACTGGAAGTGAAGCAACTAGATCTGGACTGGAGCAAGACAAAATGGGACTGAACTTTGAGAAAACAATCAGGCCCATGGGAAATCCTCATTGTGCAATGCTGGTTGAACCATGTTGAACCAACACAACATGGGATTGACGGATTTACCATTGACTCCAACGACTGGGAGATGTCAGGTCTCCTCCTGATAGCAGGGGGTTCAAGTTTTCAAACTTCCATATGCACCTGCGATTTTCAGGATATGATATAGCTGCGTTGCAGTATGCTTATTAAGGGCATCTCTTCACCAAGCCTGTCTTCTTGGTGACGGGACCCTGAAACAGCTGATTCTTGTCCTCAGGGACGGTATCCCAGTGAATCGCATTGATTCTTCTTTTGGGAGTATGGGTAACCGTTCAAAATCATCAACCTCCGATTGGGTGGGTAAATGCTCAAGATGATATCGTACGTAATTTTCTCTGGGTCCTTGGCGCCGCAATGGCCCGACCCATACCCATGGATATGGATCAATCTCCGAGAACTCAGGGCCTAGAATTTTCGGCGACCTGGATCCGAACTTCTCAATCCCAAATTACAGGAGGTCATTTCACCCCATCACTTGTGCAAAAGATGACATGCCTAGAGGAGCCAACATGTTTCATAGTGCTTGATCCACAAAGGATACCCTGCAAAACCTGAAGCTGGTGGTTTGAACTCTTTCAGCAAACATAAACCAGTTAGGAGAGCCTCAAACCGTTTCCCTTCGCCCATGTTGTGCGACATTCCCCGTCCTGGTCGCTACTGCAGAAAAGGCAGACCATGCAAACCACCATCCCAATCCTCGACAGGGGACAGTGGAAAACGAACTGACTGCATCCCAGTGGTGAGGTGGTCTCTTACCACTGGTGATCGCTGATGATCTTCTGCTGAAATAATTGAACTTCAATGGTGGGATATCAATGGAAAAACCATCTAGTCCCAATAAAGCTGAACATCGGCAGTAGTTCTATATGGGTATAGTCCATGTAATTAGCCTGTTGTGGTTCAAGTTCAAAGCACATCTCCGGCAATCACCCAACAAGGAAACATTTTCCACAGGTAATGTTCCATACTTGCAAGCATATGTAGAACTTCCATTGCCAGGCGAAAAAATATTGAAGGCATCCCTGTGCCGGGGCCACCCACCAACCATCAGTGGTCCACTGGCCCGAGCAAATTTTGTGCACCCGCATCAACCAACTCTATGTGTTCAGATGCTACATCCCAAAACACTGGGGGCCGGGCATTTTTTGCATTCATATTTACTTTTTGCTTTGATACAATCACAAGAACAACTTCGAAGGTCCATTGGTACCCCCAAAGACTTGCTTGACCCATACACAATATACCGCTATAGACTAAAGCTTTACCATCATTTTCCAATCAGGAATGACTTTGGCAGCTTTTGAATTAGGTCACTATTCCAATTTTTTGGTGAATACCCCTTACTGTACTGGTTGCAGGTACAGCCTTATCGTTTTTTTGGTAACACCATGTAAGATTTATGCTGTATATCCTCTCAAATATTCCTGCTCTGAAGGATTCTGCTCCAACTGGGGTAAACCCGGAAATCAACCCCGCATTCTGTTTTGGATTCAAACCCCCAACCTGGTAAAATTTGGCATGGTTTTTGATTGGTTGCGGTCTGTGAGGGGATAGGCGCCAGTCATCCCCAGTCAAGACGGATTTACTCAAGCAGAGTAAAGCCCCCATATGAATAGCAATGACGAACATGGCCCAAATGAACAATTGATTTGCAGTGGTACTGAAATTGAAATTCCATGAAATTCCGGGTTTCCTGGTTCAATAATTACATCATCATCATCACCATCACCATCATCATCATCATCATCATTGAATCAATAAGAATTACCGATGGTGTCTAGGTTTGCACGCAGTTCCCCACAGGTCCACTTAGATCATCCCATCACTCACCCCGTCACTCACCAGTGACTTTTTTGCCAAAGCGGCCCACCACAGACCAGGAAAGCAAAGGTCATAGCCTGGTTCAGCGATAGTGGAATGCCAGGATAACGGGCCGCCAGAAACACCACCACTGTGGGAAGATTGCTTGCCCCTGCTTGATTTGGTTTTTAGTTTGGTCATGATACAGTCTTATATTGTCTCAGGGTCGGTGATACGGTCTTTCTTAGTTGGTTAGTTCGTAGATTCGTTTTCGGCCCGTAACTGGAACGTGCAGAAAAAAGAACATACCTAGCCACAACTGGGATGACTTAACTTGAGTGATGGGATGCATGATGATGGGCAATGACAGTTGGTGGTCCCTCCGGTTTGTATAAATTATGAATCTCGCAAGATTATGGTCTTATTGCAGCATATATCGAAGAAATTTACTTCCAATCTTGCCAGTTCCATTCTCACTAGAATATGGGCCAAGAATTCGAGCGAATCGTTCATTCCAACATCCGTAAGTCCACCATCCAATTTGCGCGCATGACGGCTCTTGAATTCCATTCCCCATTTCATAGCTATTATTAGACACATTCGAAAACACACACAATGGTTCTCAGCTGGAGATCAAGTCATCCTCCATCACTATGGCTATAATATAACCCCAAACCGCTGAGCAAATTCTCCCCAAATGGTTGAAACCAAGAAAACGAAGAAAACCAAACACCTTCCAGGGTTCTCCAAAGGCTGGCGCCTGCGGCGCAGTCAACGCCTTGGAGGTGTGGATCTTGGGTTCTGAACATCGCCTGCAGCAGGAAGTGCTGAACAAAAAGTGACGCAAAAGACTGCTCGTTGCCTCAGGTTGTATCCCATTGCAACTTGCTATAATTCCATTCATCAGGATTGAAAACACACATTACACAGCAATATCTTTTGCTGTGTAATCTAACCTGGCCGCCTGGAAAATTCCAAAGGGGAGTGGCACATATATTTAAAGAAACAACACTTTTTTCATGGGGATTCTCCGCTAAAGGGTGCTATCTCTGAATGGTAGACCGGTAATCGGAACTTCAGGGGTGGGACATTTATTCAATTTGGGCAAGATGTATACAAGATGTGTGTGTGCGTGTACACACACACATATATATATAATCCTATTTTTATATGTGTACAGTACATTAAAAGCAGATGGAGTCCTAAGCCAACGTGCAACTGGGGGCCCTCCCTGTACCCATGCTGCACGCTCATTGCACCCATTAAATCACCCCAATTGAATAGGATAGTATGCATTAAAAACTTCTATTGCGGATAGATATGATATGGCTTGCTTTCGCAAAAACAGCCAACCCAACTCTTGGGAGACAACCAATACACTCACTATTCGACTAGTGCGCGAAATTAGGGTGAACTAGTGTGAACTGACCTCAGGCAGCAGTGGAAAATGATTTGGCATCAATGCGAAACACCTAGACTATTCCTGAAGAGGCACCAAACCAAAAATAACAAAACATACCGTGTAATAGACCCAAAAAAACCATAAATGGTGGATTCCCCACTGAAATAAGCATGGTCTTGAGCAACCTCAAGATTTGCCTTCCAGCAAGAAATCATCCAGTTCCCAGGCACTTGCGCCAGGCAAAGTCGATGGGCTTATGCTGCATCACATAGATGGTCACCTCAGCAGCAGTGGCTGAAACCCAACCAACAATGCCAATCACAGGACCAAAAAAAATGGGTTTAGCCATATAAACAAACGGGTTGAATGAATACTCATCAATGAAAATGTGGATTTCTTGTGCTGCCCCCTGAACATTGTGACTGAAAGCAGGTGTGGGACTGCGGAAGCAATCGGGGATCCTCCCCTGGAGCCTAATAACCAATGATATTTGCGGGAACATGCGGGAACTTGATCGATCTGCATTGATGAGCTGCATGAGGAAATCTTTTTTGGAGGCAAACGTTGACAAAGATCTGCATGAGTAGGTGCAACAAAGGGGAACCATCGCTGGCAATCGGACATGGTGGAATTTCCGCCGGGTTTGTTTCAGGGCAATCCTAAAAAAGGAAACAATGCCAGTAGATTCCCCGCACAGTAGATCTATCAATGGGGCAACCCAAGTCGCCTCGACAAATCACCTTCAACAAGCCTAAGTCGAACCATTGATGATTTCACTCTAGTTGTGAGTCCCCTGCCAGGCTGGTTCTGGAGCAAGGTAAAACAATAGCCTAGTGGAATTATGAACGCAAGGATAAATAGTTAATCGAGGGCCGTGTCGGGCCCTATGTGGGGTCTATGTTGAGTCCATGTTGGGCTCTTGTTTGATGCTTCACCTGTGATACTCTATTGATGTCTCACCTGCTCTTAAGGGCTCTCCTAAGAACAAGTAGCTACCATTGGAATACAAGCTGATGCCCATTCGATCTCGAATCTGCATGACTTGTTCTTAAGAGCGCCTTATGTTGGGGCTATGTTGAATGTATGGTGGGCTCAGAGCTGCGTGTTCGTGTGGGCCTTAGTACAAAGGCCCAGATGAACACGCCTTTTTGGGGTCACGTTGCGGTCATGTTGGGGCCATGTTGGCCCTGTGTGGGACCTATGTTGGGCCTATGTTGGTGCATGCTGGGCTCTTGCTGATTTGAGCCTTGATTTAAGAGCTTGTGTTGAGCTAAGCTATGCTGGGCGTGTAAATATTGGAAAGCAAGATACGAAAGATTAGGGTCTCTTAGTTTTGCTTTTTCATGCGCTATTCGCTTACTATCCCACTCTGGCACGAAATAGTTCTTCAAAGGATTCCAGAACCAGGCTGCTTGGGGAACTCACTAGAAATTCCGGAATTCGACTTGGTCATTTGTAGGCCCCCTTGAATGGCCTGGTTGTACCTGGTTGTCATATGGCGAGCTATGCCATCCCAAATGTCGCGGGTCCATAGTGGTTAGAACCCCCAGCAACATGGATTTCGGCAAGGGTTGTTTTAAAAACAATCTGAAGAGCAACTTGGAAGCCAACACATTGGGAGTTGCAATCTTTGCAAGCTCCCGTTTCCACGTTCTTTGTTGTTAAATGTTTGGGTGGTAAAATCCATTTGTTGGTTTGAATAATTAATCAGAATTAATTTGGTTTACTAAATCGCAATTTCGTGTAAGTATTTTGATCCAAGCCGTATCCTTGTGCAAACTTTCGGATGAGAAGACCTGCAAGATGTCCCTATTCCAGTTGCCCCTGCGACCAAGAGGCCACGATGGAACTCACACCGGCCCTATGACAGGTATATCGAACCTCAGAGCGCAGATTGTGCAAGGTGGCTCGTGTCAGCAGTTGGCAGCGGGTATGACACAACAAAAACACTTATTGCGTTAAGAATTATTACCCGATGACATTGGAATTCCAAAGCAAGCAAACAATTGGGATGGGAACCAGAATACATACAGTTTAAACCAATCCGACCATATAACCTTCTGACGAAACCAACCATTGTAAATTCTTTATTCAAGTGATGGAAAACACAAAAACAGAAGAGGCCTCCCAAATGCAACTTGATTGGATGTACCTTATAAACGGCGTCAAAAGTCACCCAAACTGGAGCTGTCCCAGTTGCAACTGGTTTAAAATCCATAGCCATAGCCATGCTTACAGCCAACAACTATTAAGTAGGATGCGCATCAAGCGAACCATGACAACCCGGGGGCCCCAAACTCTTTCGTCAAATTGTGTATGCTTTCATCTGTTTGCTACGGCCCTTACGTGTTACGCTGACATGTTGGGCAAGAAAAAATGCACGGCTTTCACTGTGGTCCAAGTCCAAACCACCCCAGCTACTTTGGCCCCAACAATTTTGGTCATGTGAGCGCGGAAAGTGCCAGAAGCGTTTGTTTCTCTGTCAGCTCTTGTTTATATGTTTAAACGACCATGGTGAAGAAATTTCATGCTGGTTTGTGGTGGTCAAGGACTTGGTGACATGTAGCCCATTTGGAAACACATACAAAGAGCATGCGAATAACATCCCAAACGCATCCAACAAGTGTCCCACAACCAATGGCGTTGAAAACTCTTTTAGGCTCTATCCCTGAACTCATCCGAGGGGCCACCATGTTGGTGCTCGATGCCTTAGAAGCATCTATGTAAGCCACCAGGAGATGGTCACTTGGGGCCCAAGCTGGTCATGTGGTTTTGGGTCGAAATTGGTCAAAAGCGACATGGCTTTGCATACTTCAAACCCGTCGTTCGGGATCTTTCGGTGTCCATGGACACTTTGAGAAGGAAAACGTGGGCAGTGGTCCTGCCGCGGAAAAAACATTTGACTGTTTCAGACCTTGCTGTCCCCACATCAATGGCTTGGCCAGTTTTTTACATGTTCCATGTTTCTTTACCAATGGAGGATGCAGCCTTATTGTCAGGGGCAGCACCGGAACTAAAGAGAGAACGAGGTCTTTTTGATTTTGATCGGACAATAATCTGTTAATGTAGACGTGACATCCTCCAGCGCGCCCAGATTTGATTCCTAGAGTAAATCCAACCCAATGCCATCTCACCCAGCAGGATCTCTCTGCGGCTGAGAAACCCGCGACAGGCTGGGCCTTAGGATTGTCCCCGAATTTGTGGGAATTCTAAGAGCGGACAGTTTACTTAAATCCAGATGGAATGGGGTAGGCTACACATGCGACATGTGTGTATTGCGAAATGTGGTAATACGTACACATGTATCTCCATACATTTCAGAACACAACACAACAAAACAAACATAAAATACCTTAACATAGCAATAACAATACATCAGCATACCAAAAGCATAACTATAACAATAGCATAACAATAGCATAACAATAATGTAAGATAATAAAACAAATCATGACACATCGTTATACATACATATTTACACATCACATTACATGGCTGGGAAGTAAATATCATAGGTATACAACTGGGATACGTTTTCAATCCGCTTAGGGGATGTTTATCGAAAGTCCTTCCCGAGCAGCAAACGATGATTCTTCATAGCTTTGGCAAGTCCTGTACAATTCGTAAAGTAATGAAATGGTGTGGCATTGGGTGGCACCCCCAACAATCCGCTTACTGATTTCACGAATCATCCATGACCATCAAACTCAGGAATATCTCTATCATCTGGGTGCAGTCGATCCTAACACCGGTGATCATCACAGCACTTGATGTGCAAACTGGTGCGTAGCAATGCCACCCTTGGTTCAGGAAAGATCCCATGAATCCTCCGTACCAAGCGGCGAGGACATGGATTTCTGTGGTCGAAAGGTCTCCATGCCTGGCTGCATGATGTAAGCCCGGAGGATCTTCCGATCGAAGGACCTGGAGGATGTTCCTCAACCCGTTGGATAAGGATTCCGAGGATTGTGGGTTTACCTTCGCCAAACATGGCTGCTGCCTTGAAATTGATTGGTGAAAGGAATTTCGTTACCTTCATTAAAATGGGTAGATTCCCAGAGGGCAACTCACCAACAAGAACAGGCTATGTATACAACACGCCGGAGAAAAGAGGCAGCAGACACTAATGGTGAGATCAATCCTGATTATTCATGGTAAAGAAGCTTTGGCAACAAGCTGGCAATCTCTAGCCTAGGGTTAATCAAAGAATACCAACTAATTCTTTTGTTCCATAATACACCCTCGTTTAAATCGTCATTATGCGGGCTACAACCATAGTCATCATTACCACGTGCCATGGACAGGGAACCTGAGAGGCCATTGAGGACTGGATCCTATACTTCCCCCTGTGGTGGCGAGGTATTGAACCACTCCACTTTTTCTTGGATTTACCTCAGAAGGCAAGCGCGCATATACATTCTATCATGTAAGTGTATACCCAATAGATATCCCATATTGCGGATTAATCAAAAGGAAAATACAGGACCATTGCAGAACCAAGTTGCTGTGCACTTATTCATGTGCTTAGCGATGGTTGATTGCCTACCCTAGAGGTTAGGTGCTCCATGGCGCAGGCGATTGAAGGTGCCAAGCGATTAAACTTGATTAAACTATACGCAAAATTGGGGGGTGTTGTCCAGGAGTTGATTGGGGCCATTCGAAAGCAGTGGGCGTCTGCCATCTGTTTGAAAATTCATTCGTTGAAAGTGGAAACAGAAGGAATACATCTCCAGGACATGCGCCAGCGCCTGGACACTTGACCGCATGTCTCAAAATTCAAAGCTGATGCTGGACAAAAAAATCAGGGACGTCCGGTGGCGGTGTGATGTGGGGATATGAACAGGTCATGCTAAGCTCATGATAAATAACTGGCCAAACCTCACTTATGTAGGTGCGTGTGTCAAGTCCTTCAATAAAAATTCGTTGGGCAACATTAAACATGCAAGGGTATACTGACGAAATTTCAATGACAATGATGCCGTTTCTCCTACAACTACAGCCCAGCAAATCTAGCAGTGAGCATCAAACAATGGACGGTTCCAATATGGCCGCCTATCGTGATCGTGATATATCTTATTTTCTAGCAGTGCGTTCCCCAAAGTCCGTCCCCAAATGATCAGGGCTAAAACCCAGAAGACTTCCGCATTGCAACCAGGAAGCAGATCGGGTTGCGGCTGCAAGGATGGAAGAACAGGATTTCCTGCAAACGGGGCGCAGAGATGGCACCAGGAAAACCACCAGGAAGATCACCAAACATGTTGGCTAGAACATGCTAGAACATCTCCCGCTTTCGTGGAAATGTGAATATCGTTGTAGTGGGATATGCCGCCCCTATTTTTAATGAATGGCATGCCCAATTCTATCTTTCTTAAGGATACCTCTCCTAAAGGATGGTGGATGGCTTTTTCAGTACCTCCAGGTGCCAGGACCCAAAATGGTCCGGAAACAACGTTCCTTCCGGATCCACCCGAAGTTCGATCGAGGTCTTCAAATCCTGCGCAAACGGCAGCACTCGCAGAATGGGCAACAAAAACCTAAGATCTGGAATCGGCTCAGAAATATTTGGGGTGATATTTGTGCGCGGGATACCACCCGTACCAGAAAGACGTGGGTCATGAGTTTATAGGTAGGGCGGACAAAACAATCACGTTGTTCTCGTATGGAACTGTCTGCAACTAGTTGACTGCTTGTTTCTACATACTCGCACTCTATGCGATAAATTCAGAGAACAATTTGACAAGTTTAAATGCATAATATATATATTTATAGTGATATATGGTTGCTGTTCTTGTTTTTGTTTTTGTGTTTGGTGTTGTTGCTGTTGCCGTTGTTGTTGTCGTTGTCGTTGTTGTTGTCGTTGTTGTTGTTGTTGCTGGGTTGCTGCTTCTTCTTCTTCTTCTTCTTCTTCATCGTATCGTATGACTATTCTATATCATGAACATTGCACCTTGATTCCTCTTATGATTCTGAACATATATAGAACTGTATGCCATGACAGATTGACAACATACACCTTGGGGACATCTGGAACACTGGATTGGTTGTCTTCAGCAATTGGGATATGCTCGCCTGAGTGCCAAATCATCAGTCTGGCATCCATTTTCCGCCCTCATCACCCATACATCCAAAATACTGTCCGTCATACTGTCTATGCGCAAAAAGAAAAATGCATCCAGCCCCAAGACCAGTCCTTCGGGTTCCTACCCCGCTCAAACAAGTGTAATATCAGAATGGTGTTCCACTTGCCAGGGCTCAGAAAAATCCACTGCCTGGTAATTTAATCTCAGGTATGACGACAGAGATGTCTTTTTCCAACCATGTGTTTGTGGCTAAATCTGCATGCGGGATTCTTGATCTAATTTCTTGGACATATCTGGCCGAAGTATCATCATAATTCGCAAGCCTGAGATAGAGTCATGTGGGCTGATTCCCCGAATCCTAACCGTTGAGGTTTTGGTAGCTTAAAGCCTACGGCGCCATTAACGACCCCTGCGTTTTTGCCATTTTTGCTGTTTGGAGGCAAGTTGCTCTTGAAATTGATGCATGCAGAACTGATGTCACGTCACTGGGTTGGGGTGGGGTGGGGATGTTAACGTTCATGTTAACTTGCGTCACATGCACAACTGACGTTACGTCACTGGGTTGGGGTGGGGTGGGGATGTTAACGTTCATGTTAACTTGCGTCACATGCACAACTGACGTCACGTCACTGGGTTGGGGTGGGGTGGGGATGTTAACGTTCATGTTAACTTGCGTCACATGCACAACTGACGTCACGTCACTGGGTTGGGTGGGGTGGGGATGTTAACGTTCATGTTAACTTGCGTCACATGCACAACTGACGTCACGTCACTGGGTTGGGGTGGGGTGGGGATGTTAACGTTCATGTTAAGTTGCGTCACATGCACAACTGACGTCACGTCACTGGGTTGGGGCGGGGTGGGGATGTTAACGTCATGTTAATTTGCGTCACATGCACAACTGACGTCACGTCACTGGGTTGGGGTGTGTGGGGATGTTAACGTTCATGTTAACTTGCGTCACGTGCACAACTGACGTCACGTCACCAGGTTGGGGTGGGGTGGGGATGTTAACGTTCATGTTAACTTGCGTCACATGCACAACTGACGTCACGTCACTGGGTTGGGGTGGGGTGGGGATGTTAACGTTCATGTTAACTTGCGTCACATGCACAACTGACGTCACGTCACTGGGTTGGGGTGGGGTGGGGATGTTAACGTTCATGTTAACTTGCGTCACATGCACAACTGACGTCACGTCACTGGGTTGGGGTGGGGTGGGGATGTTAACGTTCATGTTAACTTGCGTCACATGCACAACTGACGTCACGTCACTGGGTTGGGGTGGGGTGGGGATGTTAACGTTCATGTTAACTTGCGTCACATGCACAACTGACGTCACGTCACTGGGTTGGGGTGGGGTGGGGATGTTAACGCTCATGTGAACTTGCGTCACATGCACAACTGACGTCACGTCACTGGGTCGGGGTGGGGTGGGGATGTTAACGTTCATGTTAACTTGCGTCACATGCGCAACTGACGTCACGTCACTGGGTTGGGGTGGGGTGGGGATGTTAACGTTCATGTTAACTTGCGTTCATGTTAACTTGCAAGGTAAGTTGAAAAAGAAGTGTTGCTCAATGACTGGTGGTCAGATGTAACTAATGACTAATTTTCTCTAACAAAACGAAAAAAACAATAATTCGTTTCAGGGGTATTGAAAATCGATGAACGTTTCACACGAAACGCACTTTTTGTAGTAGGCCCCAAAGTAACTACGATTTGACATTTTTATCACGTTTTTACAAAACATTGCAAATACCATGATTTGGTGAACCAAGCATCATGAAAAATCAATGAATTACCCCGGGTCGCTAACCGCGCCGTAGCCTAGTTTAACCAGATCTATCAATCGCCATTTCTCTGCTCAAACCCCGCGTAGCATGCCTTGGGCCCAATTTCCACAGCAGGATCTGCTGAGCACCTTGGAGAGGATACCAGCAATACATGGTGGTAATGACTCACCCTCATGGGGACATCAAAAGGATCCACCAAGATTGATGGTTTAAGTCATGGGGCCTAATCGTTGGGATCTGCTGTGCAAGTGGTGGCTTACAAGATGCCAAGCTGACGCCAAGGTTTGTTTTTACCGCAAGGACGCTACTATCACTACCTTAAAGATCATCAAGTTGGTTGCGGTTCCTTGGTAGTGTGCCCTCTGGTAAGCACCAATGCCTGGTCGGGAAATTCCGATGGCTAAATCATCAGTCCAGGTGCGCCTGCATCTCCCATGAGATTGTCATCATGTTTGTTCCAGGTAGAGCCACGTATAAAACATATCGGATTTAACTTATGAACCCTCTAGGAATCCCGTCTTCCCGGGATAGCAAATAAATGATGCTTGGTGAATGGTGGCAATCTACATTGAAAGATGCACTAAGCCGTTTTTGTCCCATGACCTCTTTTCCATGTTACAGAACCTCTTCAAGTTTCAAATTGTTGCGACAAGGTACACAAACCTACGGTTGTATTGATATCCAAAATATCAGGACCCAAAGATCCAGCAAAAACTGCACAAACATATACATGCACATCTCTATTTATCAAAAAATTGTATGTATGTATGTATGTATGTATGTATATATATATATGCATACATGCACGTGAGCACGCACAAAATTACAACACACATGTATTTAGCGGCGGTGTAAACATTGGCTTCCAAAGCCAGCCGCATAGGGGACACACCCGCTCACACGATCTTCCGAATCAAGAGCGTGCGTCCAAGCTGCTCAGTCTTGATGATTGGTTTGGTCCCGTCCACGGCTCCTGACACTTCTGGTGGATTCTAAGCTCATCCGTTCTCACAATAGCCCCCCTCAACCTCGACCCCAAAATGAATAAACGCACTTTGTTCCATCTAGCAAGGTTTGAAGGGCATGTATATTCGTGGGGGAAAAGGATCACCAAGCAGGTGTTATCAAAAGAGATCAAAAGATATATCTTTCCAGCCCGGTCGAAATTTGGATTGAAAAAAAGAAAGCACCTGAAGTCACCAACAAAGACTAGTATCCACTAGTTGCACGTCATCAAGAAGCAGTGGATATTACAATATTGTCTAAAAAAATGCCATTAACCAAAGCATTCTTCGGTGTTTCGCCAAATTGCTTATTAGACCCAAAATCTCAGAGTTTTTGTTCAAGTTTGTTCCTTCTTTCAAGACCAATTTTCGCAATCCCCATATTGACGTTGAGCTTAGGCTGCAAATTGGATCCGCACCTTGACTGCCATTGAGTGAAAAGGGGCCATCCAACCAACAATATACATATATATATATATAATAATAATATATATATATAGTATATACATTTAAATTCATCGGTGGCTGATGTTTTTTTTTGCATGCTTTGGGCCCTTAAAACCTGGCAATGCGCATTAACCAATGTCTTGTGGGCCTTGAGAACCCCAACATCCAATAGCTCCTGGCAATTTCCTTTGAACTTGATACAGGTCCGTACGTGATTGACCTCCTGAAAATGATTGCTGAGTCCCAGCTGCGTTCAATATGTTTATCGATGCAGTGCAGTTTAAGTATATTTTGCAATTCGGTTAAATATGCTTGCCATAGGTATCTTTATATACAATATGTTTTTTTTCCGATTGAATATGGTTGAGTTCCACTTGCTAGCCATCACATTGCTTACGACCGTGGCTTTGCCCAAAACTGGTGAAAAGCCCCATTTATGGTAAGTGTAATGGCAGCACCTGGCAAACAGAATGCGCGCCTTAGGATTACAGGGTGCCCGATTTCTGGGCAAACCCACTTGAGCAGGGTCAAAACCTATAGCCTATAACGGTTGGATAGTGGGGATTCCCAGCTCAGGGGTTATGAGCATCCCTGGCGTAGAAAGGGTAGTACCGTCCCCTATTATCATCAAGTAATCTTATCCCAGTTGCTCTCGGTAACAACCATCTTAGAACTCTTAGAACCCAGTTAAACATGGAATGCATGGGATAAGCGCTTTCATGCCTGTATATACGTATACATATATACGCATACGGGTTTGTCTGAAAATAGGGTGCCCCAAAATTTGATGGTTTATATTCATTCTTCTTATTCAATAGCCATTTTGGGGGCATCCTGTGTTTTGGACAAACCTACATGATACATGGGTAAGGCCCAAACCGGGGGTCACGTTGCACAATCCAAAATCAGTTGTAATCAACCATCCCGCACATTCCCATAACTATCCCATAATTTCCGGAATTTTCACTGTGTTCGCCACCAAAGCTATCGTATGCAACCTTACAACCCGCTGGGGCCTGGTTCGGCCGCCTGCTTTGGGCAGTGCACGAAGCCAGGTAAGGTCCGACCTTTGGAGACCACCTGGCGGAGCAAAACAGGGTTGCTTTCCCAAAGTTTCACAACAAAATCCAGCTGAAGGATGCGGAAGGCAAGAAAATAAGAAAACATACCGTTGTGGAAAAAGGTTTCGTTTTCACCAATAAAATGGTGGACTTCCGATTTTGACAACCCGGAAAAAGCTAAGCTTTTACGGATATGACAGCGCTCCACAAAAGGTGATAACTTTGAACATGAAGATATCATAAGATATCATCCAAAATAATCAGATTTGTAGAATCAAGAGAAACCAAGTTGTTACACTTGAAACAATACTTCATATTCCAATGCAACAGTGAGAAACAAAGAAGCAACAGGTGTTTAATCTGAGCCGGCCATCCCTTCCCTGGGTGAAGTCATCAAGGATGGGGACCATAGTTCACAGACCATTGGAATTTATGCGCCAGTTTTCAAAGCCATGGAGGGATATGATGATGGAATATCCCTGCAGACCCCAGTAATCCCCGGCGGACACAAGCCACTTTAAAAGGGAGTCACAGATTATCCCCATCTTCCACTTGCCTGAGTTCTGTTATTGTTTTCCTTTAGAAAGACGTCCAGATACCTGCCAGCTCTCATCAGTCATGTGCTGTGGGGGGAGGCAAAACAACCAATGGTCGAGTGGTAGTCAGGACCCGGGATATCACAACACCGGGCCCCATGGCACAAGTTATTCGCATCATTCGGCGAACGATTTTTTAATATAAATCTTAAAACAATCAAAAAAACACGATTCAGATATCTTCTATGCGTCATTTTTCTTCTGTGCCTGGGAGGATGATGCCAATTTACAATGGAACATTCGAGCAAAACGGTGCAAAAAACAACATCCTAGTGGAGTAGACGCAGCAGAAGCCAGACAGGAACGGGTCTTTTGAGCCTGGAAAAACGCAGAGATACTTAAAACAATCACCTTTACAAAAATGATATATGCCTATAGCTCAAAATTGGGGTGACAATGGATTCAGAACATTGGGCACTAAATCATCCATTATCAGTTGTAGGTGTTGATAGTTTTGACCCAGCGCGTTCCTGTGCTTGCGGCTACTATTCAAGCCACCAATCACCAAACACTGGTTTTCCCAGGAGTTGTTGCGGAGGCACCGCGCGTCTCTCCATCTTATCTTCTCAGTGACTACTTTGCATCCATATTTCCACCAAGCACAAGGCATTTTTGAAGCAACTCAGTCGCAAACGCGCGTCTAGTCCCACAAGAAACTTGCTAGCATTCTTTCTAAACTTTTGGGTGTTCCCGAACCAGAACCACCTGGAGCAGCTACCCCTCTGCAATGGACTGACTACTTCAACAAAAGCCACCAACCTTTCCATCTTGTGGAGGTCATGGATGGTAGATGCTATCTGGATGAAGCTAGTCCGTGCATCATTTCTAATGCCAAAGTACCTCAAGCAGAAGGGTGTGTACATGTACATATGTACATATATATATATATGTATAACCATCTGTAATCATACATCATCACACATAATCATGTCTAACCATACATAGCCATAAAAAAAACATATATATAATCATAAATAATCAAATATAAGCATATTGAATAATATAAAACCATATTGAATCATATATATATAGAGAAACAGATACAATCGCACACACATATACAATCGGCTTATCCTATCTGGATCTCTCAGCGCTAGAGCGACAAACCCTATACGAAACCCAACATGTTTGAACTTGATTCATGAACATTTGCAGATGTTAACTTGGCTATGGAAACAAATTTGATTCAGCACGCGGCCTTGGATCTAGGTCATTAACCTGGATCTGGATAGCTTCAGATTCAAAAGACGACAAATCATTTGCGGGTCCAATGACTTGACTTGACCTGTAGCCATTTGGCGGGGGGCCCAAACTATTGACCCGAGAAACTAGATGGTAAAACGAAACGAAAAAATGGGGCTCCATTGCTACACTCCTTTGCACCATTGCCATACCCTATTGGCCTCGCACTATACCCCAAAAAAGATAGAATTTAGTAGAAACATTGCGACATCCTACTACAACAGTTGTAAATCTGTATATCCAACATTCTTTGGGGGGGCTCACTATATTCGTTTATGGCTTCTTCAGCGCCACCTGCCCTGCAACACTATTCCGTCCTGTAGACTGAGTCGCCGCAATGCTTCCGCCAATGCAGGTGCAATACCTTCGCCATGTGCATTCCACGAGCAATTTACCCATGTAATCATGATTGGGATAACCTGCAATTCAACAGCTCAACCTGTGTTACTAGCTCAGGATACTTTCCCCACGTTATTGCCCACTTGAGACAATGGTCAACTAGGGTTCCTAACACCGGGATGAACACGCACACGTACGCTATGGAAACTGCACATAAAACCAGGGTATAGTTGCGGCTTGGGAACACAACTCACTCAAATTCAAAATTAAATTAGCTTAACGTTTCAAAATGAATTAGCCTTGGATGCCCTTAAAGAAAATATCTGACTGGGTCATACAGCATGGTTTGCACATGCTGGTAAATATTCCAGCATTGGAAGAGCACATGAAATAAGAGGCACGATGCTACATGTCCCCGTTTTTTGCTGCATTGCAAAGCTCTTGAATTTTCGCACAGACAGTGACACCACCTGACACCCCTGGTAGCCTGGGACGGTTCCAATTCCACCAGCTTCCTGCCTCAGGCGCATGTGCTGCCGACAGCACCGCCTGTTCCAAGGCCAACTCCACGCCCTCGTTGCGAATCCGCAGTGTATATAGGGAAAACCCGGAGACATTGTTTTCTTTTCTTGGCTGTAGCATAGATTTTGACTAGATATTAATCCAATAAAGGTTGGGAAACCTGTGTTTTTAGCTTGGAGAACCTGAATTATGGTGATATTATCGCAACAATCCTACCATACTTGTTTGGAATCAATTACCAAAAAAGACCTGGGTACGTGTAATGGGATGTAATGGGTATGTATCTGTCTACAGGTTTTTTTCTCCAAGAAACATAATGTTACCTCAGTTGTTTCTCCAGCCGCTTTCTTGATAACCGCCAATTCTGTGCTGTTGAGACCGCCGCAGCTTATGTTGATGAAATCTACATTCGCCCATCTGTTTGGATGTTTCATTATGTACAATCCGGTAACTTGCAGCTTTCCTACCTTTGAATCTCACCACATCCCGCGATGTGTGAAAGGGGACGGCTAAAATCCACAGGAAAATGTCGGGCGGAAGTCTCTGTTGTTGGATAAACCCGCGCAAGGTATGAACATCACATGAAATTCTGTGAGATGTTGCGGAACCTGTAAATCCACACAACTCAACGTCATATAACGGACAGGAACCCCCACATAGCATCCTTGGTAAATGAGTTTTTTGGGTGTAGTCCAAACTAATATCTGGTGTGCCACCTTTTAACATTTAAAATGCAGGCGGTACATATCAAAATATGCTATAGAACCTTAGGTTCAAAAAAGGCTCAGAACATCAAGCAGTGGCCATCCCGGCCTCCTAATATTCAATTTTTCTATCACGGGCCCTGAATGAATAGATGCAGTCCTGACCAAGGTTTCGAAAAGTATCTACTCATGGGCCAGGCGGAAGGGATTACAAGAAATTGCGGACATGATTTCATGGGAAAAATGGTCCTGCAGCTCCGCTTCCTCCTAATCCTTAACAATACCCCTGCCACGTACACTAAGGGCATTGGTCAAACTTGGGCGGAAACTGGCACCAAACATTGGGGTCTAAAATTGGTTCGTTTAATGCTGACAAATGACCAATCAATCTGCGCTTACGGGAAAGAAAACATACAAACATAACTCCGACTTTTACTGCCAAGCATCAAACCTGTAACCAATTTATTCACCAACCGGACTACCTGGACTACCTGAAATCTACGTTTCCAAACAACCCTGCCCCGTCCATGGACATTAGCCGCCAAGTGGCAATGACCCCAGCGCTCAAACAGCTGTAGACGATGGAAATTTCCACTTCGTCTGTGGCCGTCACCTGGCATATGGTTTGACCACTTGGTGACCACTTCATACTGGCGTTCCCTTCTCATTTTGAATGATGGACCGAGGTTGATTGAATCATATTGAATCCTTCCCTTTCAAGAATTAAAACTTCCCACCACTCAACAAACCCACGATGCAAACCCAGAACATGAAAATCCAGTCAACTTTAAAAAGATTTCACAACGGACTACTATGTCTTCTAGATAGCTTCTTTGTGCTAAATTACTACACCTTCCTGAAGAATTATGCTTGGATTGGCAGCCCGAGATCTTCTAAATTGAAGCCCGAGCACACAGTTGCCACCGGGTAACTGAGCTGCAATCTATGCGTTTATATGCAAAGAGATATGACACACTTTCTATATGCATGCTGCATGGATGTATGTATTTACAGAGACATACGTAGATCTACGCGCATATATTGCACGAACAAACAAAATGATGTTGGTTTAGTGGCGGATGTTAACCACCTTCAGAAAGCAACTTTGCAGCATGGCGGTTGATTCTGGCATGTCCTAAAGGGATCCAAAGAAGGTGATGGCTGTTGAAACTCCTTCGTATGAGTGTCACAGTCAAACAACCGTTTGTTATTGGTCGGCGTTCAAGCCCAAAATATAGAACTTAAATCTTTAGATTCACGATTTCCCCAAACACGGAACAATTAGCTTCCTTGTCCTGGACTTCGGGATACCACCCAAACAGAATTTTGCCTTGGCTGAAAAAAATGCGGTTCTTTTCACTTCGATCCGTACCACTCCATGCACCTCTAATGCATCAGTGGCCAAGCCCCGAATTTCCACCTGCCGGAAATTTGTGTGGCATTCGGGAAAACTCACACCCATCTATCTACAAACTGATTGGCTGACAATGATTTTTTGGGGTGGGATCCATCCGTTCTTTTTTTACCTGGTATTGTTCATAGTTTAAGCCGCTCCTCCACCAAAATCCCCCAAAATGCCACTTGGGATTGAAGAACATTGCAGATATGGAAGTGAGAATGGCTTGAAACACCAACCGGCTATGTGGCTACAGGTAAAAAAAAGGGTACCCAAACATCGGATGCTTGATGAGTAGAATACACAACGCCAACATGTGTGCGTGGACAAATGAATTATTTGGCATAGATGGGCATACTATGGTTTAGGCATGTTTACTCTGATACAAGTAAACGATATTGCACCTTTTTTGGGTAAACAAGGATACATCCAAAAATTGCATGTCCTTGGAAGCACTCACTTGAAATGCCGGGTGGCAACACAAGAGCATCAGCCGTGAGACTTGGGGCCACTGACGAAGTGACGTTAGCATTGAATGAGATGACCCAGGTGTTTCCACGAAGGGTTCCCCCTACAATTGGCTACGTTGGGTCACAACTGGGTTTGCCAGGCTTCATGATGGATAAGTCTATAGATTGAAAACAACTGTGGAAACAAATGCGTATCTTCAATATAGACAGTTAGAGAGAGAGAGAGAGCGCGCGCGAAATAATATCTAAATTCCTTCAAACATCAAGATTCCTTCATTTATGAATATATATATATATATAATATTATATATAATATGTGCCAAATGAAAAGCGGACGCGTTGCAAGTCTTTTCATGAAGTTCACCATGACATGCGACGGCAATTGGCTGCAGCTAAAAAATGAGGTACCAATGGGCCCAAGAAATGCCAACCGCCAGTATTTTACAATCCAGTCTTGCATTTGACAATCCAATGTTTAGGGCAAATAACTTGCCAGCAAACAATATGGTAGGAACTCCCGACAAAAAAACGAAGGTTTTTCTAAGACCGGCGACTCACTGCACACGCGAGGAGTATCCGTGGCGCAGGATTTACCATCTTTGGCAAAGTATACAAACTCAGTCTTTAACAAATTGAATGTGGAATATCCATCATCAGTGAGGATGCCTCAAAAAACTTGGCTAATGTATATAGATTTGGTATACTACACAGATGCAGTATGTATATATATATACAGTTACAATTATATATATATATATCATATCCGTTGCTTGAATGTATATACAACTAAGAATAAAGGCATATAAAGGTATGATAAATCTTTTCCACCCCACTATTTTTCAGCCCCTTGACCGCTTCACCTTGAGCTGCTCCTCACTGGTGACTTTGGGCACCTTCAGCCGCATGGCTCCAGACGAGCTCAACTGAAGTTTCGTCACCTCTTCGTAGGTGCCTCGCAACGGCAGGTGGGTGGTAAGTGGTGTCATGTCAAGGCTAAGAAAACGATTTCGCATGAATTATATAAATTATATAAAATCATTGAACGTTGGAATTTATGAATTTACAATACCGCAAAGAAAGTGCGCGGCCCAGCGAAACAGCAGAAATGCATTTTTAAACCATTCCGGCAGCTGGGATGAGGGAAGCGAACCCTGGCGACGATGGGATTCATGGTGTCATCCCCTTTTTGAACTAGGGATTTACAAGGGGATAGCCATATTCTTCAGATGGCATTCCCAGCCGTAAAGATGGACCTTGCCAAGATCAGATATCTCCAATGTTCATTCTTTGAAATAAACATCGTAGATGCATTTTACAATAATCATTGGGCTTCCCATTACCATGTTTGACTTCCAAAGGGAACAATGTGATGAACACTGTGGGCACTGATCAAGGCTATGAACTGGTGAAAACCAACTATACATGGGGTGAATGTGCCAAACTTTTTGGGTACAGTATCTAACCAACAATAAACCGGAAAATGGGAAGGCATCCCCATAACCAATAAAGTATAGGTAAAAACGACCAACTGTTCAAAATTATGATTTTGCACCAAAAAAACTGCTTGTGGGCCCATTTGTGCCCTGATGACTTGACCCATACCCAAGTGGGGAAGTTAAGTCCAAAATAGCCCAAACATACAGAGACCGCTTAGTAATGAATCCTTGGCCAAGCATCAACTCTGAAACTGCTCCAAAATCGATAAAGTGTTGTAAAGAGTCGATGAGGGTAATTTCTGATTCATGGTTGAAGCCCCGGCTCTTCAGAATGGCAAATGGACGCAAATGTTGAATGCATGGACCAAGTCTGTTGTTGAAGATACAATGTTGGGCCACCACCTTTGCTGATGGTATCAAGATGTCAAATTTTGATAATGACCAAGATTGAACCAATCCAATATGATCAACAAAATTGTTGATTCAACCTCCTAAAATGGGGATGCGAACAATGGAATCATAAACCAACGACATGTTTGACTCGTATGACCCATACATACTATAGTGGCATCAAAGACTGAATCATCAGCCATATTTTTTCGGCGACCCAACCCAAAAACCACCAAAGGATTCATACACCAAACAATGGAAACAAAGGATTGCCCCCTTTTTGGTCTTGAAACATCCGCCATGGGTGTATGATTGTTCCTGCATACTTGCTGCGCGCAAAAAGCATTGTTAAACTCCGAGTGTGCTCCAAGCATGTACGATTATGCAGGTAATGAAAATTGTTCTGCGATATTTACACCCCAAATTTCCAACACGCAACTCCAAACACTGCCATGTCCAACCAAGCACAACAACTTTACAGAATTTTGGGTTTCATGTTATATATCTTAAACAAAATAAAGCTATTTCTCGACACTCCAGAAGGAAACCCTCAAACATCCAGCCGTGGCAAACCCAGCCTTCGGGCGACAACAACGCAGGTTGCTGCGCTCCCTCTTTGGGCGCCGGATAGATGAGCGACCTCGGAAACCCGGGGATGTCAAGGTAGCTGTAGCTGATAGGGTAGCTGGCTGATGGGGCCCCAAACATATACACTTTGGGAAAGAGCTGCTTCAAAACAGCTCACGCTGTGGGATATGATGTGTATGTATCTGCCGACCTCGGCCAACAGCAAGTGGGAACACGCCCGCAAATCCCAAGTCCACCACAACCAGAACAATGACAATAACAGCAAGAACAAAAACACAAAAAGGATCAAAAAGGAACTAGAAGACGCTGTGGCCCCAAAGCAAACCTGGAGACAAACACCACATATTCTTGCCAAAGACAAATCAAACGCGCGAAGGGTTCCTTCCAAAAACATACGACAAAAACCATGGTGTGATGTTGGTGGTGATAATGATGGAGATATATGGAGATGATGGTGTTGATGATGATGATCTAAAAAACCTTCACACACAAACTTGTCTACACAGTGGCCTGTACACTTGCACACGCATGTCTTTACACGTACATGCATTTACGCAAAGAAACTTTTACACGGAGATGTTTTCACACAGAGAGAAATTAAACACAGAAACTTTCTCGAAACTTCGCCGCAAGAAACCGCATGACATTTTGCTTGAACAACTCTCCGCTTGTTGCTGTCTAAACCATCTTGAGTCAGTTCAAGCTCCCCAACTTTTTTCAACAAGTGACCCCAAAATGAGTACTGTACATCCAATACATTCTACCACAATTTCGCTTGGGCGTAAGCAATTTTAAAAAATATTAAGGGATACTTAGGCCCTATAACTCCCAAGTTTCTTTCCTTTCCAACCCCATCCAGGCACAGTACCCCAGGGCACCCAAGCTGACCGTTGCGGACTTCCAGGGCGTCGAAGGCGAAGGAACCGCATCGTTTCCGCCAGGCCATGCAGATCTGCAGGGCTTGGATGAGGTTTCTCTGAACATGGGGTACATCATGGTACATCCCTCATGGACAGGCACAAATGTTTTCTTTTGTTTTCTTTTACAAACTGCAACAAGTTGGAGTTCAATCAAACCGTGTACCTATAATTTAGCCATCAGCAAGTGGGTACATCATGCATTTCGACTGGTAGAGAGGCTTAGTAAGGTTGTCTGATGTTTGTACCAATCCCATGTGGGTATGAATCAAAATCATCGACCTGCAAGACTGTAGTGTAACAATGGCATGTTCTGTGGGTCCAAGGTGCCCAAACGAATTGACCCATTCCTATTCGCCTGGGCAAATCATGACAGTTCCCAGGTCAGAACTGGTGACCATTTTGGATTCCCCTTATGGTCATAATATACAAACCATCATCTACGGTGAGCCCCTTCGAGGTCGCGGTCACTTACCAAAATTTTGCTTGGTTAATCACCATCTTTTTGGGCTGACAGCATTTTAATTCCCAAATCAAGCAATGGCTATTCTCCCTAAAACAAATCCGCTTTCTAATCATCGTGTATGGTGATGTAACCTGGTAACCAAAAGAAAAACAAACATAACATACCCCGTTCACCAGCTTTTGCCAGATGGAAAATATTGAAGCCCGAAAAAAAAAGAAGGTCTATTACAGGACTTACCGCATTGTGAACAATGGTATCCAATCATGGTTTCAAATAGAGCAATTTTCCACTTTTTGAGCGGCACGCGCCCCTCAGAACCCCAATTCCAATTGATGATCATCTTCCCGATCGAATTTTCGATTATCGCGGTAAATCCACCCCAAAGAAAGGGGCCTAGAAATTATCGAGTCTGAGTCTATTCTCAATTTTCCAGCTACAAAAAAATGGCGAATCAGCATTTTTGAGGCTTGGTGGACAACCTTAGGTACCCTTTAGTTGGTTAGTGCACATCCCCATTTGTAGCAAGAGATTGAAATACTAAATTATAATTATCCAAGGGTTCCCTAATTTATACCGTTTTATATGCACCATCTCATGGTTAAGCCCATCCACAAGTGGCTTCCCACCGCGCCTCAGTGCCTGGCTGCCCTTCGGGCTCTGAGGCCAGGAGAAACCGCAGCTCCACCCGAGCGGTGCCTGCATCAACGAGCCAAGTGGCAAGACTATGGAGGTGTTAGCTATCTATCCTTCTATCTCATGAGGCCAGGAGAAACCGCAGCTCCACCCGAGCGGTGCCTGCATCAACGAGCCAAGTGGCAAGACTATGGAGGTGTTAGCTATCTATCCGAATCTATCCATAGATATGATGGGTCAAACGTGGTGAACAGTTTAACCTTCATGAGGATAGAACCATTTTGTGGTTCAATCGCTGCGCTAGGTTTGAGCCATAACCAGATGAAACAAGGAGAAGTGATTGGTATACATATATATATATAGATAGAGTATATAATTGTACCAGGTAGTCTAAACAACAACATCATGAGACACATCTTTTGTTCGGGAACGTGTTTTACTGTCAGATGATTCTTGCAATGACTGATATGACTTTGAGAAAGGATATGCATTAAGGACTCTTTGTTTACATAGTATATGGCTATGTTGTCAAGATAAAGGATGAATTTTCTTGAGCTTGGGGACCTAACCAAAGAACATGAGGCGGCTTCCCCTTCTACGAGCATTGGAGTTTAAATGAAGGAAATGGGCATACCATCCATACATTTTCAAAAGTCCCAAACATTATTATTTCATATTATTTCCTAGTGTTGATGAATGAAGCGCTAAATTTAATCTGAATCACCCGATTCCTGATAAAATCTTGCTGAATCAAATCAATGCATTACAGCAGTGTCAAAAGGAGTTGGGCACACCTGCAGTTGGATTGTCCAACACTTAATTATGGGGGTTAAAGAGGCAAAACTGATCGGCGAAGTAGGATCATCATGCCATTGATTGCAAGATCAATGAAGCAAGCAACCATGTTGCAAACAATCAACTTGAATCCGTTGCTGCACCTTCCAACTTTTATTGGTAATCCATATTTTTCCGTGGTGTCACCTCCATTTCCCGTTCCCAGCCTTGCTGCCAGCAGTCGTAGAGGATCGTCCTGGGTTCCAGAACCAGAAACAAAGTGGTAGGTACAACATGGTAGAACATGGCATGACTATTCAAAAACTATGGTTTTCAGCAATTGGAATTTCACCAGGGAAACAGGTTTTCCTTCGCTGGCGCTTGTTGCAAAATGAAGGTGTGTCTGTGTGTGTGTAAAACCCATCATAATGAGGGGTATAACAAGAAATAATGAATGGATGTTGATGGGATATCGAACATCTCTATATACATATAGGTATATTTTTCCTATTAGTATGGATGGGCACGTCATCCGTATAGAACAGGAGGATTTGAAATTTCGTTTCTGTAGTGGACATCTTGTGTTAGCTTACGAAGACACGGTTGAACAAATGCAGAGCGCATACCGCACCTATGTGAAGATTGGTGCGGCAGGAACTGATCTTATATCTTGCTTGGTCTGTAGTGATGCATAGGTTGTGGTACTTCCGGGCATGTCATGGTGCAACCTTAAAATGACAATTGATATTAATTTGCACCTAACCAAGAATGCATCTTGCTACGAAACTTCTTGGATGTCCGAGTAAGGCAAACAATACAAAAAGTTGCAGCAGAATCTAGAGGTGGACACTCTAGAAACAGGTTGCGTCATTTTTCGCGTCTGTTTTCTTTTCTTTTTTTAATGGGTGTATAAAGACCACCTGATGCCCAAATCCTTACCTTGTTGCCACTTTCTGTTTTTTCTGCAGACATCAATCATCACACATGGTGAGATCGGCCAGTGAGGTCGCCAGAAACTATCCAGAGCAAAGGGTACTTCCAGCTACGAACTGGTCTGCAGAATCACAATCCCTGAGTTCGGACATGGCCCGCAATTCCCAACCAATACACTAGTTGAACGTTGAACCATGCTGAACCTTCAGGCCAGTGGCACTTCATCGTCGAGCTGGTCCCCCTCAAAGATCTCCAAGGGTCCATCGCTCCTTGGCATCTGATGCCAGCGGGGATGAAAGACAGCACAGTCCATTGAACTTGTAGGACCTTGTTGTGCCATGGTTCCCTGCAAATTATCCCTTCAGCTGAGATTTTGATCAGCTACAAAAAAAAATCTGGCACGTTTTTGCTCCAATCTTGAGTTTCTTTGACGGCTGGAATTTTGGATACGAAAGCGTGGAATGAGCAATGTGGTCGCCATGGCCACTTCTATCCTCCCATTATTGCTTGTCGTTTGTCGTGTTGCTTGTGAATTCCTCAGGTTCATTTGTATCTTAACAAATCAGCCCATATAATGCATATGCCATGCGAATTTCATGCATTTAGAACAATACATCCAAGATGATCCAGGTTGAGTGGCGAACTCCACATCTAATCATGTAGTCCAAGACGTTCGTTTTTCTGAGTTCCCTAGGGTTTAGAAACGTCACGAGGAATTCATTAGGCCTGGGTGGCCACCCATTCCCTCGTTTGTCAGCCCAGCGTCTCAGAACGGTCCAGGGCGGCGCTGAGCAAAGGCATGGCATCGTTGGAACTGATGACCACCACCTTGGCCTCCAGCTGGGGCGTTGCGACGTGACGACTGCCCAAATTCAGCATTTGGTCGAGGGGGTTGGGGGAACTCTTGCAGTACTCCTCTCCCACTTCCAAGGCCGCGCCTCAATCAGAAAGAGCTGACTGGGACCTGCAGATTCTTCTGCCTAAGCCACATGGTCTACCGATGTTCTTTGCTGTTGCCGTTTTGTATTCATATATTCAAAATAAATAAATAAATATATATATAAATACAAATAAATACAAATAAATAAATAACTATATATATATATATTCAATATATTCCATGCAAGTTAAAACACTAAGGACTTTGCTCGAAAGTGAGCTAAGACAACAAACTGGTCTATGGGAAAGTTAATGGCAAAGGGTTACATTTGGCAAAGCGCCGCGTGAAGAAAAAACATATGAAAGACGATATGCCCATTTCAGCTCGTAGCACCTGCATCTTAACCACCACTCGGCAAAATGGCAGGTGCTGACATGCTCAAATATGGACCAACAAGACTCACCACATACAGAATGATGGGGTCTCCATGAGGGAACTTGTGGGATGCTTGCTGATACACGATGTGCTAATGATTGCACCCATACCACTGCCTGATTATATCCTCATAGGGTACACGGATCTCTGTCAAATTTGGAGACCATCTTATCCACCTATTTACAACTTGTATGTCCATGCCGATGCCCCATAAAATGAGATTGAAGTTTGGCTAATTGTGCTGGTCGGTGATCCCCCCTTCTGCGTTGGGTTAAGCAATGTAATCTCTGGTTTTATTGCTGAAATCCCATCTTCAAATCCCCAGTTTCTAATCCCAGACCACATGAACTTTGCTTGAAGAAGTCTTGGAGCCCAACGTCGCCCAGCAAGCCTCCCAGCATGGAGCTCCTTAGCGAGTCGAAAGCCATATATTTCCGTTTGGGTGACCGTGATCGACTTGCCAAGGCCGAAGCCAACATGACTCCTAACCATTGTTGATTGGTGCGATGTTCACAAGACTCAAACATATTTGCTGTTGTGAGCTATCTGCTGGTTTCGGAATCGGGGACCCCAGAATCATCCAGAAACCAATGGTTTTTGGGTACACCAATTTCCAGAAGCACACAAATACTCATGGGTTTCTCACCTTATTATCCACAATCCCCAACCAATTACGATACTTCATATTCACGATCAGACACCAGGCATCTCAGGGATTTTGGGCACATTCTTGGATATTTTGACCCCCAGTTCGCAGCACCGAAAAAAAGTGCTGCGCATGCTGCGGATTTTTCCGGAGGCTTTTTTTTGAAGCAGATTCAGGCCGTGGTTCTTGCAGCTGCCTTAGGACGGTGTGCAAATAGAAGAGGTAATAGGAGAAGAAATACTTGGATCATCCTGGGAGTTCGCAAGTGCATAGGTCGTATTCCCTACAATTGGGTACACAATGGGTAATAAATCAGCAGCCAACCAGTTGTTGCTGCTACTCCGGCGTCCCATCTTAAGGAGAAATCATATAATCCGGAAAATCAGATGATTAGATAGATATGCTTATCTACACATATATGGTCTTTACTGTCACATCTGTTCTTTTAGTTTAGCGAGTTCAGTCAGTGACACCAAGAGGGAAATTATAGGGTATCAAATTTAGGAACTATTTTTAGGTTGTTAGCACTCAAACAAGCGCGGGGCCCCTTTCTTGCTTTCCATTTCAGTGCGCGCTTTGATCACTGACCTTTTCCAACGCCGCACTTGGCGTTTATCTTGTCTACGTCTTTAACTTTGACCTACCCTACTTTACTTGAACTAAATCTCGGGGTCATAGAATGCCAGAAATATGTCTGAAAACAATTTACAGCAATGATAAACCTTACCATTGGATTTTGGGAATAGCTTATCTTTAGATCAACGCCATATGAGTTACATGTTTTATGAGAAACAAAAAGATATGGAATTCAGGTAGTGGTTTGGGCGTCCCAGTCTGTGACTGCGCAGTATGCATGGTCGGCGAGTCCCACCGACATTGTCCCAGATGTGATACACAGCAAGTGGAATGAATCAACATGGCTAGATATTGGAATCCTAATATATACTGGCTGTCATAGTGCCTACATTTGGGGTATGTCTCAAAATCATTCAATATCGGGTACGTCCCCATTACTTATCATAAGAACCTAACATGGTATTTTGGGTGAACATATCCGCATTTATTGAGACAACCCATAATATCTCCGGTTGTAGATCATGATATATCCCATTACTATCCATTCATATCCAATATTCCCATTATGGTTGGTCTCGCCAGCTTCTGAATAAAATCTTGTTACTCGCACGCGGCCAACGCGGCATTGTAACAAATATCCGTGCAGCGGATACCTGAGCTTCAGACTAGTGGGATCAGTCAAGCTAGTGTGAAAGCACTAGTCATTTCTAGGATTCTAGTGCTTGCATCAATAGATAGAAATATCCGTTGGGGCCGTATAATTTTCAGCCATGCATAAATTGAATCCAGCTGTTGTTGTGTGTTAATTCGGGCAGTTTTCTCAGATTGCAGAAAGTTCGGATTCAGAAACGCATAACATATCGTCATTTCTTCAATGTGTAAAATGGCCAACGTGTGGGGTATGCAGGGTGGAGTCATGCTGCCCAAACCGAGGGCCTACCTAATGACCGTATCACCGAACATTTCTGAAAGAAACGGGGGCTAGTCAGTGATCGATCGGTGTATCTGAATTTGTGACGGCAAATGGCCATGTTTCCCAATCAGGACCTCTCAGCGTTCACCATGTATGTCAAGTGCTAGTATCTTGCGCACACCACCCAGGCGCGCATCCAAATGATTAATATTATAAAATAGTGTATTAATATATATATATATATACCGGCAATATCAATCATATTTCCGCGGTGGGACAGGATATTTCCATGCCTGGACAAAGCCATCCCCACTTCCGCCCTTGGCTCCCAGCTGGCCAACTCGGCGTCAGCAAGCAGGTCAAAGGCTTTCCGCCATTCCTGTCATGCGCTAACTCCACCCTGGAAAACTGGGATTTAGTTAATTAAAGTGCAAAAAGTTGGGGGACCGAAAGTCATGAGGGGCATGATACCTGATACCCACAGGCCTCTTTTTTTAGCTTGTACTGTATATCTATTTGGGGGGTCCAATATAATACGATGTCTTAGCATGTTAAACCAGAATTGACCAGGAGGGCAAGGATAGATTGACCTGGGATTTAGCCCTCAAATCCGGAGAGATTAATCACGTCCCAAGATCCCGCTGGTTGACATGCAAGATAAAGATACATGGTATACAAAACCAGCCCCCCAGATTTGAAAAAACATCATTGGCTTGGTTTGGGTTGCTCGGATTAAGGATGTGAGATGCGGACGCTAAGTTGTAGCAAACTAACAGTCCCAAACATCTACAGGTCTTCAACTTGGGTTAAGCCAAAAGCGGTTGATCAATGTTAATCAGAACTGTCCCATCAAAATCGCAACCGTGTCCAAAAAAATGCAGGCGCTGTGTGAGTGAATAGGTGAACTATGCGATGGTCGTTGTAACAAATACGTATTCATGTGAGCAGTGCCTAAATAATTTCACAACAAAAAACACGCGATAAACAAAAATCACAATGACTATCATTGACTTTGTTTTACAGTAAGTGAGATTGGACCAAGCATGGCATACAACAGTCATACAACTTTGCTTTGGTTGTTTAAAAACTATAATTTACATGTTTGTAGAGGGGTCGAGGTGTGCTAATCGAGAGATAAGGTCACAAAAACCAACCCATCACTGCATTGTTGGGGTTCCTCCCAAACATGAATATTTTTGGTGGGCTACCAACGCATGAACGTGCACCAATTTATGATGCGGGTGTCCGACATCTCATTTGAAAAGTCAGCGTTCTTCCATTTCTTGACTTTCCGAAATCATACCTCTTCCACCAGTACATGTGTGATCGTGACCACGCTTGACTTGCACTATTACCTATTAGCGCGGGATCAGCCCAATATATCTACATATATATATATTTATCTACAAATATAAACACCTACATATATGTATATATGTAAATATATATATATGTATATACATATACATATACATATACATACATACATACATACATACATACATACATACATACATACATACATACATACATACATACATATATATATATGTATATGTATGTATACATATATATATATGTATGTATATATATATAGATATATGTATGCATGTATATATATATATGTATGTATATGTACATGTATATATATATATACACGTATATATCAATATAAGTGGTGTACACCCCGATCCCCACAATTGTAAATTATTTGCCAATTCCTCCTTGTGCTTCGACCATTGTCTTGTTTCCATCACCACAGGGCGACACTTGACATGTTCAGCTCCTTGTCCTTCTCGCATGTGCTGATGACAGAGCCAATGCAAACCACCTGGGATGGACAAACCTTCCGTTGGACTCGCCTGTTCTGGCCACGCTTATACCCATGAAGCGACATTTAAATGGCAATGGCTCAAAACTGTGGTACCTCAAGGGCTCGCAAAAACCTAGTCATCTTTACAGCAAGAAAGCAAAACACAGAAACCTATTGCATGCAGGGCCAGGAAGCCTTTCTGCAAACCTGATGCACAGTAACGTGCCGAATGCAAGGAAAAAGGCAGCTATATAGATCAAATTGCGTGGAAATTGGCCTGGTGCTGGCAGCTAGAACCTAAGCACTAACCATGGATCTCGACATTTGTCAGTAGTTGATCATGGCCGATTTGGATTGTCAAAATCAAACTTTCTCACTGGTGAGGTGCGAGAATTCTATACAGTACCCATCTATGCCCAAAATACAAATGTAATTCTGGCAGCTCAACCATCCAGCGATGTGTATTTGTACTGGTTCTTGCCATTCGGACATCGAAGAATTTGTTTGATTCGCAACCTGAAATTGTGGACTTCCCCTTTGACAAGGCCAATTCACAAAATCTCCGGAAGGGTACGAATCCCCATTGATGGTTCACCAGTGAGTGTAAGATCCCATCCCTGTTCTTGCTGGTTGAATCATATTGAATCATATGACTAAATCCCAATTTTCTGCGGGCCATTCGTCCGTCTCGCCGTGTCACATCTTGCTTTAAGCCCTGCTGCCGCAGCATCTGCAGCTGTTCTGCGGCCACGGCCCAGGGTGCACGACAGCAGCCAGCGGCAAAGGTGGTCACATCTGGGGCAGTGCCAGCGTCACCTGATCTGATGGATGATATAGCTGAAGTTGTGGATCGATGGAAGCAGAACAAAACAGAGAACCGTGGTGATAAATCAACAATCGTCAACATACAACCTCAAATTTAAAAGGCCAGTTCGCTAGTTGAGAAGGGTTTAGCGAGTTTAGTGATCGGCAAAAAAACCCACCACATTTCCCAGCAAAGCCAATGCTATAAACATTCATAAACCTCTGCGTGGAGATGGTTTATGACATTTCATATAACATTCATGTCTGGTTGGATGGTTCTTGGGTTTACTACATGAGTAAAGATTTGCAAACTTCAGGGGTCATCCAGCAAAGTTCGCGAGTCTTACATTCCTAAAAATGATTGTTGAATAATTAATGTTGAATATAATCGTCTTCATGCATGGCTCAAAATTATTCGAACTTGACTGTCAATCACCAAGACCAAGGCTTGCGGGGGGTTTCAAGGCGATGGATCACAGCTCTCGAAAACCAATTGTAACCACCAATCAACACAACATTTGCGGCGCATCCCACACTGACCCCTGGATCCCTTCTGTACATCCGTTTCTGGGCGTAAGGTTGGTTCTTGTTGGCGATATTGATATAAATCGACCTAGAATTTCCCCCATCAATAGCCCAGCAATATCACCGTTTTGGTTTTTTCATCCCCTATGTTACCACTTTTGGGATGCTTTACCCGCTGCCTTCACGGCCAAGCTTCTTCTCAACATCCGCGTGGCCCTCTGCCACTGCCCCGCCAGCGCACTGCACAGTGCATTGCGCGCCACAGCGCTGCAGCTTCCGCGTGGAGCTTGGGAAAGCAGCCAGAGCTGGAGGGCTTTCGGCCACTCCTCTGGAGAAATGGCAGTGGCTTTTGAAGTGGAAACATCATGAAACATCAGAGATACAGTAAATGGAACTTTGGTGCGTGACGGTGACCCTCTTGGCACCCCTTGAAGGTCAATGTTGGAGGTTCCAAATAATATATATATATATATGTCCTATAGGTATTTTTCCATGATGTTTCAGTATCATGGCGACAATTCTCAAACTTGGTACTTTCATTCAGCCATCGAATTTGTTGAGGTGAAATCAGCTGCAACCAAACCAACATACTCAGTGTCTCCGAACTTTGGCACCTGTGGCCGAGTTTTTCCTTGCCGCCTGCCCCGCCTCAGCTTTCTCCACAGCAGTCAGCACGGAACCGAGCAGCACTGGCACTGACAAATTGATCCCGCTGCAGGACAAAAGACGGAGGGCCCAGCACCACTCAGCCTGTGCAAATCGTAGGCCTCCGAAAACCACGGTTTATTTCACCATCAACTGTTGAAATACATCAAACCCCGAAGGTCACTGTATATAAACATCAATTTATCTGGCATTAAAAGGGTGTTCATACCCCTGACTATCAAAGCATTGGGTTTGACAAAACATCATTTTGGGGCTCATTCCAAAACCCATGTTGAATGGCCTGGGTACTGTAGCAGCTGGATTCAATAGGAAACTGGCTCATGGCTTAAGATCACCAAAAACTGCACGTGGCGCAGACAACATCAGCTTGTTTGACTATGGATGAAAGCCGGGATATCTCCGTGAGTATCAACATGGGCATGCGGATATCAATCAGTTAATCCCTACACACTTCACGTGATAGGTTTTGGCCGGTGCCCATTTCGGCTAAAATTTGGGCAGACAAGACAACCTTTTGGTGGGTAGTGCAAGATAACTCTGCCCAAATGACTCCCATGAGTGGACCCAAGGCAATCAGCTAACCATCAAATACGCTGATGGCCCCAATTTTTAGTAGCGCAAATTCAAACTGCTCAAAGAGAAGCAGCTACCCAAATCAAACCATCCAAAAGTTGCAGCAACAACAAATACCACCAGCAACATGGACTTCACCACAGCTCGGATATGATAAATATGTGTGATTATATATAGCATGTTTGCTACGCTGGCACTTGAAGAACATGCCAACTAACGCTCGCAAAATGCTATGCCGCACCTGGCAAGAACTGATAGAAGCTCCCCGAGCCACCTGGGCATGGACGTTTCCCTCAACCATGAGGACAAAACGATAGACCTGCTGCTGGATCTTACGAACCAGAATGCGCACCAGGAGAAAAGAATATGCTTCTTGAGAATGCCAAAACTGAGTGACAAATTAGCATGTTGCCAAAGTTACACGAGCATACACGCATACATACATACGTGCGTGTGAACTCCTCTGATAAAAAAATAATTGAACAGTTGAAGAAATTCTCCTGGGATATGTGATGGCACACTGCTGTAAAATAGTCTTGGGAACCGTTCTTCTGGGACCACGTTGGAAAATAGTGGGGCAGTAGATTTCAACACCCTTTTCGTGTTCAAATGTCCCGTCAACGTATTGCGCGTGTTCATATGCCCTTGTCGCTTCATCCAGTCCCATTACTGTGGCAAATCATTCTTTAAATCGTGATATCCATTTTGGCTGGAACAAAAAACATGTCTCATTTTTTGGTTAGCGTTATGTTGCTATAGACCCCTTATTGTTCTTGTTTCTAAATTTTCTAATATTTTCTAATTATCCCCTATTGCCGCTGTCTGCGCCATGTGGGCCAAAGTCGCCACATTGAGTCGTATCTGCACTCCCCACATCACCTGCACCATCTGCACCGCATGGAACCAAACCCGAGAGCTGTGAACCAACGAACCTGGGCCGAACTTGGGATGATCCTGGAATTTAAACGACAAACAGCATCAAACAGCTATTAAAACCAACCAGGTTATGGGGATAGTGAGATTTCTGCTGAGATTTAACGGACTGGAATAGAATGGGATGTAAAGCCAACGCTATGATATTGATATTCTTTTGTCTCAAGATAGAAAATGGACCAGAACTTAGTTCCACTTCAACTCGAAAACTGATGATGCACCCTCAACCCCATATATCTCTCTTTCTTCCGGTGAAGCCAATCGCGCGCCAAGAAACTGAAGCTCACCACGCCTTGGATTTGCGATCCAGGCACGCGCCCCCCCAAAAAAGTCTTTCAATTAATCCTATCCGCAGATCATGATGACCCCCCTCACAAAACAGCATGTTGCGGCTGGTTTCGATACCATTGGTATATCATATCCTTAAATTTTCCAGGTCAAAATTGCAGTGGAAGCAGCGGAGTAAAGTTTAAAATCACTATGGAACAGTTTCAGCTTATCCGTCTGGTTTTCGAATCGATTGTAATTCATCAACTTTTTTCAATATTTGTTGGATACATGCCAACAACCATGACACACAAATGCACAAGCAAGTGCAGACACATCAACTGCAGAAAATCCAAGGCGCTTAGTCGCACTCCTTCTCCAAACGCCACCATCTGCGCACGCCGCCACGGCGTGGCTTTGTCGCCTATCACCGCGTTGATTCCGCGGCGGTTTTTTGGCAGCTGCACCAGGCGGCAAAGCGCCAAGGGCCAGTGAGAACTTTGCGCACCTAGGCCAGTGATGGGTAATGGGCGGCTAAAAATGCGGGAAATCACAATCAAACATGGCGGTTTTATTTCCAACGATTTGGGTTGAAGCAATCCATTTTTGTTGAGTATATGCCCAAACTTAAACCCAAATCATTTTGTTTGTTACAAAGAAACTATATATATATATAAATTTATACATATATATATACATATATACATATATATATTATAAATAAAACACGCATCCCTTTTATCCCAATAAGGACGTTAAAAATATTGGCTGCATTGGCTAATATGTTTGTGAGATTTTGTGAGGGGTTGAAGCCACCAGCCAAGTACAGATTGTCATCGGATTCGTTTATTGAAGAAATTCACGTATTTCACAAAATAAACACCCGGTTTGCTGCAGAGATTTCTCAACTCAGACGTGGTGATAAATGCCCTTTGAATGCTTTTGAAAATCCGGTCAACCCCCAACATGGTTAATTACTGGCTAGGTATCTGGCTGACTTCTGAAAAATCACCAGCCTGAAACAACACCCTTTTGGGATGGTTTGCCGAATGTATTCTTGGTTGTAGTATATTGTGAAATTATAGTATCTAGTAGGTGTATGTCACATTATACCAGCTATATTCCCACTATGGTTGGCTTTATATATACCGCAATTTTTGGACAAGCCTAGTATTAAATTCCAATCCCACAATCCTATTCTTGTTGGTTTAAATATGTTCCTTGAGATGGATAACCCCGATGATGATTGGTAAAGATCCCAGTTTGTTGTTGGTGAACAATCAAATTATACACCCTAGCCCATCAGATAAAATTATAGATCCAGATAATCTTCAACCCAATATAAGGCCCCTTTATCACCAATTATGCTAGAATCGTCTAGAATCCGTGGGTTTCCGAATCTTTTTCTTGGCATCTCCTTGTCATCGCCAAGGGCGCAGCCGTGCACCGCTGCATTGTTGGTCACCGCATCCACGCGCAGTGCGTAGAGCACCGGATCCGCCAGCAGGAGCAGCGCCAGAGACCACGGGAGGGCAGCCACGGTGGCGCCCATCGCAACGATGTCCTGGGCCAAGGGGGAACCACAAAATGAGGGATTCAAAATGGATTCAATACGATTCGCCATCGCCATGTTGTGATAAAACAACTCAATCCATGAAAAATGGAAGATCGCCAGCGAATGGAAGTCTTCTGGAATTGGCTGCGCAATTTAATGGAGTACCTGTGATATGGTTTCAACCATAATTTCGTGTTGCCCAAATCTCGGGATTGAACCACCATTTTCAAGCCGCAAAGTCTGCAAAATGTCGCCAATGAAACAAGAAGAACGGGAGAAGATGTCCGAATGTGGCTTTCCAAGCAATGAGATATGGACATCAATCAAGAATGAGTAACAATGGGCTTAGAATCTGGGTTTCTTTCAGCCAATGAGATGAGAGTATAACTATGACATTTTTGATCCTGGCAAACCAGAGGTTCGCAAATTAGGGGACTTTCAGATATCTTCTAAACTCCTTGACTTCAGCAGTATCGCCTCAACTCTATCCATGCCAATGCGTCTTTCTCTCTCAATTTGCCATCCTTTTTAAACTGCTTCCACGGCTAGGTGGATCATGACATGTCCGTGGGCTGCATCACCTGCCGACAAGGAACTGGTTCCAGGGATACCTCTGAGAGGTCCGTCAAAAGGGCCAGTGCGCCAGTCCAAGAGGAACCACTCTTGCAAGCATTGATGGCCTAGGGAAAGTGAAGATGAGATGCCAACATGGCTATGAACATAACATAACATGACTTTCGACCTTGATTGGTGGCAACATGCAAAGCCAGGGATCCAATGAGTCCTGTGTCCAATTTCCTTTTGAGTGTGTACATATATGTATGGATGCATGCGTGGATGCATGCATGGAATGAAATTTAATTTTCTGAATATATATATATGTATACATACACGTATATTATATAATGTAATCTACTGTATCGCAAGGTAACGCAATATAATGTATGCAAAGAAAAAATACTCGACGAAGCCACTTGGGTGCAGATCAGGGTTTTCAACTATCTCGAGACGTAAGCCAGTTGTCCTTTCTACGGCAACTTTCGTTGACTGCACCCCCCTGTTTGTAGGTTCCATTCCCGTTCTCCCATCTGCTGTCCATCATTCTCTCTCTGTCCTCTTCTCTTACTCTCTCCCTCTCTCCTTCTGCTTCCTGCTTCAGTTTTTGATCTGCTAGTATATAGATATTTCATATTGCTTCACCCAACTCCCATTCTTCAGTATCTGTTCCTTTCTTTTCACTCAACATGTGGGGTATCCGGTTTCTTTAACTCCTGACAAGCAATCTCCATTTTCAGCTCAGGAAATTAAATTCAAGAAAGTCCAAGTGTCCTGTATTTTTAATATTCTTGGTTCAACTTCAATGTATGTATGTATATATATATGTACATATATTCCTGAGGAATTCCACGAAATTTAAAAATAATGTGTTTGATTGTTGTGATAAGCAAAACAACATTTTACCCAAATCGCATTCAATTTGCCCAGTTTTTCCCTGATGAAAATCTCCATGTTCCACGCAGTTCCAAGGCTCTGCTGTGTAGCTCACCACATCCCCGCGCAGCCGTGCCCGCGGCAGGCGCTCCAGCAGCCGCAGGGCGCTTGGCCAGCGCCCTCTTGAGGCGGCGCTGATGCGCCTCAAACCAGTGGGTCATTGAGAAACTCTGTGGTGAATTGGTGGTTGATTAGTGGCTGATTGGACATTCATGTGCTTTTTGTTGAGCAGGGAGAAAAACCATATTTGTTTAACAGAAAGTGGCCAACAACATTGGGATTTATTGATTTTAAGTGACCCCAATGATGCCTTTTGAGCAATATGCATCTGGATTTATTATACCAAGAAATTTAGGAATCGTTGCGGTTGGTATATACGGTCTTCGGACTGGTCCAAACCTGAACTGCTGTAACATCGACAAATACCAGCTATTTTAATGTGAATTGGGTGGTAATCTGGTGTGGTAATCTGGTAATCTAGGATCCAGTACTGAAGGATTAGGGTTGTCAGAGAAAGGGAATATATCCAGTACTAACTTTTTGCATCAAACATCTTGGAAGCACGAGTTACCGATACCATACCTGCATCAAAAATGTAAAAGAACCACAGCAACAGTGGGTGTTCTGATCAAAGGGGATGGGAATCGGCTGGCTATTGGCTTGTAAAGGTTGTTTCAATACTAAGGAAATTGAAGAAGATAGCGGCAAAGGAACCCCATCGACCTTGATGAATTGGGTTGAGTTAGCCACCAAGTATTGGGGGGTCTCTAAGTCTGAACCTTCACCCGTCACCCTACGCACTCTTGGGAACTCCAGCAGCGTCCGGCATTGTACATAGGCAAGGCGCTGATTGTAAGCAACCAGCGCATCGTTCCGCATCCCTCCTGGAAAAACAGGCTACACAAATTTGTTGGATTTGGACCGCGCAATGTGATTAATTATATCGGATTTCAAAGGTGAGAGTGAGGATGAGGATGAGGATGAAGTATACTGAAAGGTCTGGAAACAAGATGAAATCGTTGAAACCAGTATATAATCTATATCGTTTTTTGGATCCACATCGCAGTACTCAGCGCCTACCACCATTTCCCAATGGCCCGCCTCCTTCGGAGCATCGGCGAATTGCGTTTGGCCGGCAAAGGCGCGGCGCAGAACGATGCCAAACATGGGATGCAACTCAAAGGCACATGGCTGCACTTGGTAGGTACAAAAAAGATCAAAAAGCAAAAAGCTGTTGGCAATACATTCCTTGTTTCTTTGCACTTGTTGTTGGAAACAATTCTTGGCGCTGTTCGGAAACCTGGCCAGGTGCGGCTCAGGGCGTTCATCACCCCATACCTTCAAGGGTCTATCATGGAAGTGGTGTGTAGTCGTGAGATACAATTTCAGCCACCAATTTGATCATGGTTTGTGGTCAACCTTCCTATTCTTCTGGTGCTTCAGAAATGGCCTTGTGGTGGATGCATAACCGTGCAACACCGGCCGATCGAGCGGCAGAACCTTTTAAACATCCCAGAAACTCATGTATCCGTTGCGGCTGCAAGCAGATCCATCATGTACTTGGGTTCAATGAGCTTATATGTTGAATCAGTCAAAGCTGACGTCTAATCACCAAGTGCAGCCAATGCCCTATCAATCCCTCAACCTGCCATTCGCCAGTTGGTTTACTCATCCAATCTCTTTCTCAGGTGAATTTGTTCACGGTCGTAATATGAGGTTATGCCCCATGTTCAGACTCACCCATATCATCTTTACTGATTAATAGCAAATGCATCCCTAATATAAACCTATCAAATTGTTGGGGTCAAACCACCATTTGCTGCAGTTTATGGTTTAGACTGGGGGGTATGAATAAAACATAATAAAACATATTTAAAGAGTCAATCCCCAATATACACCCATCTAAGTGTTGGTTGCACCCCCATTTGTGGCCGATCAACAAAACACAATCACATGGCAATGGGTCATGACACCCTGGCACCCTTCTGTTCACATCAAAACAGGTGAAATTCATGGATGTTCATCCCTACCTAATACTAATACTATACAACTAGTGGTATTTTGTAAGTTTTAACGGTTTAAACCCATCCCTACACCAGTCTTCAAAATCGCGCGCCTTTTTTTCCATCAACCAATCAGCTCCATTAACTCATCTCGGCGGAGCATAGGGCAGTCACGTCGCCGGTGGCGTTTCTGGTAACCTCAGCCATGGCAAAATTTTCGCTAGACCATACTGGGTGGCTCAGTTGTAGAAAATGATGGTTTTACATGGTTTTACCAGTTTTACCATCAAATCTGTAGAACATGGTAGTCTTAGCCTCTTAGCATGACAAATTCACAAAGGGAGACTTACCACTGGGGATTTTCCGACCTCATTTGGGGATGGCTCAAGTCATTGGAATTTCAATAGGCCCACCATCTATTGGTCAGTGTTTGTATTTGAACATCCAATTCAGTTGGAGGCGAAGGGAACAACAGTTGGTATGTACCAATACGATGAATGTCCGAAGAGCCTCTAAACCACTGTGATTTCTATCCACTGAATTAATATCTGTCGTAGTCTAGTGACCAGTTTGATTTTAGGGAATGACAGAAGGTAAGCGTAGCATTGCTTGCGTGGATGAAAGGGGCTCAGACAGCGTATCAACATGATTTACATGGAATGGATTTCCAACTGCCGTGCAACACTGACACTTCTCCAGGATTTTGGGATATAGATGAGCTCAAACCTGTGCGCACTAAATTACAATACCCAATAACTGAGATAGATGTGAGCCGTTTTAAACAGCTGACTATATTTGCAGCAAACTTGTGACCCAGAAACACTTGAATCCTCCCATGTTCGTTGCTTCATAGTCAAACCCCAAATTGTTGCTTATCATGACATCTTCTCACATGCGAACTGTTGTGAATCCCCATGGTTTCTTCGTCAAAATCCAGTCTGTGCTTGATACAGCTGCTTGGCCAAGAAACTCATCAAGGCTAAAGCCTAGCCGTGGGAGAAGCGGCAGGCTTCTTCACAACACCACAGTAACACCACAGTAAAACAATGCCCTTTTTCATTCGGGAAACATAAACACCTAACTCGGAACGTCAAGCCTCATTATTTTGACATGAATATGAATGGATTAATGTAATGGGGTACCAACGGACCCACAGAAAGCTGGTCGCTCTCACATCTTAAGCCAATTACTCTGGGGGAACTGCTAATTTACCAGGTTTGAAACAAGGGATTTTCCTTCATTTGGGTTTGTCCAACCATTTAGAATTTGCCAATAAAGTGACTATAACCACGACATTTTTGGGTACCCTATTTTCAATCACACCCAAGCGAAAAAGTAGAGGAGCCAGTAGAATCCCAGCCCCTGATCATAATAACTTAATAACCGTTATACATTGGATCCCAGGATGAACCCATCCAAAATTTAAACCAAGCTTATCCAGGCTTTCATTGAACAGGCGGGATGAAATATACATCCACCACCAACATGTTCCAACAATGGATCGAAACTTCAAGCATCAGTGTTCCCCAAACAATGCCGGTTACATGTTCTTTGGATTTGCTTTCTTCAGCTACCAAATATCAAATTCCCAATCACTGCCTATACTATACTATACAGCAATGATCATGAAAATGGCGATGGAAAACAAAGACGGCCATTCACGTCCATTCACCAAGGTACGGAGTATCTGAGTACCTAATTGCAACTGGCTAGTAACCATAGTTTGCTGTGCAACCAGTTTGTACAATTCAAATAAGGTTTTTGTTGTCTGGGAATTTTCTGGGAGAAGCATCAGCAAGAAACATTTTATGTTGGTCGTTGTTACAATTATTGGTTGTAAGTTGTACTGTCAATTCCAGCTCCGTACCAAAGAAAAACTGCAGACGTTGCTTTCGCGCCATGCCGCGCCTGCTCCCACTCCAGGGCTTCCTCACAGGCCTCCAGCGCCAACGCATAGGCGTTGTCGGCTTCCACGGCGTTGACGTCGGGCAGCAGGGCCAAAGCGTGCGGCCAGGCGTAGCTGGAGGCACCTAAGCGAAGCTAAGCGAAGGGATGGGTGACAGTCGTTGTCTGGCATGGCTTTCAATCCTCCACCAAACAGTACCAAACATGGTAAGATTGGGAAACCTCGCAACATTTTCTTATGCAGTTAAGCGGCTTACTGCGGTCTTTTTTGGATATCTTGGTGGCGTGTTGATCCCTTGCCAGTAGTTTAACTTTTAGGGGGGTATGATGTGATGTGACAAACTCATCTAAGCCCCCCCAACCCCGCAAAAGTGTACCGCTAGACACTACCCGGATAAATGACAATGGTGCTACTTAGATGCACTCAATGTTTCAAGCTTTCTTACCAGTTTTTGATAGTCTCTATCTGTCTTCATATCCTACCTGTTCGTAGGAAGGTCCCTTGTGATGATCCCAGTCTCAGTATCCATGTCCAACAAATTGTGGGGTGGGCCCCTGAGAATGTGACATGATGTACGTACAGTAAACATATGTAAACATTGGTGAAATCAATCCGAAGAATGGGGAACCTCAAGCCTGGATGAGTAGGTTGACTGGTTGTTCAGTGGGCAATCTCATTCCTTCCAAGCATATAAGATATTTCACAGGAGGCTCATGAATTGGGGTTGTTCTCACCAAAAAGTCATGAACACCGCAACGTTTTTGGTAAGGTCCTCCTGGAAAATCATCTATGATCCATGCCCGTACTTCCCCAGGTCAAATAACCTGATACGCCCATTCTTCTTTGCTGCGTGTAGGGTATGACTATTGATGATTTATCGTTGTCATTTACATCCATTCACTGTCTGTGAACAACAAAATGAAAAACCTCAACAGAAATCATTTTGGTATGGTTTCTCTTGTCTCCCATCATCTTTGCTGAGATCATGGTGACTACTCCCTCAGAACTGACCCAAATTTATCACATCTCTACTCCCACCAACCCATGAGCCAAAACACACCAATGCAAGGCCACCCGAGCCATCTTCTCGCAAGGTTCCAGAGATAAGAACTCGATGGCTTCTCGCCAATTGGAGAAGAGCTGCAAAGCACCTCAGAGAATGGTCGTTGGCCTTGAAACCCATTTGAAAAAACATTTGTCATCCAGTGCTTGACTGCACTTTTTGTTGGTCAAATTCTCCGAGTAGGAACTGTCCCGGTTCAGCATCACCACCACATCAAAGGGATCATCTCCAGCAGCCATCCAGTTTGCGAACATGTGAGATCAGGGCCAACCTTTTGAAGCATGTATCCATATATTAAATATGTAGAAATAAATTTCCCACACAAATACATGTACTTAAATATATATGATTATATCTATATATGGTGAAATGTATATATATATATATAAATGATTATATATATATGATTTAAAAAACATAATTATATATATATATGATGATACATATTTATGATTAAATATGATTATACACATATATGATTATACATATAAATTGTTAACAATATGATTATACAAACATGATAATATTAAAATAATTGTCAACATATGATTACATACATATAAATGACATACATATGATTATATCAATAATTATATATAATATATATTATACATATGTATTATTTTTTAATTACATATGTATTATTTCTTGATATATATAAACGCAAAACACGAGATTTACTGACCCTGATCTTAGCCAGGGTACCTTCCCATGTGGCCCATATCGCCCTAAGCTGCAACGCCTCCCTGGGCCTCGAAGCCTCTTGAAGGGTCTGCACCTAGCAGGGTGCACCGGGTTGAAACACGATGTGGAGATATCGAAGATTTGAGCAGATAACGTTGAAATAGACTACATAGATGCGGACTGATTATCTGATTGAAGCAGAAAAAGCATCAGAGTTAGCATGAGAAATGGGGTGTGAACCGTGTTTGACCGGGAATTTCCTCCGGATCCAACATAAGCTGACCTCAAATGGGCCCAAGATGATTTCATTCAAAAACGGGGAAATGAGATATAAAGTTTTGTTCCAAACCTTGGGATTGAATGGGACATGTTTCAGCATACACATATGGGCAAATCCAAAAATAGGGTGCCCACAAGCCACTGCTTAAAAACCTTCAATCCTCCCTCAACATGGCCACGAACTGGTTGTTACATGTTTTTACTTTCATAATTCTTGGACAAGCACAACTCAAGGAAATCACAAGTTCCCGTTAAATCAGGAATGTTTGATGATATAAAACTTGCATATCATATACTACCATTTTGAGATGCTTTAACGCTCAACTCAAAATAACCAAATGATTCGAACCTACTCAAATTCTGGCTTGAGCCACACCACCATTTTTGATGATAGAAAAATGCATTAAACCCACCATTTTGGACATCTATACCACTTATTCATACTTATTCCTACAATTTCCATACATTTATTGAGATTTCCACCATGAAAATGGGCCATCAATTTTTCGCTCAGGTGCCGCTTGATGTTGCAGCCACTTCTCCGGCGTGGTCTTGCGCTTGCGCAGCAGAGATATGAGGTGCAGCGTGTGGCGCCAGCCTCGGCGGGCCAAGGCGGAGAGATAACTTACAAGGAATACACAGGATAAGTTATCCATAATAACTAGCAATAACATAAATCATTTTGTAACATATTAAAACCAAAAGCAGAATTGTATTGACATTGCGTCAAATATTTGAATATACGCAAATTATGGATCGGGAAGTCTGAAACACAGTAAGGTGTTTGCCTTGGAGTCCTCAGAAGCAGTGGATAGAGCAGCAACTCATACAAGTAGAAGCAACAAAACGCTTGCTTGTTCGCGACCGGGCTTGAGAATGTGACCAATACCAACGGCAGGAATGACTATCTATACTTAATCTGGAAATCAATTTCCAAGCAATCAAGGTGACACACAGCACAGTTAGCAATCATTGGGCTTCCGCTTCTACCATCGAAAGGGGATGCCCATGACCAGAAAGAATGTGTGGGCACCAGGCGCCGGGGCAAACACATTAAAAATAGTGCCCCCTTACCCCATCCTACCCCCACTTAGTCAAAACCACTTATCATGGCGTTTGACAACATCCCCGAGCTGGTCCAGCCCTTCTGGCACCAAGCTGCTATACTTGGAGATACTTGTCAATGTGCCAGCATCCATGGAACCGAAGTGCCCCTGTGCAAGCTGAAGCTTCCCATAGATGGCTTGAGGTCAATATGTAGAACATTGGAACCTTCAATCCATAGATTTGGGTTAGATCCGTTGGATCTCGAATTTTTAGGAGGCTCAAAGGCGGGACCTGCCCTAAATCGCTCAACAATCTGTCAAGCAGAACAAGGGATGAACGCCATATTGGAGACTTTCCAAGTTGGGTACTGGAACCCTTCCATGCTCACTCGGTATCCCCAGCTTTGAACCTCTTGGCTTTGGGGTCTAGGATTTGGACCCATAGCCACCGAACAATCTGAGAGAAGCCGAATGGCAAATTTTAGATACCCTACAAAACAATGCAAGAAACATAAAGTGTCGCTGGCTAGTCCATATCTTCCCATCAATATAACACAACAAAATAATCCGTTCGCCTGGCATTCAACGCGGTTGGCCCAAGTATTTGGCCATAGTTTTTGCTGTTTAAATCTCATTTGGTCAAATTGAACCCAACTTTTTCACTGCAAAATCCCAAGTTATGTTGGTTTGTTCATCTACTCAGAACCTGTCAATCACCATGGCACCTCTACAGGACCACAGCAGTCCACGCCTCCGCTTCCTCCAGAAAAGACATGGCCTGTTGCCACTGAGCAGCCTCTGCGCAGGCCCTGGCACTTCGTAAATGAAGCCAACCCTGAAAAAATATTCTGGTCGATTTGGATCATTATCCCATCAGTTGGATGGGAACTTCACACACACACACACGCACTATACAAATATACATATATACCTATGTATAAATGAATAAATAGATAAATAAATAAACAAAGAAAAAACAAATAAACACATAAATTTATAAATAAATAAAATAAATAAATAAATAAATATATATTTATTACATTATATATGTATGTTATATTTCAAGACACTAAGATTGAGACAGAAGATATTCCGAATATTCACCCTATTATTTTACAGGCCATCTTCTATTTGATTTGAAGCTTGGCACCACCGCCAAAAAATCAAATAGAAAACATCCTCTAAATTATTCAAAAAATGATGTCCCAAAATGATGATGCAAGAAGCATTGTTCTTGGATCTGTTTGAAATGGGCTTTTGGGGCCCCTTCTTCTATTTGTATGTATGAGCAGACTATAGTCAATAGTTTCCCTAAATCTTATGGGATGAATATTGGCAACTGAAGTAGAAATGAAATCGAAGTGAATGTTGGAGACTTGGCATTTGTTGTGGGTTATTCAGTCCGAATTGGGTCTCAGCATGTGTCAGCTAGAATCAAGGTATTATTTCTTTTCTTTTCTTGAATGTTTTAGGATATTGTAACTATCACCAAAGTTGACCCAGGTTGCGTACTAAATTCAAACAGACACACTTGTAGGCCTAAAGTGAGGAAAGGGGCTTGCTTTAGACTCAGACGTATTCTGATTTGCTGACAGAAACCGGGACATGTGAGATGTTGCCGAAACTGGTAGTTGAACTCAATTATGAACCTGCCTGGAAAGTGATCGATTTCTGCAATTCATTGCAAAAAAGCGACCTAAATACTACTGCAATAAACGCTTTCCATAATTCGCTTGACCCGCTGGCCCCGTTTCACCCTTTGATTCATTCGAACATAGGTCAGAACAGCAGCTCCACAAAGTGGCTGGTCACGGCTGGTCATTTCTATGAGCAAAGAAGCCAATTCAGGCTTCGATATCTAGATCCAAATGCATATGGCGGGCAACCTCTACCCCAAATCCTCTCCATTCACAACCCATTGGCAGCCTCAGTCAGAAATGATTGTTTTTCCCTCCAGATCCAAATCTCCGAAAGATCCCCAAAGTAGCCTATGTTTCTCCTGTTTTAGTAGAGAAGCATCTAGGCGCTCCCTGGCAAACCCTTCATCAGCTCACACGCCTGATGGACAACTTGTAGGCTCTAGGAAGCATCTGAACACCTGGGCAACCACTGACACCTGCTGACTCTTGCTTGGGACATCAGTAGGAACACCACCCCGAGCTCAACAGTTAATCTGTGGCTGCTTTTTTTGGGGGTCAAATTTTGGACTCATTGCTTGTGACTGACTTGGTTTAAACCAACCTGGAAAAGAGAGCAGAAAACCGCTAGTTTTGAATCCTGCCATGATGCAGAAATCAATCTTCTTTACCCTTTGGCCTTGGGATCTTGCTCAGAAATGAAAAAAAAATCCAGGTTTTGTGGCTACGGCTCAAACTCGATCCTCGAAATAGAGGGTTTTGAGATCGGAAAAATAACCAATTGAGATCCCAATTTTGAGCCCATCTTGGTTGGCGGTTTCAACCAAAGCCAGAAAAAAAAATCCAAATGTTTCAAACCACTAGCCGGTTTTACTGTATTGTATGGCCTCAATGATTTCCCAGGATACTACATTTTCTGTGATCAAATGCAACTGTCTGATGATTTAAGCTAACAAGTGTCTGATGGTTTAAGCTAAAGATTGCAATGTCCAACGGTTAAAGCCCCAGGTTTGGCAGTTGACAAGCACCCTTGGTCATTTGTGGCACTTAATCTTCATTTTTCGGTCGTTGCATGATTTTTTTGATTGTCAACCTCGGGTAACCAAACAACATTCAAATACACCTGCAAAAAAGTGAACAATCCATCACAAAACCAAGCACTTAAAAACCAGTAAAAACCCAATATCCTCCTTGCAGTCCCCCAACACGGCGCACCTTGCGCTTTGGCCTTTTGAAATATCTGCGGTAACATCCACTTCTTGGAGCCCTGGCGCCATGGCGCCATGGTGCAACATGGCAGCCACGGTCGTTAGATAGATGTTTTCATGAACATCTAAGGGTGCCCCCTCCAACAATAGAGTGTTTAGTAATCCCCTAATTTGCGCTAATGAATCAAACATTTCACTAATCATTCAGCAAACAGATATCCTCAGGTCATCATGACCAAACGGCAATCATGAACCAGCAAATCTGGTGATGGTTCAGGCCTACTAATTCCTACTAATCAATACCAGTAGTACTGCACAAGGACCGCGCAAGGCGGTGGCGGAAGTTTCAAAAATAGGAAACCTATAGGAGAGGTTGGTTGTTGTGAACCACGGATGGCAGAGCGAATCCACTGATGGACCGATAGGTGGTTGGAGTTGTGTTTTTTGGAATGGTTGCAATGGTTGCAGTGGTCACCTTACCACAACTGCTGGATGTAGTGTAGTTTAGTGTAGTTGTAGTTGCAGTTGTAGCTGTAGTTGTAGTGTAGTGTAGTGGAGCTGTAGCTGTAGTGTAGTGAGTGTATTTGCAAGTGCAGTTGCAGTTGTAGTCATGGCGTGGTGTAATTAGTGTAGCGTAATGCACTGTAATGTCGTGTAGTGTAGTGTGGTATAGTGTAGTGTAGTCTAGTGTAAGGTAGTGTAGTTGTAGTATAGTGCAGTGTAATTAGTGTAGTGTAGTGGAGTGGAGTGTAGTGTAGTGTAATGTAGTGGTAGTTGTAGCTGCAGTTGTAGTTGTAGTGTAGTGCAATGTAATCAGTGTAGTGTAGCGTTGTGTGATGTAGTGTGGTTGTAGTTGTATTTGTCGTTGTAGCGTGCTGCAGTGTAATTAATGTAGTGTAGTGTAGTTGTAATTGTAGCTGTAGTTGTGGTAGTCGTTGCTGTTGTATATAGTTGTTAATGTAATTGGCGTAGCGTAGCGTAATTAGATGTAATTATATAGTGCAGTGTAATGTAGCGTAGTATATTTGTATTTGTAGCTATAGCAGTAGTGTAGTGCAGTCAAGTGGTAGTTGTAATTGCAATTGTCTATCTATCTATCTATCTGTCTGTCTGTCTGTCTGCCTGCCTGTCCGTCTGTCTGTCTGTCTGTCTGTCTACTTGCAAGCTTGAAAACACAGCAATTCCACGAGACTTCCTCAATTTTTGAACTTGACAACGTCAAAAACGAATCCATTCTGCGAGACTTCCTCAATTTTTGAACTTGACAACATCAAAAACGAAACAAGTCTGTGAGACTTCCTCCATTTTCGAAGTTGACAACATCAAAAACGCAACAGTTCTGCGAGACTTCCTTCAAAAATGGAAAGTTGAATGCAGAGCTGACGGCCTCGTACCAATGCGTTTTGCAATTTTTCCACTCCACCTGTCTAAAGTACTGCGCCTGCCACGAAAAAGTGATGCCAAGTCATACGAAGTGCTGCACCTGTCACGCAAAATCATCTCAGCAAACCTGAAGATCTGATGCTCCAAAATGCAACCCCTCTCAGGAAATCAGCGCCCTGACCTCCTAACATCTCTGATGGACATGTCTCTTGTACTGCGCCTGCCAGGGAAACTGCATCTTTGCAGATCCTCTTCACATGTCCCACGCCTGCCATCGTTTTTGGAAATGCCACAAAACCCTCACGTTTTTCTCACTTTTGACAAGGTGCACAATCCCTTGCGCCTGCCACGCAAAACGACAGCTGAACGTCCAAAAGCGCTCCATACCCCACAGTTGTTTGCACTTTTGACTTCGGAATGTGCTTCGCGCCAAAACAGTGTGCACTTTTTCCACATCTCAACTTCCAAAAGTGGTCCGAACATGTGGTGTTTTTAACATTTTTACTTCCAAATGTGCTTCGCGCCACAACGGCGTGCACTTTTTCGACATCTCAAGTTCCAAAAGTGGTCCGGACCTGGTGTGTTTTATACATTTTGACTTGGAAATGTGCTTCGCGCCACAACGGCGTGCAACTTTTCATCTCTCGTCTGGCCAGATGGCTCCGCACCCGCCGCTTTAGCGAGCCTACTTTTCGGCCTCCGGAGCCACAAATCATTGGAAAAACACAATGTTTTGCGACTTTCCTACCTTTTTGCGGACCTGGATCCTCTTTCTTCTGAGACTTTCTCTTTTTTGATCTTCTTTCTTCTTCTCTTCTCTGACTCTTCCCACCTGTGCTTTTCCATCTGTCCATCTTGTCGGAAGTTTGACTTCTAAACTTCCTTCGGCTAATGATCCAAATTGAATAGTACTAATTTTATCTGATTTTGGTTCCAATTCTGTGGGTCCATTGGTGATTCATGTTTGAACCGTGGTCCTGAGCCAAGGTTCCGAAAGTCTTGAGATGTCTTGAGAAGCCTTTAGTGTAAAGGATATATTATTATTATTATATATTTGTATGATCACCACCGTTTTAAGGATGGGGGACGTACCCAAAATGTAAGCTACATTTTTCAAGATTTTCAAGGTGTTTTTGAGGGGTGCCTTGAACATGTAAGCTTAAAATTTGAAGGTATTTTGAAGACCCTCCAAACAAAAACGACACCTGGGGGACGTTCAGCAACCAATTTTACAATTAGGGGGGCGTCCCAAAAAATGTAGCCTACATTTTGGTATGTTCCCCCCGTCAAAAGTGGCCTTATAGTAAATATCCTTCGGTTGTGGCGAAAAACTACTCGGTATCCTAATAGACTGGTGGTGAATGACCAAATAAGGCTTGAGCCTTGAGCGTCAGAGCCTGTCTATCCCTTCTATCACTAGTTGGGATTGGTAAAGGAAGGCGATGGATCCTTGCCATCTATTTATTGACAACGAAAAACAAAAAACTACATTATACATCATTATCCTACATTCACACCTAATTACTTTGTATCCTAAGCCTCAAAACCAGCAACACCAACGGCGAACTCATCAATTGAATGTTCTTGAAGCCTTCGGGTGCAGAGGCAGTGGAAATCTTCGGACAAGATCATTTCCCGAGTGAAAAAATGGTGCTACAATGCTGACAGTGCCCGAATAATGAAGAAACAAGTCCCAGGTGTAGCCCACACTACAGGAGCAGCTGTACAAAGCCATTGATCGCTTTTTTCCGGTTAAGTGCGGCGTGCACGCCCAAGAAGAGGTCGCAAAAAGCCATGGCAGAAACCCTGAAGTAAGCATCTACGGTTAGTAGGTAGCTGGTTTCTACATCTATACCCACAACACACGAGCTGGATGTAAGCCAAGAATTTCCGATGGCCAAGTCCTCATTTTTGTTGCTTAAACCTTCACCTGTGCTGCTCAAGTCTAAAGTTTCAAGGCGAACTTCCCGTTCTGGTTGCTTAAAATTCCATTTCCCATGGGTCATCAGATCCCAATTTTGTTGTTTAACTGCAATTGTCATAGCAAACCTCCCCGAAACAAAAATTTGCTGCCCATGCTGCCCCCTCCAACCTTCAAGGCTTGCACCAAGGCCAGGTAAGTCACTTCATCCGGGTGGAGTTCTGCAAGCTGCATCCTGGAATGCCACGAAAAAAAGGGTGATTTTCAGCACAAAAAAAAGTAACATAGGCGAAGGCATTGAGAACACAGATTTGCACTCCCAGAAACTTATGCAAACCAAAAATACAGCACATGCAGAAGACACGTTCTTTGGAAGGATTGGAAATTGCCAGTTTTGGGGAGGGACTCCAAGGGTGTACGGCCTGTAGAACAATGCTATCTCGGAGCAAGGGCTGGCGGTTGGCTTTTGATCATGAGCTCAGACTGATGATATTGGTAAATCCCTGCGCTAAGCTCCTGAAGAGCCCCAAAAAAAACAGACAAGGATCTGCCATTATTTGTTGGTTTCACTGTTGCGCACTTTGGTTCCCAGCTAGTTCTACGTACCCTCAGCGCCTGTTACTCTGTGCCCTTCTCTTGTTGAAGTAAACGCAAAGGGCTTTGCAGAAACCGCCACGCTTCAGTGCGCTTCTGACAGCACGTGCCGCGTTCAAGTTCAGCTACTTCTGCGTTCCAATCTAAGTGCAACGCGTCACCAAGATAGTTCTGTAGGACGTTTCTGCATTTGCACGCGTTCATCAGGATGATTGTGTCGCTATGCCGTACAGTTTTGGCTGCTCTAAGATTGCACAGAAGCGAAGAAAGGTCTTGCTGTAGCTGCCATGTCTCAAGTGGACTGCAGGAGTAGTAGCACAAGCTCAATGACTTCAACCCAAAATGAGGGCTACATAGCATGTTCCCGTTTCCTAATGATGATACACATCCCGCAAGTTCGCTGCAGATGCACTAATGTTTGCAAATTGAATTTCAATGCTGGTGCAATTCACTTTGCTTCGTTCATTGACTTACGCTTGGTCAAAAGTCCATGTGTGTTGGCCAAACTCCTATTCTCGTTCCTCAGCCCTCATCTTTCTTGTCAAATCATCTTTCTATTGATACAATCACATACTGCAGCTGATGGGTCAATTCCTCTTTTAGTGGGGCTAAATCCTCCTCGTTCTCCTGCTTTTTGAAATCGTTGCTACCCTCCCTGTGACTAAATCACCCACATGAAACAACGTGTTCAAATGAAATATTGTGTTGTCACGTCGCCCGTATTTTTCAAATCCCTGTCATTTTCATCAATTAATTTAGTACACAAGTCAACACTTTCCAATGGATGCCCCTCACTTTCTATATCCCGACTCAGCTGAGACTCTCATCCATCACCTCCAACACCACACGCCAGGAGGCCTGGCCAAAGCTTTGCTGGGAAATCTGCCATTTGTAGATGATGTTCACAATAAGCCGAGTAAACATATGTTCACAAGGCGGGCTCCAGTACTCATTTCTTTACTGAGGTTTATACATCTACGTGCACAAATAGATGCTGTAGATTGCACTTGCCTACAGTAGTTCCCGCGCTTTGTTGGCGATTTCCCATGTTTACCTGCCTTTTGTTGGTTGTTCGCCTGACATAATCCTAAAATCTTTGTGGGCGATTGCTCATACAATTCCCTTGTACATGATCATCCCATCCCCATTTGTCACCATCCTGCTGCAAAACTATTTGTCACTTGGGTGTCAAGAAAAATGCCGCAAAATGAACCCACCAACCAGCTCATCCCCCATCGCAACTCACAGCACTTCCGTGTCTTTCCAATGGTGGTGCTATATGCATCTTGCTACTGCCACCTTGCAACTAGCATCACATCTCCGCATACCACATCTCCACTCTTTCAAATTGTAGTCCTGCACATCCCATCATCATAAGCCCCCAAAACAGTCACAATGCATCCGGTTGTCCCATGGTTCGCAGCTCACCCGCAAATCACGTCAGTATCCCATGCTTTGCTAGAAATCTGTCATCATCCCATCATCTCGACACCCCTACTGTAAATAACAGACAGATACTTTGAACCATAAAGCAGGAAACACACACACACACCAACTAGCCATCACCATCTTCCAGCCCTACACACTAATTGAGGATAATCAGCCAGCTAAGATGTTTCTTCAAACATCACACCAACCATCTGCACCAACATCCTCCACCACCCAGCACCGCCACCACCCCAAGCCTTACAGGCCACCATGGCGTCATTGAACGCTCTCGTGTCCTTGGACTTTCTTCAGACCGCTCAAGTTCACACGATTCCCGTGGATCATGGCAGATTCCCAATTCATGGTAGACTGCAAACAACTGAAACCAACAAATGGAACTTAATCAGACAATACACCGAGATCTACAATAGAATCTTAATCAAACAAATTGCAGCAATAATATTCGCCAATCGTTATATCATCGTAGATGTCCCTTTTCCAAAGTTATGACCAGCTAAAAAAAGAATGTCATCTGGTAGATGAACCAATTAAAAGATAAATGGAGCCTGACCAGTTGCAATGGACTGGTTGGTTAATCCATATTTATCCATGCCTATCAATTAAATCACATTTTTCACACTGTGGACAGTTCACCTTTTGAACCATGAATAGAGTATATTCAAGATGAGGAGATACCCATTCTGAATTATCAACCAGTTGGTCAATCTGATCTGTTGGTTATCTGTTGGTAATTCAGAAGATCAATTACAATCCACTAAGATTACCAAATCTGTGCTTGGCAGAAGATTAGAAGATCTTTTTCTATCAGTTTCCCTGATTAGTTTCCCATTCTATCCCGGTCTTACTCATTTATCACTAAGTCGATCTATTTGTATCTATGATGATAAATGATCATGAAAGGGACTAAGAAAGAGAGAGACTTGGATTAATCATTGATAAATATTTATTGGCATCCATAGTTCAACATTGCGTAGGCATTGCTTATCATATTCTTATTTATTTATCAATAATGATAAGAACATATAAGATAATAAAATACAATTCCATAGCTAACGTTGACCAATGGAACGATTACTTCCATCCACGTCCCAAGTCTCCGTGCATCGCCCGCAGCGCAGCTGCCGCAGCAGCTGCAGCGCCGCGCGCGGTCGCGCGCCGCCTACAGCGCGTTGCGCTAGGCGGCGCAGCTCGACGTCGCGGGGCGCCAGGCGCAGGAGCCTTGGGATCCAACGGGGATAGCAGTGGGAAAGGTTGGATGAAGCATGGATTTCACATGGTTTGATCAACCCAAATGGTAATTTCACTGATTCAACACGTTGTAAACAGCAAACAAATGGATTCAAGTTGCTTGAGCCAGCAAAACATAGAGATTTCAGAACGAACACGGGCATTTCACCACTAAACATGTGGGTTCCATAATGAAAAAATCGCTGTTTTCACCAAGAGCAATCTGGAAACATTTGGAATTAATTAATTAACCAACAATAATTGGAATTTAGCAACTGTTGGCTGCAGCGGACAAATATGAAATGGTGGGGTGATGATGGGATGTGATACCAAAGGGTACTGACCGGACCTGTGCTCTTGACTTGCCGTTTCGCAATTGGGTATCGGCCGTAAAAATCAGAACCTATGTTCACCTATCTACAAAGCAGGAATTTGTCAAATGAAACCGTATTAATTTGTAGATGTTGTTTGAATCTTTTGCAGTACCCCATCGAACAAGATTAATTACCGACAATATGAGATGTTCAGTAAAAAAAGGTTCAATGGGTTAGATGGCAACCAACAAACAATCTTGTAAGGGGTCTTGTCGACACAAACTGAAGAAACTTGGGGAAAGGCAGCCGTTTCACAAAATAAATGTGAGAAATTGAGATTCCACAACAAGTGCTAGGTCAGGCTTTGAATTTTGACCCTCAAACAACATGCTTATCAGTCTATGTACCATTGATTGTTAAAGTTCTGGATGAGTCTGCCGTTCAACCATCAACAACTCAGCCGACATACTCGATGGCCATCATCCAAGCCCGTGCAGAAGCACATGAATTCATCACCTGCCACCGTGCTTGGTCAAAAGAAAAGTATATAACTAAAGTGTGATTTGACTCAACATTGTGGTTTCGACCCACCCAACATGTTCTTTTGAATTTGGATCACCCCATGTAAGATGCAATGAAACCATTCACCAACACCTTTACAATGCTCAAGTTTGCTGAGGGCCCATTGTCCAATAACATCTGGAAGATCATGTGCTTATATGGTTTGCTGCCAAGCCAACACTCATCCAACAGCGTCTGTTGGAAGAAATCAAAGGGGCCCGTTTGGTACCATTTATTGGTATAGATTTGTGATGTTATCCCATTCATATACCCGTGCATATACTGAGTCCATGGTGTGCAAAAAATGCACATAACATCACATTAGTACGCATGCGAGCCATCTACCCAAACACCCAGAGAGAAACAAAAGGAGAAAAGAACATGTACGACATCTATGACCGAGTCGTCTTAGCTTTACTCTTCAAGTTCCAACGAAACACACTGGACAAAAGATAGTTCAGACATGTTAAGACTGAAAACCGACTCAATTCACACCGAATCACAGCGACGTTCATCGGCGCGCCTCGCGGTAGGATACCACATTACTTTGCACAGATCGTTCAAATGCCTGTGAGAGGAGCTCCACCGCCACTGTCCATGCACCTGATGGGTTGATGGGTCGGGTTCATGGGTTGATCATGGGAGAAGAACAATGTTAAGCCGTTAAGCAACTGCGAGGCTTCAGACATGACATGTATATTTAACATTATTTATCCGTGTTCAAAGGGAAACAAAACAACCGCTCTACAATCCCTACAGTCCGATCTCATTCTTTGGACCTTGTGGGTCCACGATATCCAAACTTCGACTCCCTTCCTACCGTGCCTGAATGACAGGAAGCCAAAGCTTTGTTGTAGTAGAAAATTCCAGGTCTATCCTTGGTGGTGGAGCTCCCGTCTCCCCTTCTCTGGGGACGGTTTTTTGTTCGGGACATGTGCGGCGCTGTCATTTCTCTCTGCAAGAAGACTTCTCCCGCTTTAGACCTACAGGTAGTAGGTTCGAAGGAATTTTCATGTAGATGTATCTCTTCATCTATCTGCCCATCAAAAACACCTCCCGGGAAACTCATACTCTTGGAAGGACCTCCCACCTGAACATATCCTGGAAGGACTGAAAGTTTGCCGCGTAGCTGTGGAAGCATTGAATCAAGCCATTCACACCCAAAAAAACTGAATGGGTTTTGTTGGGGTGTGAATCTCAGACCATCCAGGCCATCTCCGTGCCGCAAGATAACAATCCACACACTCAGTTTCGGGCCATTATCCAATATTTTCTTTATATACAACACATACATTCAATCCCACCCGAACCCCCAAAAAATCATCCCATCAAAAATCACTCCTTCCCCGCTTTGATATCTTTGATCTCTCCCTTCTCGATCCACCAAGTTTCCGGCCCCCAACGACACCGCTGCAGGAGCTCAATGGCCAGCTGCCATTGACCGCCCACCGCGCAGGCGCCCAGCGACACTTCCAGCAGCTGCTGATCCGGTCGCAGATTGGTCTCCGCGTCTTCGAAAAGACACAAGGCCTGAGGCGCGAAAGGATGGCTATACTGGGTGCGCATGACGTGTCATATCTATATGTATACAAAACACATTAAGATACATACACGTGTATATAATTGTATATATATATATATGTGTATATCATGCAATATTAAACACATACATGCTTATATGCGTATATATATATATATATTAAAAACACGATTACAAACACATATCTTCAGTACCTTTTAGCAATCATGGCATCATTTTGTAACGATGATCATGATGATGATCATGACGATGCTAATGACCACGATGATGCACACAAAAAACGCTATTCTGCTCTCATCGTTGTTACTGTGTACGTTCATTGTTATCACAATTATCTATAATTAAATCATTTTATCAATTTTATCATATTTTATCAAGATACCCCATGATTGAAGAGGGCCTTCCAATTAACAGCTTGCCATTAAACAATAACCCTCTTGGACTTGATGTAGCAGCTTGTAGCACACATGGACCTGGACTGCAAAGGAAACATGTTGAGAAACCCGTCAACTTTGTCAATTAAAATGGAGACCACTGTAGACCTACTTGGTTCCACTTCCAGGATTTTGGTTGTTTTTGGACACTTTCAAGGATTGTGCAATTATCATTATTAACCTGGGGATCAACATCCAAGTATGGTTGATCTTGGATGCCATTCAAGCAATCGCATATCTCTTGTCCTGCGTATCAACAAGTCCGCATCCTATAGCAAAAGAAAAAACAAATCATTTCAGCATTCACCAGTTGGTATACTAGGTATTTACCGCTATTTACCAACTGCTGCTGCTAACTGGGTAACCCCCCTGTCTGTAGGTGAATCAACCCAACTCACCAGGGGGCTTGACATTGATTCATCCCCACCTATTAAGCTAGGGGGGGGGTCAAAAAATGTAAGTTACAAAAAAATAGGGTTGAGGGGGTCAAGAAGATAATGTTACATTTTTGTAATTTTCTCAAAACATGTAACTTACATTTTTTGAGAGGAAACGTCCAAAACTAGGGGGGGAGGTCAGAAAATGTAAGTTACATTTGCTCAAAAAATGTAAGTTACATTTTTTGACCCTGTAATTGTTTATTGAATATATAGTTATAGATATATATGTATATTATTTTTTCTATATTATTATTATTAGCAGTAGTAGTAGTAGTAGCAGTAGTAGTAGTAGTATAGTAGTAGTAGTAGCAGTAGTAGTAGTAGAAGTAGAAGTAGAAGTAGAAGTAGAAGTAGTAGTAGTAGTAGTAGTAGTAGTAGCGTAATAGTATTAGCAGTGCTCGTAGTATTAGATATGCTTTGACCAGATGCAAGAATGCCATAGAACTCCAGTTCGTCACCAATGGCTACCATTGGGGCTGGGGTAGTGCGGGCAAGTCGGTAAAAGCCAACGCACTGCGTGGTTTATGATGGATTGTGCTGGATCCATCATAGGTTCCAGTGACAAACTCAGCTCACACAGGATGCTGGATGATGCCGGCTGCTACTGGCGATTCATTTGGTCTGAGAATGTCTGGGATTCAGATGATTTGAGTTTGGCAGCGCAACGCAGAGTTGACATGAAAGGATATGAAAAGGTATGAAAAAAATCAAGGCAGGTTTCAATTAGATGTTTCTGTGAAATCCCTGTAGGGCCAACAAGTGCCTACAGTGTCATTTGCCAGTTTGTGGTATGAATCAATTCGATTCGATCTGTCAGCAAGGGTGTGTACAGAATAGAACTGCGCTATGGCAAAGTTACTTTAGATGTGAGGAGTCGAGATGGGTTAGAGAAGGCTAGAGATAGCTAGAGAGTGCAAAAATCAAAGCGCTCGTCGCATGCTTGCCGCAATCTGACACATGATCTGGTTTAGTACTGTAATGTTTAAAACATGTCCTTTCATGTAGGCTGCATTTTGGCATATTTTGGCATGTATACTTTTGCATACTTTCGCATCAAGTTACCTGATGATACCGGATGCTGCCGGATTCTGAGGACGCCTGTTGGGGGGCATTGGACGCCGAAGTTTGGGACCCAGCTTTCAATCATTTTCAGTGGTGCATGGTGGTGTTTCTGAAAATGTAAGCTAGACTGCTTGAGGTGATAAAAAAATGGTGGTTTGCAACAGATTTCCATGTCCAGGTGTGTACAAGTTTCATTTTGCTTATTTCTACGTAAGTGATGTCACAACACGGCATCTTTTGCAAAGCATCTTTCTGCTTGCCTAGGCTGACGCTGCACCTAGGCATGCATCGGCTGAGAACCACGTTGGGCACCTCAATGACTATAGATGACTGGGATAATACCCTATGTCATATATTGTCATTTTTTGATACAGTATTTTTCGTGCACTTTGCCTGGAATTGGCATGAATTGCCTGGTGAATGGTGGTGTTTTTGCAAAATGTAAGCTAGACTGCTTTAGGTGTTGAAAATGATGGTGTTTTGCAGAAGATCCCCATGTCCAAACAGTCGAGCTTACATTTTCTTATTACTTCTTATTCCATCTTATTCCCACATTATGTCATAAGGCGACATATTGAATCATAATGCGACATATCTTGCAAAGCATTTTTCTGCTTGCCTAGGCTGGCACTGCACCTGAGGGAGCATTTGCTGAAAACGACGTGGGACACCCAGATCACTGTAGATGACTAAGATTGGCATGGGCTCACCGACATTCACAAATATTGACAAGGTCCTTTGATAGTTATATAGTTTCTTGAAGTCTCTTATGGTTTCCAGTGGTTTCTTGATGCTCCCTATTTAAGCGCGAAAGATGCAAGTTGATGCAAGATCATGCAAGAAAAAGCTAGATCCTATTTCATATATATATATAAGGTGAGCAGTTTGGGGGAGGGTGTTTGAGGGATGCATGGATTCTGCCCCCCCATTGCTTTCAGCTTACATTTGTGCAGTTTGCCTGGGATTGCCTGGTGTGAATGGCGGAGGTTTTTGAAAAATGAAAGCTAGACTGCTTTAGGTGTTGGAAATGATGGTGTTTTGCAGAAGATTCCCATGTCCAAACAGTCAAGCTTACATGTTCTTATTACTTCTTATCCCATCTTATTCCCAAATCATGTCATAGGGTGACATATTGAATCATAATGGCGGAGGTTTTTGCAAAATGTAAGCTAGACTGCTTTAGGTGTTGGAAATGATGGTGTTTTGCAGAAGATCCCCATGTCCAAACAGTCGAGCTTACATTTTCTTATTACTTCTTATTCCATCTTATTCCCACATTATGTCATAAGGCGACATATTGAATCATAATGCGACATATCTTGCAAAGCATGTTTCTGCTTGCCTAGGCTGGCACTGCACCTGAGGGAGCATTTGCTGAAAACGACGTGGGACACCCAGATCACTGTAGATGACTAAGATTGGCATGGGCTCACCGACATTCACAAATATTGACAAGGTCCTTTGATATTTATATAGTTTCTTGAAGTCTCTTATGGTTTCCAGTGGTTTCTTGATGCTCCCTATTTAAGCGCGAAAGATGTAAGTTGATGCAAGATCATGCAAGAAAAGCAAGATCCTATTTCATATATATATATAAGGTGAGCAGTTTGGGGGAGGGTGTTTGAGATAGTGGTGGGCTGCATGGATTTTACATTTGTGCAGTTTGCCTGGGATTGCCTGGTGTGAATGGCGGAGGTTTTTGAAAAATGTAAGCTAGACTACTTTAGGTGTTGGAAATGATGGTGTTTTGCAGAAGATCCCCATGTCCAAACAGTCAAGCTTACATTTTCTTATTACTTCTTATCCCATCTTATTCCCACATTATGTCATAGGGTGACATATTGAATCATAATGTGACATATCTTGCAAATCATTTTTCTGCCTGCCTAGGCTGGCACTGCACCTGAAGTAGAAGAAAATGTGGCAGAAGGCTTCCCCTTAGCACAAAGTTATGTAGCAGAAGGCTCCCCTAGCAGAAAGTTATGTAGCAGAAGGCTCCCCTAGCAGAAAGTTATGTAGCAGAAGCCTCCGCTAGCAGAAAGTTATCTAACAGAAGGCTCCCCTAGCAGAAATATATGTAGCAGAAGGCTCCGCTAGCAGAAAGTTATGTAGCAGAAGGTGCCGCTGGCAGAAAGTTTGCAAAAACATTTTTCTGCCTGCCTAGGCTGGCACTGCACCTGAAGGAGCATCTGCTGAGAACGACATGGGGCACCTAGATCACTGTAGATGACTAAGATTGGTATGGGTTCACCGACATTCACAAATATTGACAAGTTCCTTTGATAGTTATATAATATATAGTTTCTTGCAGTTTCTTATGGCTTCCAGTGATTTCTTGATGCTCCGTATTTAAGCGTGAAAGATGTAAGTTGATGCAAGATCATGCAAGAAAAAGCAAGGTCCGATGTTACATTATATTACCATATAATGCCTATATAGTAAGCTGTTTGGGGGAAGGTGTTTGAGATAGTGTTGTGGGCTGCAGGGATTCTGGCCCCCCTATTGCTTTCAGCTTACATGTTTGCGTCGCATAGATGAGATCACCTTTGGTCATTTCATGATATGTTATGTCATTTTTTGTGCATATGTGCGCATCATTGTGCACTTTGCCTGGAATTGCCTGGTGAGTGGTAGAGTTTCTTGAAAAATGTAAGCTAGATTACTTTAGGTGTTGAAAATGATGGTGTTTTCCAGAGGATGCCCATGTCCACACAGTCAAACTTACATTTTAATTTCTACTTCTTATTCAATCTTATTCCCACATTATGTCATAAGGCATCATAAGGTGACATGTTGTATATTATTGTATCATAATGTGGCCTATCTTGCAAAGCATTTTGCTGCTTGCCTAGGCTGGCAGTGCACCTGAGGGAGCATCTGCTGTGAACGATGTGGGGCACCTAGATCACTGTAGATTCTGGATGGCTAGGATGATATTCTATGTTCATTTTTTGTGCATGTGATTGCATATGTGCGTATCATTGTGCAGTTTGCCTGGAATTGCCTGGTGAATGGCGGCGTTTTTTGAAAATGTAAGCTAGGCTGCTTTAGGTGTTGAAAATGATGGTGTTTTGCAGGAGATCTCTATGTCCACACAGTCAAACTTACATTTTAATTACTACTTCTTGTTCTTATTCTATCTTACGCCATCTGATTCCCACATTTGTCACAAGGTGACATATTGTATGCTATTGTATCATAATGTGACATATCTTGCAAACCATGTTTCTGCCTGCCTAGGCTGGCACTGCACCTGAAGGAGCAGAAAATGTGGCAGAAGGCTTCCCCTTAGCACAAAGTTATGTAGCAGAAGGCTCCCCTAGCAGAAAGTTATGTAGCAGAAGGCTCCCCTAGCAGAAAGTTATGTAGCAGAAGCCTCCGCTAGCAGAAAGTTATCTAGCAGAAGGCTCCCCTAGCAGAAATATATGTAGCAGAAGGCTCCGCTAGCAGAAAGTTATGTAGCAGAAGGTGCCGCTGGCAGAAAGTTTGCAAAAACATTTTTCTGCCTGCCTAGGCTGGCACTGCACCTGAAGGAGCATCTGCTGAGAACGACATGGGGCACCTAGATCACTGTAGATGACTAAGATTGGTATGGGTTCACCACCGGCATTCACAAATATTGACAAGTTCCTTTGATAGTTATATAATATATAGTTTCTTGAAGTTTCTTATGGTTTCCAGTGGTTCTTGATGCTCCCTATTTAAGCGTGAAACATGTAAGTTGATGCAAGATCATGCAAGAAAATGTCAGATCCAATGTTACAATATGTTACATTGCGCACTTTGCCTGGGATTGCCTGGTATGAAAAATATAAGTAGCTGCAGGGGAGTTTTCCAAATTTCTGCAAAAACACATGAAGACCGTGACCTTAAGGTAAGCGCTTATGAAATCTAGCAAGCAGATGCAAACAGCATCAGCAACAATATTGCAGGCAATCTTGCAGATGGTGCATGATCCAAACAAACCGGGAACAGCAGAAGATAGTATAAAAATGAATAGAAACAGAATAAGGTAGCACAAGATAGTACCAAATAGTAGTGCTAGTAGTACTAGTAGTACTAGTAGTACTAGTGGCAGCAATATTAATACGAATTAATAGTAGTAATAAAGTATATAATAGCAGCAAAAAAAGTAATGGTTTTCATATTATTTCATATTACTTCATATTTTATCATTAAAAATTGCTCGGGGTATTTTGAGATGATTCGATCTGCACGTCCCCCCCCGTGCCCCCCCCCTGGAAAATAGAAAAAAACGTGAATTTTTAAAAAATGAGGGGGGGGTCACAAATTGGAAGTTACATTTTTTGACCCCCTCATTTTTTATTTTTTCATTGGGGGGGGGGCAAAAAAATGTAAGTTAGGGGGTCGCGAAAATGTAACTTACATTTTTTGACGGGGGGGTCCCCCCTATTTGTTTGTAACTTACATTTTTTGACCCCCCCCAAAAAAAAGCTGCCCAAGGGGGTGGGGATATTGATTCTTCATTCCAGTCAAATTCTCCAAATTCTCTCAATATCATCATGAACAGTATAACGCATATGATGCTGCCGGATCCAAGGTTGACTAAGTGATAACCCGAAATTCAACCACCAATTTTGACTGTTCAATCCATATTTGCTGGTTCAATTCCTATTTTTTCTTGGGTAAAACTCCATGTTTTCGTTGGTTTGCCCAATGATGTCCGGACTTGTTGGATCCCAGCACCGAAGCCAAGCCGCAGATTGCCAGTCCCGGCCTTCAACACATCCGGCCATAGCTGTGGTGTAAATCCTTGCAGCACCCCCCGCCAGGTGACCCCAGAAACCGATGGTTAAGAAACCTTCTTAGTGGTTGATGGACCCTGAGATTTTCCATGAGTTGGTGGTTGCCCGTCACCCACCATGAGAGCACCCTTCCTCTCCTCAAATCTGCCTGTAGCTGCCCCTCCCTCATCCGCTGCAGCAGCGCAAGCACTTGCGGTGCTTGCCCCGATGCGGCCTGGAGACCAATGGCGATGTCCTTGCTGTTGGGCCTCAGGAGCCGGTTTTTTTTTATGGTTTGATGGGGGTGGCAGCAAGATGGGAATTTGAGCAACCCTAACATACTTTGTCCAGCCAAAGAAACTTCAACTCAAGTTCTACAATCCATGCAACCTGCTTGAACATGGGAAGAACGCAAGCGATCAGAACTAAAATCACTCATCAAACCCTCGAATGATGAGGTTGGCCACTAAGGTCCTGATATTTTTTCATTGGGGGCACCAGCCATTGCTGATTGGTGATTTCATCCCATCCCAAAAGTACACTTGTCATTGGTGCGGCGGTGCTGCTACTGCTCCTACTCCTACTCCTGCGCCTACTCTACTACTACGGCTGCTACTAATATTAAATAGCCGGTCAACCAAGCAACCGGCCGGTAGCGGCCGGTCAATCGGGCAACCGGCTGGTCAGCCGGTCCGGCCGGTCAGCCGGTCGACCGGGCAAGCGGCCGGTCAACCGGGCAACCGGCCGGTCAGCCGGTCAACCGGGCACCCGGCCGGTCAACTGGGCAACCGGCCGGTCAGCCGGTCGACCAGGCAATCGGCCGGTCAAGTGGGCAGGCGGCCGGTCAAACCAGCCATCAGCATAGAATGTTAGAGAATCAACATTGTTTCTATTTAATTGATGAAATCTAAAGTAATTAGCAACGGTGTCTATTTCTTGGGTCTTATTTTATCCTGTAATAAAGAAAGAATTCAAACACATTTTCATTGTTCTGCTTGATCAATTTATCTCCATCACCGATGCTGTCTATTGAAGTACATTTTTGGACTTCCGCTAGTATCAACATTACCGGCATCAGGACAGCGATTTGCGCGCCTGTGCCAACAGCAGTTGTCAGCGCGCTTTCAAGACGCAAGTTCTCAGCGCGTACACGTGCTGAAGCAGCAAGCAACAAACGCACGCTGGTAACACTGCCATATGCCGCCGCGACATGAAGGGGCAAGTCTCCCTCAGAATCCGGTGCGTGCACGTTGGCTTCTACTTGCAGCATCTGGTCAATGACAGTTGGAAGGTTCTGCCTGCAAGCCAAATGCAAAGCTGTGCCGCCGAAATCAAGCCTGTCATCCAAGTTGGCACGTGCTTCGACCAAAGCAGTTGCAGCGGCTGCATTTTTGCGGTTGGAGAGCCGCATACAGGGGCTGCAAGCTGCGCTCGTCTGCACTTGGAATATTTGGGCACTGGCCTTCCACCAGACAACTCACAACACCTGCAACGCTAGAATCAGAAATTGCGTCGAACAATTGCACCACGAGATCTGTTCACTCCGGGATGCAGGTAACCAGAACATCAACCGTCGTTCTGAACATCAAACCTGTTTCAGTTGCGGCAACACTTCCAGGGAAGAAGCGAGCCTTGAAGGGAAACGGAGAGGAATGGAGAAAGGAAGCGATCCAGCGCAGAACGTAAACGAGTATATGACGATCTTGCAAAGATTGCGGCGCCACGAAGAAGGCTGCAAGAGTAGAGCCGGAAAGCGCCCAACGGATGTCAAATTGGATCTGCGCGTTTGGATCCAGGTTGACGAGGCAACAGTCTTGGTAATTAGCGCGGTCCAAGAAGGCATGTGTGGTTTGGATGGGGGCGAAACAGGTGCAAGAGCCACCATAGACAGCAACGTCTGGAACCACACAGGCACCGCGACACACATCATGGCCAAGGGTTGACTCTGAAACTTGAAACCATAGAGGCAACTTGGACAGCGACAAATGCGTCAGCTGGAAGAGGTACGTCCACAAAGGAAGTATCTGGAGCTTGTCCAGCAGAGAGTTCCATGTATGGAAGCGCTGCGCTTAAAGACGTGCCTTCATGTAGAGATGGCTGCCAAACGCGCAAAACCGACCTCTCTCATTTGGACGCAAGGAGCCACAAGCAGGCAATGCTGAGTGCCGCGAATGCAAGCTGGCAAAGCTATTGAGCGGTAACCCCATAGGAAGCTCGGGGCACTCCCATTCCAGAAGCAGCGCGCGTGACTTGCAAACACCGCGCACCGTTTTTCTTGCTGCATGCAAGCCAGGGCAAGCCGGGCAACCGGCCGGTCAATCGGGCAAGCCGGTCAGCCGGGCAACCGGCCGGTCAGCCGGGCAACCGGCCAGTCAACTGGGCAACAGGCCGGTCAGCCCGGTTGCCCGGTCACCGGTCGGAACCATCCCGGGACCGCCCTTCTGTGGGAATTATCATCCCATTTTTATATCTCAAAAAATGGAAACAATGAAACCATGTACCAGGACAAGGTCCATGAGTTGATATACCATGATATACCCATACCTGTTATCCCATTTGTTGGGGTTGAATCATGTTATATAAATATCCTCAACTCTGTTGGTCAAATCTACATTGAATCGCTCGATTCCAATGATGTTTTGGAGTACACCATCTGCATGTATCTACCCACTCACCACATCCATTTTTCACACCCATTTGTATTGCATTTCTACCCTATATAGCCTAGCCATGTATGTATTTGGAAAGCATGAAACAGATTCAAATAGCGGGGAGTCGTTCACCCGAGGCACTGCTGGAGGCTGCTCAGAAGTTGTGTGGCGTCTTGCCACCAGGATGCTCGCTGGTAGGCCCGCAGCACCTTGACGGGCGATGGAGGTGAAGCATCAACAGACTCAACAGATGGAAGGAGATACATGTGATGTTTCCTTTTCTAAATCTCTCTCCCTCTCTATGCATGACATGTATACAGTACAACCAATACCAGTAGTACCGCACAAGTCGGTGGCGGAAGTTTCAAAAATAGGAAACCTATAGGAGAGGTTGGTTGTTGTGAATCACGGATGGCAGAGCGAATCCACTGATGGACCGAAAGGTGGTTGGAGCCGTGTTTTTTGGAGTGGCTGCGATGGTTGCAGTGGTCACCTGGTCGGTCACCTCACCCACAACTGCTGGATGTAGTGTGGTGTAGTGCAGCTGTAGTTGTAGTTGTAGTGTAGTGGAGTTGTAGTTGTGGTGTAGTGTAATTAAGTAGTGTAGTGTAGTTGCAGTTACATTTTGTGGTGGTGTAATGAGTGTAGTGTAATGTAATGTAATGTAGTGTAATGTAATGCAATGTGGGGTAGGGTAGTGTAGTGTAGTGTAGTGTAATTCATTGTACTGCGGTTTGGTGTAGTGTAGTGTAGTGTAAAGCAACTAGTGTAGTGTAGTGTAGTGGAGTGTAGTGTAGTGGAGTGTAGTGTAGTATAGTGTAATGCAATCAGTGTAGTGTAGTGAAGTTGTAGTTGTAGTTGTAATTGTAGTTGTAGTTGTAGTGTAGCGTTATGTAATGTATTGTAGTTGTAGTTGTAGTTGTAGTTGTAATTGGTGTAGTGTAATGTAATTGAGTATAGTCGACTGTAGTGTAGTGTAGTGTAGTGAGTTGTAGTGTAGTGTAGTGTAGTCTTATGTAGTTGTAGTTGTAGTTAGTGTGATGTAGTGTAATGTAGTGTAGTGTAGTGTAATGTAGTAAAGTAGTATAGTTGCAGTTGCAGTTGCAGTTGCAGTTGTAGTGCAGTGTCATTCAGTGTAGTGTAGTGGAGTGTAGTGTAGTGTAATTAGTGCAGTGTAGCGTAGTGTAAATGTAGTATTGCTGTAGTTGTAGTTGTAGTAAGTGTAGTGTAGTGTAGTGGAATGTAGCGTAGTGTAGTGTAATGTAGTGTAGTGTACTTGAGTGTAGTGTAGTGGAGTGTAGTGGAATGTAGTGTTGTGTAGTGTAGTGTAATGTAGTGTAGTGTAGTGTAATTGAGTGTAGTGTAGTGGAGTGTAGTGGAGCGTAGCGTAGTGGAATGCAGTGTAGTGTAGTTGTAGTGTAGTGTAGTGCAGTGTAATGTAGTGTAGTGTAGTGGAATGTAGTGTTGTGTTGTGTCATGTAGTGTAGTGGAGTGCAGTGTAGTGTAATGTAGTGTAGCGTAATTGAGTGTAATTGAATGTAATTGAGTGTAGTGTAGTGTAGTGTAGTGGAGTGTGGGTTTGTGTAGTGTAGTGTAGTGGAATGTAGTCAAGGTGTAGTTGTAGTTGTAGTTGTAGATAGCGTATTGGAGTGTAGTGTGGTGTAGTGGTGGTCGTAGTTGAAAATGCTACAAAACCCTCACGTTTTGCTCACTTTGAAGAGGTGCACAATCCCTTGCGCCTGCCACGTGGAACGACATCTGAACCTCCAAAAGTGGTCCGAAACCCTGGTGTTTTTAACATTTTGATTTCGAAGTGTGCTTCGGGCCACAACGGTGTGCACTTTTTCGACATCTCAACTTCCAAAAGGGGTCCGACGCTGAGGTGCTTTGTACATTTTGACTTCGAAATGTGCTTCGCGCCACAACGGCGTGCACTTTTTCGACATCGCAACTTCCAAAAGTGGTCCAAACGTGGTGTGTCTTGTGCATTTTGACTTGGAAATGTTCTTCGCGCCACAACGGCGTGCGCTTTTTCCACATCGCAACTTCCAAAAGTGGTCCGAGCATGATGTGTTTTGCACATTTTGACTTCGAAATGTGCTTCGCGCCACAACGGCGTGCAACTTTTCATCTCTCATCTGGCCAGATGGCTCTGCACCCGCCGCTTTAGCGAGCCTACTTTTTGACCCTCCGGAGCCACAAATCATTGGAAAAACACAATGTTTCGCGACTTTCCTACCTTTTCGCGCATCTGCATCTTCTTTCTTCTGACTCTTTCTCTTCTCTGATCTTCTCTCTTCTACTCTTCTCTTGTCTCTGACTCTTCCATCTCTGCTTTTCATCTGTCCACATTGTCGGAAGTTTGACTTCTAAACTTCCTTCGACAATGCACATAGTACATGATGATACATAGTACGTGATGATGAATATACTTTTTTCCTATGCTGATACTTGCTTCCCATCTCGCCGCTCTTTCCCAATCTCATTCTTTTTCAATGCACAAATCCCGTCCAAGGACCAGGGCTGGCCATACATTCCCTGCAAAAGTCAACTATGTTACCTGGCTAGTCGAAGGAAGTTTAGAAGTCAAACTTCCGACAATATGGATAGATGAAAAGCAGAGAAGGGAAGAGGCAGAGAGAAGAGAAAGATTCTAGAAGAAAGAAGAGTAAGAAGAAAGAAGATGCAGATGCGCGAAAAGGTAGGAAAGTCGCGAAACACTGTGTTTTTCCAATGATTTGGGGCTCCGGAAGGTCAAAAAGTAGGCTCGCTAAAGCGGCGGGTGCAGAGCCATCTGGCCAGATGAGAGATGAAAAGTTGCACGCCGTTGTGGCGCGAAGCACATTTCGAAGTCAAAATGTACAAAACACCTCAGCATCGGACCACTTTTGGAAGTTGAGATGTCGAAAAAGTGCACACCGTTGTGGCGCGAAGCACATTTCGAAATCAAAATGTTAAAAACACTAGGGGTTCGGACCACTTTTGGAGGTTCAGATGTCGTTTTGCGTGGCAGGCGCAAGGGATTGTGCACCTCTTCAAAAGTGAGCAAAACGTGAGGGTTTTGTAGCATTTCCAAAAACGATGGTAGGCATGGGGCATTTGAAGATGATTTGCAAAGATGCATTTTCCGTGGCAGGGGCAGTGCAAAAGACATGCTCGTGAGAGATGTTAGGAGGTCAGGGCGCTGATTTCCTGAGAGGGGTTGGATTTTGGAGTATCAGATGTGCAGGTTTGCTAAGATGATTTTGCGTGACAGGTGCAGCACTTCGTATGACCTGGCATCAATTTTCCGTGGCAGGCGCAGTACTTTAGACAGGTGGACTGGAAAAATCGCAAAACGCATTGGTACGAGTCTGTCAGCTCTGCACTCAACTTTCCATTTTTGACGGAAGTCTCGCCAGATAGATAGATAGACAAATAGATAGATAGACAGCTAGATAGATAGATAGGTAGGTAGGTAGGTAGATAGATAAATAGATCGAAAGGTAATTAGATGAGAGAGAGAGAGATAGATCGATAGATAGATAGATACATAGATATATAGATAGATAGATAGATAAATAGATAGATAGATAGGTAGGTAGGTAGGTAGGTAGGTAGATAGTCAGAGAAAGAGAGAGAAAGAGAGGAGACCTCAACCACCTTTCGGTCCATCAGTGGCTTCGCGCTGCCATCCCTGATTCACAACAACCAACCTCTCCTATCGGTTTCCTATTTTTGAAACTTCCGCCACCGCCTTGTGCGGTACTACTGGTAGTATGTGTCCCCATGTGTAGCTAAACACTTGTAAAAAAGAAACCGGTAAATCCCTATGTTGGTTGCTTCATCAAAATACCGGCCAAGAAGCTTGTTCTGCTTTATTTTTGACGGTCAAACCGCCAACCAAGGTTTTCCCAGTATTTATTTTCGTGGTTGAACCCCCTATTATTAAATATGATTAAGTTATTTGAATCCCCTTTTCTAATTCTATTTCTTAACCCTCCAACTTGTGTTGTTCATGACTCACCATGTTGGATGGTTTCTGAAACTGCCCTCGCATATCCTTACCTTGTCTTCACCAAGGCTTACCCCCACCTATCCAACCAAGGTTTCATCAGATTTTTGTGATACATAGCAACGCCTTTTCATTCAGCAGCAAAATCATAAATCTCTATTTTGTGGTGCAAACCAACCCATTGACAGACGGATACAAACCCAGGCGCCGAATTTCGCATCTCAGCATCCTCTCTGCCCTCTCCGTTGTCCGCCCACAACTGCAGGACCCATTGCCACTGTTCTGCGCGGCGGCAGGCAGCGATGGCGCCACGAACACCGTGGGATGATCTTCCCTGGCGGAGAGGTGATTTTGGCGAAAAAACTGACAAGAAACATACGTATATAATCGTATATATAGACAATTATAAACACATGCTATTTTTCAGCAACTGCTTGAATATTGAAGAACGTTTCATGTTGGGGTTACTTCACTGCAAGGTTAGCCACTTTCAACCCCAATTCTGAAGGCTGGAATCTCAGATACATGCAATCCAGGTCCAGGTGGCAAACAATAGTGTCAAACCTGGATTAAGAAACCCTTCTTGCATAACTATATAGGGGTTCAACGACAAAGAGATAAACTGCCATTCGAAAAGGACGCCCCCCAATTGAACAACCTAGAGTCCTAGAGGTTTAGCAATGCACCATGGTTGTAGGGATTTGCCTCCTTGTGGAGCTCAACTACAAGCGACATGATTGGCGTGGGCTCGAATCTCAAGCGATTCCACATTCATCAGTTAGATCCCATGGCCATATCTACACTGCGACAATCATTTCTAATTACAACATTTTCCAATCCATGTCCAGGGGGTTTCATGTGATGCTCCAGAAACCTTACCCTCTGGTAAACTAACATAGCTATCGAAAATCACCATTTTTAGTGGGTAAATCAACTATAAATGGCTTTTTTCAATAGCTATGTTGAATTACCAGAGGGTACATCACTGATGTACTATGATAGACAATGTCTATCGGGATACCCAAAGACCTAGATTTTGAAAGACCTGACCTAACGCAATCTTACACACAAACTCACTGGGTCTGTCCGGAAATGGATCATACCCCCCAAACTGCCATCAAAGTCTGGTCGTCCGTAAGTACAGTTTTGTACGCCGACCAGGCTGTTGATCAAAGTCGAGTTTATCCTAGTGAAAGGTGAACCTAGTACTATGAGAGTTGGCCGAACTTGGGCTCCACAAAAAATGCACCAACATGTTCAAGCCACTCCCATGGTTCAAATGGGGTAAAACCCACTTATCACTGGGAGCAGTCGCAGTCCATTGTTTGAATTGGGTAGGCGGTAAGGCGGCCCATTCTTTGGTGGTTTCTTCTTGTACTTGCCACTGATTGTGAAATCATTCAAGGATTTTTAAATTTTGCAAAGTCTTCCAGTATCTTCCCATACTAGAGTACTAGAGGGATCAAAGTTGCAGTAAATGAGATTGCGAAAACCGCGCGTGCCAAATTTCATGAAGTGAACGACCTTCCGTTTTTCCCCCCACATCAACAGACATCAACAGATTGCCGATGTTTCATGATTTTCATGATGTTTCTGTAGGCATTTTCTGGGCACCTCTGACATCCCCAACGCGTCCTGCAAACGTCCGGTCTGACGCAGCAATTCCAAGGTCTGCTCCCACAGTCCTGTCTGGGTATGGTCCAAAAGCGAGTAATGGACCCATGTAAAATTGGTTATCTCATCAGTATCCAACCATCTCGAAATGGGATGCAACGAGCCTTGCCCATCTGAGAAAAATCAACTCGATCATTTTGAGCCCCTTCTCTCTTGGGATATATACTGATAATATGGGTCTCAAAGACAGTCAAAGTGATTCAATACAAATCATCAGTCCAGGTCCTGTAGGTCTAATTACTGTATCTCTTTGGATATTGGGATTATCTTGGGATGGGAGGCATGACTCAGACCTGTCCTCATTTCGGTGCACATGTTTCGGATCATGGATTACGTCGGGGGTTCCAAGCCTGGCCGCCTAAGTGGATAATTTGCTCTACTGAAATGTCACAAGTAAACAGAAAACCTAGGCCTAGGGGGTTCTAAATCCAGCACTGAAATGGGTCGCCACGCGGCCATGTCTGTCCCTATTCTCCCTATTCCCGCCCCACCTGCGTGCTCACAGCTCGCTATGACCATGTTGAAGGCGATGTCATCGGCGAGTCGTTGCTTCGCCGCATCCAGCAGCAAGGACAAGCCTGCGAAGTCATCAATTGCAGCTACTCTCCCTGGCTATTCTTCTAGATACCTATATTATAGATGCCCCACAGATACAGCCCCAAATAGATAGAAAAGATGGACACCTGAAAATTATCAGGAAAATAAAACATCACGGAGAAACAGTTCTTTTTTTGTGGACCCTCAGATATCCGTAGCGGCAAAGTTGGCTACCCTGAACTGAAACATTTTATGGTTACAGCACTGCTAAGCATGACCAAAATCTCCAAATAGTGGATGGCGACTACTAAAAATGACCTATGCATCTGGATCCCCTAGACCCTGAAATCTGACCGATGCTCGCATATAAGCTGTAATCCCAATGCCACAAACCTCCAAAAACTTGGACGGTTTCAATCTTTCCATGTCTGGCAAAAACGGTGGTCTTTATGGGTTTGGCATAGCTCATTGTTCTTACCTCTTCCAATGAATTCCCTCAGTTTCTTTGGAATTTCCTGAGCCATTTTGGTCCATCAGGTGCCTGGCCGCCACTGCGACGCTCGATGACAGGCGCTGATGGTAGCACCTAGCATCACCTGAACATGCAACTTTTTTGGGAAAGGTTTTTCCATCAAAAAATGTTGCTTCATCATGACAATTTTGGGAATTTAAGTGGGCTCAACTGCGAACAACCGGGATCTCCCTCATTTTGGGGTTTGTTCAAAAAGTATGATCAAGTTTAGAATATGATACTTCTTGGGAATTCCAAGTCGGCACGGTACCCAAACAATGAGCCCAGGAGTGTTCAAAAGCGGAGATGTAGTCCACGAAACATTGGGATTCAACGAGCAGAACTTGCAGTCGGGGGGTTACCAACATTTGGTAGACTCCTATAGAATTTATAGAAATAAACACAATTCGGCTTCTGTTTCGTGGATAACAAAAATACGCGCAAAGAAGGCAAGCAATAGCACAACTGTTGGTTCAATGAAGTTTGATCCAACTAACCACACGTTCTTTTTTTTGAGAAAGCAGCAACGACCTCCTCTCCAAAAAATTTGGCGCATCCTCCGTCATGGTTTGTTCTAAATGCACACATCCGCTGTTCCACTTACTTGCAACGTTCCCTAGTTAAATCCCGAGTGTTGGCTTTACCCTGGTTCTTGTTGGTTACACATCACTGCATTTCATTAACCATTACTATTGTCGCTGGTGAAAATATGAACTTTTCCGGGTTAAACCAAATTTTCTTTTTTGCAGGCTATAGGCTAAAGTCTAAAGGGATCTAAAGGGGAGGATTCCCACACCCATTGGTTTCTCGATTCAAAACGACAATGTTTGGAAGCTTTTTGGTCCTTTTCAAGAACGCACACATATACATGGCCAATCTCTTGGATGCAAAAAACTTGACTTGCAGCCTTGCAGCTGGCTAATATTTACACCCCATTTGTATATAGCAGAAGCAGTGAAGAACCAACCTGTCCTTTATCAAGATTTCCCATAATAGCCATGAGCTACCACGAAAAATGATTGAATATTCAATATATATATATATATAATATATTTAAGGCTTTAAAGCATAGATTAAATACAATCAACTGACCTTATAGTTGAATCTACTTGAGCCATAATCATTGCTCTGCTGGCAAACCTAACGGATTTAGCTGGTTAAGTAGAACATTGGTACATATCCACTCTTATGAGAATAGATAAGAGTATTAAACTACTCAGCCAGGATTTACCCAGACTCTGTCCATACAAGTACTATATATTCTGCTGTGGGTTTGTGTGAGAATAAGGCACAGTGGTAGATCAACAAATCCACTGCTTAATCATAGATATGCCCATTTTGAAAGCGCATCCCATTTTCAGACACACACACAACAAAGCAGTAGAATATCTGGATACATAAAGTAAATCAATAAATGAATAAATAAGTAAATATAAATACATATAAAAATTTAAATATAAACACATGAACATAAATAAATATATAAATAAATATCAATAAATATCAACAACAGGTCAATGTGTATATACGTACGCACATGATATTAAGTTCTACCTGGGAATACAACAAGTTCCACCCAATTCCTCCCATATCATTATTATTCTAAAATTCAAAATAACCACTGTTTTATTTTGTGAAATAATTATGAATATTCTGATTAGGTAACATGACGCTTTATCATTCTTCCTATATATAATCCCGGTATTATATAATTATATATAATGATTTACTATCAATATTTACTTTTCAATATTTATACAAAAGTCGTATTATTGTGGGAAATATCACCTCCTCCAACAGTTTCTTCCACGGCACCCGATCTGCTTCCAACCGCTCTTCCGAGGCAACATGCAGCAGGCCGAGGGCCTCGCGCCTTGGACCCCACCGCGCTCCAGCTGATTTCACCAGCAAACTTTCAGGTTTTACCAGCAAGAATCGGCTGAAAAAAGGCACAGTTTTGGGCAAAACTGAGGATTTGAGATGATTTTGAGTTGTAAATTTGGTGATTAGGTTTGATTTAACCAGAAACAAATGAGGATCTTGCACGCAATTCACACCTAAAAGTCGATTTGAATCATTCAAAACAGATAAAGCAGGGAATCTAAACAACAAACACATGGGATTTACAGAAAGCGACAAGATTTTTGTTTTGTCCTAGCAATAATGATATTTTCCATTGCAAATCTGGATTTATTATTTTCAAATTAGATTTGCTTGGAACTTCGTCAACAATGGCAATAGTTAAGCCAACACCTCACATGAACTTCTCCAACAAAAAAAGCTTCCCTGTAAGGTTTACGACATACTCCTATCCTGGGAGACCAACTTCCAACAGGTCAAGGGCTTTGCCCGAGCAGATCTTTACAGCGGCCGTGTTACCACTGGGCCGCTTTCGCATGTGCGTTGATCTGCTTGGTGACACTCCATGCAGACTGCGCAGGCTGCGCAGGCGCCGGAGCCATGTGAGGGCTGGTCGCTGCCATGATCCTCAGGGAAGGTTGGAAGCTGCCAAATATGATACTTATGATATGGATTTGCGAATGATATTGTTTGCATTGTTTTGTTTTGATTTGCACTTTGGATATGTTGAACAAGTATATATATATATATATACGTATATATTGTATAGTTGAAACATATTTTAAACAGCAATTAGAGATTCCATATTTCCATGAGATTCCCACAAAATTGGGGATTTCATACAGCTATGATATCTCACATGGAACCGGCAATTTGGCATGAAAGATGATTATCCTCTTGAAATGGCAATTTCTTGAACCCATAATAGGTATCATGGTCGTTACAAGTTGTAACGATGAGTGAACATTCCCAATCGATTCTTGCATGGCATGTTGATTATATTTGCTTATATATATATACCAGGATGCGTTAAAGGATGTTAAGGGTAAATGTAGGTCGACTATTCTAGAGACGATGCATGTGAGCAGGGTTGTCAAGAAGCTGGTCATTTGGAATGATCGTGCGAGTAGTGACCCAAACAAAAGTCAACTGGGATAATATTTCCAAGACATGGGGTTGTCTTAAAATCCAACGATGGATCATGATTTTCCCGAGCAAAACAAGCCAAAATTGGGTCCCCCATTCTGAGAAATCTCCAAATATAAGGGCGGCGGAACCTTTAAACCATGTCATGAAAGAGGCTATGCTCTACTTTTAGACCACATTGAATTGGAAGCATTCAGGGAACCTGCTGGACATCTTCGTTTTCGTCGGGTGTCTTTGGGCCAACCTGGTATCGTGGTGAGGTGAGGATCATAGTCACAGAAACCATCGACCGTTGGCTGTCTCAACCCAAGTCAACTGAGGATACTCTACAGTGAATAGAAAAGCGTAATCACCAAGCAGACACCAGAAAATCCTGTGATTGGCCTGCACTAATACCCGCGGAATGTGACTCGTTCGAGAATATGCTCTTCTCCGCAAACGTCCCAGTTCTCAGGTGGTTCAACTGTTCAACCCCATGACCATATCCAATCTTGAAAAAAAAGGAACCAATCAAAAATCATCTGCCAAGATCCTAAGAGTCTCAGCTCCACAAATGGGAATGGCTCACAATGATATCCCAAAATGCATCAAGGTGCATGGTTTAAGAACTTTATCTAATAGATTATAATAGTGTTTAATATGACGCAATGCCAACTTCGTGGGTCCATTGGTGCCCAAATAATCAGCTAGCCACAGCAAGTCTCAAATCTCTGTCCAGGAACTGCATCCAGCCATGGGGAACTAAATCCACCAAGCATTGGCAGATCAGCCGTTTCCATGGCCCCAAATGATGGCTAGACAAAAATGCATATGTTCATAAATAAATATATATATACATACACATATTCATATCTATTCCACATCAAATGCTATTAGCTTGTTGTAATTCTTGCGGCGTGCCCCATGTCTAGAGAATTGATTTGTATTGTACGTATGATCTACACTTATGCAAACTAATGCGAGTTAAAGCAAATGATGAGTATATGGGCGTTGGAGTCAGCTGAATCAACTTGATATGGGATGCTTTGGGCATTCAAGAAAGTTGGAATTGCTGGAGATTTCACCAGGAATCCTCAGGGAACTAGCTAGTTGACTCCATTGAACTCCTAATTCATGCATGGCTTCATAGCTCTCACAAGCCAAGTTTCAAACTGGCCCTCATACCTTCAATTATGATACTTACAGTACAGTAATTCAAAGATGCTGAAAGCTGGTGATTCAGAGCACATGGAGAATTTGGATATACACCCAGGAAATCATCTGGATATATCTGGATATAGTTTATTATAATCATCGTAGCCATGATTAAAGCCATCAATTTCAAGAGCATTGGCCGGGCGCAAGGTCCTGGTGTGAGCCATGTGGGGAACAGCGCCACTGATATATGGAGTTAAGATGAGATAAATGGGATATAACCAAGACACAATGGGAATCACCGGGATATATCCCCCGGTTGCATCAAACATTGCTGTGAAAGCCCAATCTGTAGGACGAAAGTCAACCGAACACTCGAATCCCCATCCTGCAGATATGGATGAAGGACCAATATTTTGTCATGTTGCAAAGGGAATGTTCATCGTTTTCCATCTCTACCATCCCTCTCCCGGAAAACCTGACCGGATGTCATGGCACAAAAACCGAAACCAGCACTGGGACCACTGACATGCTGCTGCTCGAAGCTTCATCGATGGAAAGCTGTAAGCGACCTCTTTTTGCGGGGAAAGGCCCATGTTTTCCTTGGTGAAAGGAGTTTGAACCAATAAACAAGTTAAAAGATGGGGAGTGAGCTGAGTGAAACATTGCGAGTTCACCAACACAGACCTGGAACAAAAGATATGCAGTCAGACAAATGGATTTACAGCAAACATACTTGAACAACAAACATGAGAAGTAAACCGCCGAAAAGCGGTGAGCTAACCAGAAATGTGGAGTTGCACTACTCAGCAAAAATGTGGAGTTACAGTAACCGACCAAACTCCGGAGCCAATCAACCACGATGATTTGCAAAGCCAATTTTTCTTGGACGCTATAGGCACTATCTATCAAAATGGCAGCATAGCTTCCTATTGTGGAGACATTGGCACTGAAACATATACTTAGCCAACAATATTGGACTCCTAAAATGACAGCCGCGACTTAAACCAACCACCTGTCTCCTGGCCACTGCTCAGTTGGCATGTCTTAGTATCTGTCCCCACTCAATGATCATCGGCCCCAGTGGCCAGAGATAAAACAAAACAAGAAACAAAAGGGTAAGGGGTCAACTCAGCTCAGATGGAAAAGCAACCGTTTTCTCGGTTTCATGAGCAAATCCGTGATTTGACTGACAATTATGGAGTTGAACGAACAAAAATGGATGTATGTTCCGTAAAAAATGCTTAACGTGTTAGATCCTCAATCAAACGATTCACATCGATTCACTACTAAAATGTTGCCCGATTTGCGCAACCATTCAATCCCATCGCACGCAATGGATCCACCAGGAGATGTTGACGCTAAATCCCTACAGCAGGGCAGCCCAGCTCCGTTTGTTTTTGATGTATTTATGTATATGATGTAATTTACCAAGAGTCTCCCCTTCTGTAAGTATCCGTTCACCGAAATCCATGTGTTTTGCTGTCCAGTTTTTTAGGGCAAACCTTAGGCATCTGAAACCAACAGTAGCAAACTGTCTCTGGTATCATCATCCTTGAAATTCAAACAATATATTATATTAGCATCTTTGATCATATTAGTCAAGTGTTGGTTGTTTGTCCCCACTCTGTTTGGTTTGTTTTACCCTTTTGATTCCTTGTTGCCCCCAAATTTGAGCCATAGCTTAGCCGTCTCATCTGGGTAAATGACCTGAATACTCGGATTCACCAATATACCCAATTACCATTAATTCTATCTTTAACGTGTAAGGTAGCACACAGCCACATACTGTACGACAACCCTTCGCAGTGTGACTGCTTGCCAAATGACACGTAAGTCAAATCGGACACAGAGAGGCACACGATCGCCTAGGCTTGGGGTTTTGGTCGCCTCAGTGAAGTCATCATCATATTTCCAGATCTGATGATTTCCAATCCCCATTTCCTACTAATGACCCTTCAAACTTCAAACAATGTGGAGCTTTAGCCTTCCCCATTTACGGCTTGAACAAAATTCCATGCCTTTAGAACTTTGAAATGCCCCGTTGACCCACTATCAACCAGTTTGCTTCGACCGCCGTTTCTCGATGGCCAAGGACCCCAAACGGAATCCAATCTTCGGCGGCTCTTCCGCCAGAGAGTCGTCGGTGCCTGTGACTGGGCAAAGTGGGAACACTGCCAGAGGAAACCTAGGTTGATGAATGGCGAATTTAATCATCAGAATTGGGATCTAATCATATCTAATCATCGCTTGTTGCATTTACTTATCAACAATTGGGAGTCAAAGACTGGCAAGATGGGATTCTGACATATGAATTTAAAGTTGATCATCAAAAAATAGCAATCAACAGATTCAAAAATGGGATTAACCATAACAATTAAAACTTCACTACAGTGAGCAACAAATGTTTAGCCAGAGATTGACCTTGACAGCATGTGATTCACATGGATTTATGCGGCTGTGGGTGTAAACACCAAAATGCCACTAAAAAGATGGAGAAATGCCCAAAGTAAAGCAGGCTACTCCAATACTAATCGCTACTAATCTATTAACTATGAAGGAAGTTTCACGGTATCAGAGTTTTGATCGTCCATACCCATATCGGAGATTATCGGAATAAATATGATATGTACTGTATGCACAGTAATATATTTATATAATAATATATATTTAGCCCAACTACGGAATTTTCCGGTGGGCAACATGGGAATGTCAAGTACCCAAAGGGTCTTTGACCAACAATAACGGATACGCAAGCCGGAATTACAATTAGAGAGTTCAACAAATTTGAAAGGGGATAACTTGGGGCTTGATCAACAGTTTTTGGCTTCAAGAGAACCGCACATTGACCGGTCATTTATAGTTTGGTCCATTGCCGCATTTGAGGGTACCCAATCTGACCCACACCACATTGGACACAAGAGTGCCACAGCAAAAACGGTATAAGCTGGACATTTGGATGCATGTTTTTTAATCCCTAATAGAAAGGGAACATCCGTTTCACATATTTTCACATAGTACACAGATACAAGCACTTGTATTGTCTGCAGAAGAGGAGGTTGGGTTTTTCAAAGGGTCTGAAACCTGAGAAGACCTACGCTTCTTGGAACGTGGGTTCATGATATGGTAACTGCGTCCAACATTCAAACGAGAGAGTATCTCATATATACATAGTCATATAGTCTCGTTCCATTAATCTCGGCAAGTTGGTGTTTCTTGCAGTTGTTTGCTTCTGAAAATCTCAAGGTCAATAGCGACCAACATGCCACGCAGGGAAGGGGCGTTGGATCTCCCGCTGCCATGCTGGCTGGAACAGGTGCAGGTGCTGAAAGTGCCAGTGCGGGAGCGCCGCTCGGAGTGGGTAGGAATCCACGGGGTGTCCGGGGTGGAAACAATCCACACTCCTGGAAAGCCAGCTCTGACCGACAGCAGGCTCTTCACCATTGGCTTCTTGAACGGAATATGCGGCATTTGATCCGTGCCCAGGGCCTTCAAAGCAGCATGTTTGAAACCAACGATTCGGCATCTTTTTGGAAATACCAATTCATAGATATTCATAGTAGGGGGTTGATTTGACATGCAATCTACTACACTTTATGTATTACCAACCAGTCACAAAAGGACATCTATGATGAGGATATTCTAACAAATTCTAACCCGATAAACATCAAATAAAAACTTTGAACACCTTTAGAATGTCCTCCTATATTCATCAACCATCAGCAACCCCTGTCACAATTTATGGGCCAACCCGTGGTCCATTCCCTGTCCGTTCGTGCCATCGCAAGCGAAACTTGGCTGCGTGGCACCGGCCTTCGGGCTCAGCTTGCTTTTTCAGGAGAATCTCATGGCTACAACCAACCAACATCTGGAATTCATGACTTCACCACCAAAAAGTGATACCCTAAAGGCCCCTCCTTGTTCAGTAGTTGAGCTAGATCTGGCATATTTTGTGGATGGATATTTCTGGCTGAATTACAACATCACCAGAAATAAGGTGATTTGCGAATAATTGCCTTTACTATCCACAATTGTCGGTAACGTCGCAGTAAGGTCGTTATAATTCACCCAGCAACGTGGAAGTGTGTCGTTGGGTGGGAAACTTCTGCAGGACGCCCTGGTTTTGTATCAAATAGAAGAGATTCCTGGAGGTGTTCCCTTCAAACATTATTTTTGACATGCCACAATAGGGCAGGGTAAATGCGGATTTAAGTGCGATGTACGCGCAAAAATCGACGAATTCGGCGTTTTGGCATTTAACTATCGGCCCCTGGGGGCCTATCATTTTGAACCATAGACGAACAGGAACCAAAGCGCCTTGCAACTGGATGTTGCTTGGGATTTTTGTTGTGCCCTTCAGAGATATTTGGGCAATTTTTTCGCACGAACATGTTTCAAGCTAATGTGGTACATCCCAAATAAGGGTAATCCGAATAATAAATCCCCATTGTGGCTGGTTCATTGGGCTTACCTCACCATATTCACATCCAAATGAGTTGTACATAGTATTTCGCACCGACGAACAAGGGATTGGCTCAAGAGAGAGCCTGTTTTGAGCCACGAGCAACCCACACCTCTGAAAATGTACCCAGAAGCCCTCATAGATGGGGACCTCAAAGTTGAATATTTATGTTTGCAATCAGAAAACATGCGCTACTGGGACCGCTACAAACCATGGGCCAGCCATGTCCTCTCTGAAGTTCGCACCTCACCATGACACAAACATGGGCCATCCATTGTTGTCCACATGCTCCACTTGCTCCACTTCCGCCAGCCCATCAACTGTAGTAACTTATCCATATACATATACATAGCTGCCACATGATCTAACTTACTTTCTCGCACTTGCAGCATATGTTTGAATAAATTGAAAAGGTTGATGTGTGTAACTTCAACACAACTGAGGATCATTTCAAAACATGAGACTATTCATTGAATACCCTGGCCAAGTACAGTCAATTGGCATTTCGTGGATTTGGTCGTCTCCACATGTTGGGACATACAAGTGCCCCCTGGGTCAATCCCTATATATAAAGAATTCCCGTACTAGCTCCTCCCAAACGAGATTTGGTGGGCCGTTTCTTGAACATATGTTCCTTAAGAATCCTTTAGACATGGGCCTGTCTGAAAATTTGGCTGATTATCGTCACTATAGCTGGTTATTGTCACTGATTCATATGTAAACAGCAGCTTCAGGTGGTGTTCGTCATTTTTACTCCTTTTTTGGATCAACTCGTATGGCTGTGGCTCAAGAATGGGGCGCGAGGGGACGCGCAAACTTGTTCATACGTTCAATTAATCCATTTCAGCACAATTTGGTGCATTTTAGATCATTTTAGTACATTTGATCTTGGGGGTGCTTATATAATTTTGAGATTTGAGCCATAGTTGCCTCTGCCATAGCCAAACCATCACATGGATCGACTAGTCACTGCCGTCGGCAACGGAAGGCGCCTTGAACAGCGTCTGCTTCGCATCGCTGAACCGTGGCAGGGTGTCATCTGCCTCGGGCAGAAGCTGCATGTTTCAAGGGGCATGGCATACCTTTTCCTGGCAGTGGGAATTTGGTGAAAAGTGTGATGTTCAAAGAGAACACTGGATTGTTAAGGGTTCAACAAGAAATGTGACATTCCTGGATTATATAGTTGCAAAGAAATCTACAGCAACGTTTTTGTTTGGCCAGTTAATTTTGTTTCGTTTTTCAATCAACTTTCTTTAGGACATAAATATAACTATGCACAATTGCTTTGGTAAACCCAGTAAGAAAAGTACCATGTATCCAGTGATTTACGTACCGCTTATATCCATTTGTGGGGTATCAAAATCAGGATCTTCACACGGTGCCTTGTTATTTGATCTTGCAATCACATCATGTATGTATAATATATATATATACACATACAACCACACATATCAATTTACATATACACATACGCATACTCATACAGATACATACACAGTATTCATAGGTATTCATTTATTCACCTAGGGCACATAGCATCCACCCGTTGATTTTTAACGTCGCGGAGCGTGCGGAGCCAGTTCCCATGTTCATGGAAATCTAATGGACACCCGAAAACACACTGCCTTATTTGTTGAGGGAGTACCTTTGGGGGACTATTACGTTGCCATAAATAGCGGTTTGCGGTGAATCAGCAATTATTTGTTGGGTACTGTGAGCCCTATATTATACATAGTGTTTGCATATATATATCTGTCTGTCTGTCTATCTTATCTTATCCTATCCCTCTCTATCTCTCTATCTCTCTATCTCTCTATCTCTCTATCTATCTTATCTTATCCTATCCTATCCTATCCATCTATCTAATCGAATCTACAATACAGACACATATATCTTATATAAAACAGTTCCATCTATCTAATCGAATCTACAATACAGACACATATCTCTTATATAAAACAGTGTGTATATATATAAATACATATACACTAGGTATATGTATTTATATCTATTTGTACACTGTAAAATATGTTTAGATGTGTATCTATTATATAAAATGGGAAATAAAAAGCACAAGGAATGATAGATTTCGCACATTTTTCGTTGACGCTGTGAAGCTCCCCGAAGCGCCTTGATGCGAAGCCTCTGCACGGCCTCTGCGTTTCCCTGCCCTGCCTAGCCAGAGCGGTGGCATCGTCACGGCATTCTCAACGAGAAACCGAAGGGGGAAGCAATATACACATACCCAGGGGTGCCAGGGGTTGACAGTCATCCGAGATTAACGTTATGGGGTTGTGGAAAACTCACAGAGAAACCCAAGGAAGTTACCCTTCTCATTACAATGTGGGGCCCTGCGCAGGCCTCCAAATGATAGGAACGTTGGTCTGTAAGGCAAACAGTTGCGTTTCTGGTGAATATATGAAAAGCTGGATGGGTGAGCATAAACTAACGGATAAGTGGGAGAGACCTTCTTGTCTGGGTGACTGTCCAACGACAGGCTAGATTACCAAAGAGATATTGTAGAATCATTATAGTCATAATATGTCATAGTTACAGTGGATTTGTAGTACGCGCTGTGATGTAAGATCTTTGCATTCCCATACGAGTCGTGGGTGTGGGTCAGAAAGGGTAATTCCCTCGAGACGGTTTCCTGAGTCTTAAATCCATGCCCAGATGAAGGTATATCCAAGCAATCGATTGATATTGTTTTTGAAGGACATGTGGTAAATGGAGATTTACCCAAACCAAAATGAATGCGGATAAAGCCAAGAATTGGTGGTTCTATCTACTATTTTCCAATTTTTTCAGGAAAATGCAGATGACAGTTCGGTATACCATGTACATCAATCTGTCTATTGGATGTAATGTTGTAAAAAAGACGCCGGGGTACCCACTTGCCTTTTGATCAAGGAACTGGTGGGTACAGGACATTGGTACTGTAGCTCTTTGTACTTGTTTGCCATTGGTGCTGATATGTCCAAACATCTTTGTTATTTCAAACATGATAGTGCTTGCTGGTTGGTCTTTTGAACTGCCTCGAAACATATGAAATTGAATGGGGGATCATCGTCCACATTTGGGTCATGGAACATAGTGAAACTTCATGAAACAACCTGTATTTGAAGCCAACAATTTTAAATGGGGATATCAACATATATCATCAACTAACACTGGTTGAGGCATTGATCTCTAGACTGGTTGTGAAAACATAAGTCGGAGATTAACGTCCAAAGATGTTGAGAGTATATTCTCACGATGCTCCATCGCAACACAGGTGAGAGATACAATGCAAATTCGCTATTCTCAAAAACGTTGTTGGCACGCATGAGGTTAACATTTTATATCCAAACATGGGAAGGTTAGGCACTGACCAAAAAGAGGTGGCTCCCCAGATCTTCAGTATTGACCCATAGCCACGTCGGTTCCAGCGAACCTGACTCTGATTGGTTTCCTGAAAGGCTGCAAATGGCTCGTCTCTGGACGATTTGAAGATCAGCAAACCGTGGGTTTGTACGCAACACTTGATGAAGAATCTTCATCCAGTCATCTGGCCATGGGGAATGCCAATTTTCAATTGACACATATTCTACGCATGGGGAATTATTTGGCCAAAGGGTGTTTTCACGTGACCTTGGAGATGCATCCCAGAAAACATTGAAACTCAATGAACACCTCAGCACCCTGATTCCTGGGGGTTCCCTTAATAATTGGGCTGCCCTGCTCGCCAAAAATGATGCCCGCTAGGAAAAATAGAGTTGCCATTTTGTGCACCCTTTGCCATCGTTCACCTATTGGTCGCGAAAAATTGAGGGTTGCCCCCCTCTATCAATCAACCGGGAGTGGGAAACGGATATCTGTATCTAAGCAAATCGCAAGGATTGACAAACCGAGCATGGTGGCCATTCTTGTTGTTTTGTTCACATCTAAACAATCATTCCAATTCATTTAAGCTGTGATGAAACACGCCTCACCTCATTTTGGCACAGCTGACTGCAGGTCTAAGCTGCAAAGAAAGACAGGCGGCTGCAAGCGCAAGCTTTGTTAGTGCTTGAGCTGCTGCGAAAGGGATGCCCCAAACAAATCCCCAAACATTTTGAAAACACATCTCAGATCATTTTGCCGAGTAGGATGTTCAACATCCAGAAAACAAACCCAAAGTGGATTTGAAGCATCTTCTGAGTCGTAGGGAACACGCATCAACATTCCTTGGAAGCCACCGACGTTGAGCCTGTAAAATTGATGGATATTGGTGGAATGTTGATGTCAAGTGCCGGAAGCATGATGAATATTCCTCACATTGCTCACAGCATCTATCAAAAGTCTCCGGTGTCTCCGGCTCAAACCTCACCGGAGTCCGGCAAGATATCGGCTTTGCAGGATTTTTCACTAGATTCATCCGCAAATGGATGCAGTATGATGTAATATATTTCAGTATAGTGCTTTATATTTTAATTAATATATTTTAGTGCTCTTTTCCCAGGCAGGTTCGATCACTGCAGGTTGATAACCTCCCACCGGGATGTCAGGCGAACGCTTGTCTAAGCGTCTTACACTCTTCTGTGATGCGCTTGTCGGGCGGGTGCGGATTTTTCTTTAAAAGCACGTTATGTATGGCGCACCAGCCGAAACCAAAACCGCGGGTCGGAGGTAAGAGTGGTGAAGTATGGTGAAGCTATGAAGCTTTAAAGGATAATGGTCCCTGATCCTACTGGGGGTTCAGACATGGGAGTGCGATCATGACAGCGACCATAGGAATGGGGGTCCCACCATTGCGAGTCCTTGGAATTTCCACCACTATCAAGATCCTTAGATGATTTTGGCTGGGTTCTGGGTTCGTCTCTGGGATCTTTTCTTGCTCCGGTTTCAGACACGTGCTGAGCACCTGTGTTGCCAGCAACCACAAACATCGTCGCGTTCCTTGATGATTCAGAGACTGGTAAGTTTGTAAGCTTTCATTCAAGAAGAATTCAAGCTTCAAGAACTCTAAACTTGCAATCAACTTCCAATTTCATTTAATTTGTAAACCTCGACGAGTGGTGTGCAACTGGAACCTTTGGTGTAACTCCGTTCTTGTCGGTCTATATTAATAGGATCTCCACTTATACCGGATGATTCAGCTGATTCCTCGGATGCAAATCCAAGTAATTTCCAGGATCATAGCATTGGGGAGGTTTACATCAGTTTGCTCTTGCTGAAGAAATCCAACACTCTGTAGTTCCAAACAAATCCAACAAATTTTGATCCATACCCGTCTGTAGCTGCTAGCGGACATCCCCAGTCATGGATGACTGACCCATAAGCAACGGATAATATTCCATATATTTTGATTGATTTTCTCCAATTTTTCTATTCTCCATGTCGCTAGTGCATAACTACATGTATTGCAAGTTGCTATGTCCGATGTGCCCTGGATGCAGGTTTCTGCCGCGCCAGAAAATCAGAAAATCACAACTGATGTTGTATATTCATACCGTGTGGCGGTCACTTGATGTCGGCCTTACTGCCCAATGGGAAACCATGTCGTGGAACGCTTAACGTCAACAAATGGTTGATGGGCAATGGGCAGGCAATACTTTTGAGGGTTGCCAGGCTCCGAAGGAGAGTCCCCAAAATGAAACATCCACAATCCATGCTGGTGGAAAGGTTGCCTCATAAAGAAAGCCTTCACCATAATCACTCCAATTCCTACCTATATATCAACCAATGGATGTCCTTCTGAATCCGCCACTGATGGTTTCCAATGACAGCCAGAAAGATTGTTAGTTTCTCATGTGGTGATGACAACCCCAGAGTCATCATGTCCAAACAATGCCTTCTGCCTTAGGGTGTGAAAACTGAGCTGGATTGCTGCTTCTAATGCAATGTTCAAAGATGTGAGGCGTTTTGGTGAATCATCCACAAAAAATGATGAAAAACAACAACAAAAATCTTGCTAAGGACACCAGCAAATTACTAAACATGTTGAGTTCATCAGCAATAAAACAAAGGATGTCGATTAATTAACAACACTGTTCATATGGGTACAGGAACGAACTAGCGAAAAGCAGGGGATATCTTTTGTATTCAATCCTATTCATCATGCCATTTCCAATGTACTCAAGTGTGACATGCGACGCTATCATCCCTCAAAATTGCTGAGGACTCAAGCAAACTAGCAAACTCGGCTACCCTGCAATTGTTGGGAAACATGCGCACCGAACACCTAGTGTAGAAGAAGGGCCCCTCCACTTTTAAGTTGCTTTAGAACCCATCTAACTATAGATAAATCATGATCAACCATTATTTATATCCACTATACTACTTGGCCGGCTACAGACCAACCTACCTGTCTAGGATTCTAGGCCCTTTGATGTAGCAAGATTTCAACATTTTACACAAGGAACCTCATAATTCATGTGATCGCCACACGCCCGGACACCAGCGACTCTCGGAGAGATGGCGTTGATATCCACGTCAACTTAAAACATTTGGTAGCTTTCTGGGCGAATTCAAGTCGCGATTGCTTCCCAACTTATCATCGAACCATGCTACATTGGTTGCTAAGTGATTGTTAAATGGTTTCCTCTAGATCAAGTTAACATATATGTATACCTTCAGACAAATCATTTCGGGGATGATATTTCTTGTTCCACAATATCATTTGCAGTGAGGTCGGGCAGCAAAGTCCGCATCATTTGCCCAGGTGGATGCGATACATCCAACACCTTCTAGGGTGAGTCAAATCATTCCATGAGGTTACAGAAAATTTTGTCCGGGCGACGATTCTCTCAGAACTGATTTGCTGTTGAGCAACCCCCTGAACAAAGAATAGTAAACCGAGGATCATCACAAGCAGGCGTAAAAAAACACCTCATTCTAAGCACCAATCAAAGACTAACAACTAACAGCAACAATGATACATGTGCCGCAATAACCAACATCCAGGTCTGCAAAGCTCATGGAAAACCCTCGCGATGCGTGGTTCGAGGGCCAACTTTCCACCGGAACATCGAATGGAAATAGATGCAAAATCATGTAAATATCACGCAGGGCCATCAAAATGTGAAAATCCAGCCATATCGCGTCAGGCTGCGCTGTACATTGTACATGTCCCTTGTGACGTATTACAGGTCTGCTGAGGGACTTCCACTCAGCGTTGGCCATGATGCAGTGCACCCAAAGACTCTCAACAACATATCACCTGGACGCCGTTGGACGCCGATCCAGCTGGATCAAAGGGTCCGAAATAACAACGGATTTTACTCCTGCTTGATGGCAATTTGGATAGGGAAATTGATGACAATCCAAGGCGGTTGGAGGTTCCCTTTCAAAAAACACCTTTAAGAATCCACGAAGTACAAGGTGAGGCGTGCTTCTGGTAAGTCGTAGATCTAAGTTTTTTGGGCTCACCATGTTCTTTGATGGAAAATGATGGAATTCCCAACCCAACATTTCGAGAAAAGTATCCGAACGGGTTTGAGTTTTGCATTCCGCTGGCTAATTTTTTCTGCTTTAAGAAAACATATATCCCCAAGATTCCCCGGCCCAGGTTTGTTGAATATCCTCATGGGGCGAGGCTCCCCAGATTGGATTCGTCCCAAAGCATCCAAAAACCCAAACACATGGCCAAATTACTGTTTGAATACATAATATTACATGATGCATTATTTTCCCATTGTTGGCAAAATATGTGTGAGATTTTGTGAGTGTATAAATTACCTTTCATCGACGTTTAGTTGTTAACCCATTGGTTCGGCAATCCCGTTTCATCCCGTAATCATCCCGTAATCATCCCGTTTCATCCACATTTCTCCATGAACTTCCAATTTTTGCTGGTGAAAAACAACCCAGAATCCTCTTGCCAAGTTTCTGATCTCTTCAGGATCCCCGCGCGACTCGCGGATTAAGCGGCGAAAGGTCCATGGCGCCTCAGAGGAGCTTTCCGAGCGCCACTTTGCCAGGCAATTTTCATTGGATCTCTAAGTTTGTAGAAAAAGAATATGTCGTTTTCTTCATTGGGAATCGATGTTTTTTTAACTATCACCCTCAATTTTGTTTTACAGAAAAATAGCTTACGTATACTTACTGTGTACTTATTTTCTCTTATCTCCATATGGGGCATTGTTCAGCCAGCTAAATTTGTCCCAGTTTGTCAGAGGAAAAACACATATTCATATACACATGATTACAATATTGAAAATGGAATCCATGGTGAATATGTTGGGTGCCCTAGAGGATGAAACATCCCAAGTCTCTAGGGTGACGACCGAGGCAGCACAAATTTGCCAACCCCAGGTCTTCTGTTTGGTATCTACTGGTCGTGTCCACGCAATTTATTGGTGATATTTCTGTTCATACAACATGAATATGAAACCCACTTACCGGGAGTTTGCAAAGTGGCGGATTGTTTCGTAGCATTTGAATCCTGGGGATCCTAATGGATTACATCCTAAGCAACCACCCATTCGATCCCATTTAATCCTAATAACTTGTATCTTCATGGGGTCAGGGGCAGCTTCGACCCATGCCCAATGGACATGGGTCTGCTATTGGGATTCAAAAAATTACGCTTGTTATGATGGTTATTGAGAAGGGATGCTCATCCCAGAATTCTGAATATGTTCATGTGTTTTCATAATATGTGATAATCATATCATCTAACTATCGGTGCTTGCTTACAGAGGCGATCATGTTGTTTCTTTGACCATTGTTGTTGCTTAGAACCGCATAGAACTCTACCCTCTCTCAACCCGTCCATGTTCATGTTCTACTACGAAAAGATATTGAAATAAATTGATCTCCACAAGGACCAAGGATCTGACCCAACCTTCAGCCGAGCTTCATCTTTCACCTCTAACAAAAAATTATCCACATATTTGTTGCTGAGCTCATGAGAGAGACGGTTTGGTGCAATCCTGGGATCTTGTGAGGCATAGTCTGTCCTTAGGTGAAATGGCTCCCGAAGAGCGTTCGGTGTCCTTCCTGGATTCCCTTTCCAAACAAGGTTTCACCAAGTGTCTTAGAGAAATTCCCAACAGATCGGAATCTCATATAATTCAGATATCGTGCGTTGGATAACTATTTCTGTATACATGCTTATTGAAGCCATATATTCAACTCCTTGCTTCATGGGTTTTCAAACACCCAGCTGGCAACGAATCCCTGATGGGAAGGTTAACTGTCAACACCGGGATAGTGAGAACATCCACGCTCTCACAGTGCTTCCAGGTTATACCCTCGGTTTGGTATGCCATTCATCACAATTTCCGTAATTACTGCTACGGGTTGTAAGAAAACATGGGGGTGGCCCCTCCACTAATCAACCAACCAGTTTTGGTGAGTACCCAGGTCCCAAGATATGCTACTTATAAGAGGTGAACTGATGCACTTAATCCCCATGGATCCTACCTCATCCCCCTCTCTCATCCTTTGGCACGCCTGCAATTTGTTTGACTGTGCCCAATCTTCCCTGGTTATGTCGACAGCACACTCCTTTTGACCGTTTAGTTGATGAAGCCACTATGTATTTCTCTGTCCAGCAATTCGCATGTTTGGTGTGTATCCCCCCAATCTTTTCCATTGTTTGGTGGTGGATAAATTGTCCTGGGTGCATTAAACATCTTCACGCCGACCCGGACGTTTGCCCGCATCCGAATAACAAACCCAGACAATATCATATACTGGTCACCAGAGGATGAACGAAAACACAGGCTATACGCAGCGATTTTGACTTTGGGTTTCAGGATTTAGGGTTTTAGGGTTTATGGTTTCATAGTTTTGGGGTCTTAGGCTTTATTGTTTTGAACAACAATAAGGAGCTAGCCCTACGAAGAGATTTGAGCATGTCAAAGGATATTGATATGCGGGATCAGCAGGGGCAACCGTCAGGGTTGCAACGAACATCTTTACTGATACTAAAACCACTACAAATCATTTTAGGTGGTATTGTGCTCTTCCAGTGATGGCAATCACCACATAGTATTTTCCAAACTTTACCCACTTGCTTGCTTTGGTTGGGCAATATTCTGATGCACTCAAGCGCCCTGCTTGTTGGTTGCACACCCACACCAATCTCATCATATACTGTATCTGTAGATGTTTGTGCATATGTATGTATGTCTGTAGGTGGGTAGCTTGGTATTTGTCTATGTATATACATGGGTACAGTATGTCAAAATTGGGTACCCCCAGCCCCCATGGTTAGACATATTTTCTTACTAACACACCCAAATATCAATAGTGGTGACATATCCCATCATATCATCATTATACTCCCTGTCATGGATGGTTTATCTTCACTACGTCCCTATTATATCCCCGTTGTTTTTCAAAAAAACAGTGTAGCCATCCCCATCCATCGCCAAAATCCTCCAAGTTTCCAAGAGGCAAACGAGTTGCGCTGCTCGCTCCGCTGCTCTGAATCTGCGGTGCTTTCAAGGATTCTTCCGGGGGGGTCTGAGTGTATATATGTATAAATGCATGCATGTGTATATATGTGCATAGACACACATACCGTTACGATGCAGATAAACTGTAGATCTATCTTTGTATGTGTGGATGGATGGATGTACGGATGTATGTATCTAACTATCTGTTCAAAAAATATCTATGTATTTACTCAAAAATATATTATAGATGCATATACACATGTGTATATGCCTGCTTTTTGTGTATGTATGTATGTATGTATGTATGTATGTATGTATGTATGTATGTATGTATGTATGTATGTATGTATGTATGTATGTATGTATGTATGTATGTATATGTGTATCATTGCCTGCGTCTCTGTACATATGGTGCTCCATGTGTATATATATATATATATATACATAATTATCGAAGGAAGTTTAGAAGTCAAACTTCCGACAATATGGAGAGATGAAAAGCAGAGCAGGGAAGAGGCAGAGAGAAGAGAAAGATTAGAAGAAAGAAGAGTAGAAGAGAAAGAGTAAGAAGACAGAAGATGCAGATGCGCGAAAAGGTAGGAAAGTCGCGAAACACTGTGTTTTTCCAATGATTTGTGGCTCCGGAGGGTCGAAAAGTAGGCTCGCTAAAGCGGCGGGTGCGGAGCCAGCTGGCCAGAGGAGAGATGAAAAAATGCACGCCGTTGTGGCGCGAAGCACATTTCGAAGTCAAAATGTTACAAAACCACCAGGGGTCGGACCACTTTTGGAAGTTGCGATGTCGAAAAAGTGCACGCCGTTGTGGCGCGAAGCACATTTCAAGTCAAAATGTACAAAACACACCAGGTTCGGACCACTTTTGGAAGTTGAGATGTCGAAAAAGTGCACGCCGTTGTGGCGCGAAGCACATTTCGAAGTCAAAATGTACAAAACACAACATGGTCGGACCACTTTTGGAAGTTGCGATGTCGAAAAAGTGCACGCCGTTGTGGCGCGAAGCACATTTCGAAGTCAAAATGTACAATGCACACCATTCTCGGACCACTTTTGGAAGTTAAGATGTCGAAAAAGTGCACGCCGTTGTGGCGCGAAGCACATTTCGAAGTCAAAATGTACAAAACACTACATGTTCGCGCCACTTTTGGAAGTTGAGATGTCGAAAAAGTGCACGCCGTTGTGGCGCGAAGCACATTTGGAAGTGAAAATGTACAAAACACTAGGGGTTTGGACCACTTTTGGAGCTTCAGATGTCGCTTCGCTTCACTACACTACATTACACTACACTACACTCCACTATACTACACTACATTACACTACACTACACTCCACAACACTACAACTACAACTACACAACTAGACTACACTCCACTACACTCCACTACATTACACTACACTACATTACACTACACTCCAATACACTACACTACACTCCACTACACTACACTACATTACACTACACTATCTTCCACTACACTTCACTACATTACACTACAACTACGACTACACAACTACACTCCACTACACTACACTACATTACACTACACTACAATACACTGCATGACACTGCACCACAGATAGACAGGTAGACAGGTAGACGGATAGACAGATAGACAGATAGACAGATAGACAGGTAGACGGATAGACAGATAGACAGATAGACAGATAGACAGATAGACAGATAGACAGATAGACAGATAGACAGATAGACAGATAGACAGATAGACAGATAGACAGATAGACAGATAGATAGATAGATAGATAGATAGATAGACAGCTAGACAGATAGACAGATGAAAGAGAGAGAGAGAGATAGATAGATAGATAGATAGATTTATGGATTTCAAAGGTAGGTAGTTTGAGGAAAACAAGGAAATAATTAAAAGGTGGAAAAAGGGCAAAAAAAAAGGTGATTTGGCTGAAATCCCAAAAGGTAAAAAAAAGGTACCTGGGAACTAGGAAAAACATAGGGGTAACCAGGGGGACATCAACCGTGCAACCCTACGGCCCTACACATAGGCGCAAGTGGTTTGCAACAAACACATCCTTTTGCTCACGACGTGTGATGCGGAGTTTCACTTTGCTCAGCGTCCCAGCCAAGAGAGGCAAAATGTCGAGGTGGTTGCCTTGCACAAATCAAATTTATTGGTTTCCGAAATGGTTTCCGAATGGTTTCCACAAAATCAAAGAAGTAGTCACAACCTGCGGGCATAGGCCCCAACAGCCCTCTGTCTTGACATGACATGGGATTCGATTGGAAAAAACCGGTGCTGTTTGCCGGTTGGGAAAGCCTACAGATCTAGCCCCTAGTGGAAGGGTCAGGCAACATCTTGTTGGCTTCACTCAGAATCACTGGGTGGACGCGGCAATCATCCACCTTGCCACCCGCAATCTCACCCAGCTCATCTCGCAGCAATGCCTGCGCCCTGGACACTGAGTTGGAGGAAAGTGCCAGCATCATAATCCCTTCGCGCAACGTGGCCCGAACCTGCACCAAAGTGTCCTTGTAACCAGTCAATGCCACATTCAACTCTTCCAGCTCAGGAGCGTGGTCAGCAGCATCCTTCTTGAACATGTTGATGAAAGCATCCATTGGCATCATTTCCTGCAATGGCATTTGCCTCTTTGCTGTCCCTCAAAATGCGATGGATAGGGATAGGAATATTCGACAGAAGCCTCTATAGGAATATCTGCCAGTGACGCAACACAGCTGTGGTGAAAACCCACCACACGTCCATTTTTTGCAAACTATGCCCGTTATAATCCAAGCAAAGTAGGATCAGTATGACCCCTGCCACTCAAGAATGGTGTGTAACTCGGGTACATGTGGCGACACGTTTATTCATAAGCCTAGAACAGGAATACATTAATGATGCTGGACGTTTGTAACTTCTCCATCTATAAAGTAAAAAAAGATCTCCTGGTGGTGCTTGTCGTGAAGCGTCTTCACAGTACCACCAGGCAACTGCTTCAACTTTGTGCGGGTCGCGGCCTTGATGTCCTCGAAGCTGCAACCGTCAGCCAAGCCATGTCTCCACCACTCCGGTGCATTTGGGTCGGTGAGGCCTTTGGTTTTGGCGTCCATATCTGTCTTCATCTGGTCCATCTTGCGGATGAAGTTCGCTGAAGTCAAGCGCACAGCATCATAGAAGTCGTCCAATTGCAGCGTGAATGAGGTGTGGAAGCTCAAAGCTGCCACGGGGTCCTCTGACGAGATGCCCTTCTGGGAAAGCTGCGCCTCCAAGGTTTGGGCCCTGTAGGAGGCCGCGGCTTTCACAGCAACACGGAAGTTCTGCAAGCTCTGCAACATCTGTGCCAACGACACGTGCTTTGTGTCACGGGAGATACGGGCACTGACGTCACGGCCGAGGCTTTCCCACTGTGCCTGCTCTTTTCGGAATGCCAATCCCAAGCGCACCACCAACAGCTGCTTCTGAAGCCAGTCGTGCATGGGATGTCCGCATGACTTCACAAAGCTCTCCACTGCGTCCACGTTGGCGGGCATAGCTGCCAGACTTCCATCAGCAGTGGCCACATGGCCCGCAACCTGGCGGGCAAGGACACCGGCTAAGTTGCATCAAAACAATGTTTACTGCTCATCCCTTTGTGAGATTGAAATCTTACGTACGGCGTATGGATGGGTTCGCAACGTAAAAAAACAAAGGAATTCCATCTCCCGCCTACATTAAGCCAAAACATGCTGCTTTCTTCCAGTGATCCCCGCCTTGACACGCTCTTCTAGAAAAGTTTCTGCCATACCATACGGAAGTACATAATGGCATAAATATATCTTGACATTCTGTTTGACATTCTTTTGGGAATATCCTCTGACATTCTATCTGGCATCTATTCTGACATGCTTTCTGGCATTTCTCCTGAAATTCTTTCTGGCATCTATTCTGGCAATCTCTCTGGCATCATTTCAAACATTCATTCTGGCATTCTATTTGGCATCTATTCCAACATCCTATCTGGCAGTCTCTGTGCCATAAACTCTGATATTCTGCTTTTTCATTCCAAGTTCGGGCACAAGCGTGGCCCACAGCATCAGGAGCTCTCAGTGTTCGGGCCCACGCGCCGCCCACAGCATCCGGAGCTCGCGATACCGGTTCGGGTCCAGGCGTGGCTCACAGCATCCTGATCTCGCAATTTGGAGGTGGCCAGGAACACCACACACACCAGGCACACTCCACAGCATCCTGATCGCGATATGGTGTTTGGGTCCAGGCACACTCCACAGCATCCGGAGCTGACAAAGAGGCAGATGAAGCAAGGAGTGACGCAAGGAATGATGGAAGGACAAGAAGAAGGAGGAGTCGCACCTTTGTTTCAAATCTAGAGACCCTCACCTGGCAGATGGAAGATAAATTAATATCAAGTCATGGGCCCAAAAGCAGCTGCCAAGACCAAGACACACGGTCCTTCAACCATTTGAGGAGTGCGGGTAGAGCCTGGATCATGTCTTTTTGAAGGGGAGGTCGCTCACCATCAAGCAAGTCCTTGTTGAATTTACATTCCGCTGCCGCCAATGCCCACCTCAAATCAACCATGTTCACCTCGGACTTGTTCTGCAGCTGCCTGCACAAGTCTTGGAGATTGTTCCGGGCCAGCTGCTTTCGCGCAGAAGTCTTCCACGTGCTCATTGCAAGCAGCTGCTCAGCCGCTGAAAGCTCCTTTTCAAACAGCTTGAGGCCGGCCATCACCAAATCGATGTCTGGCTGGCGAAATGGGACGGGCTGCTGCGAAGACATATCGTAGGTCACCATGAACTTGGAAGCCTGAAGCAAGTGCTGCAGCAAAGCCATTTCCAGCGCCGCAGTGGCGCCCGGCCGCAGCTGTGACTTGTACTCTGGCAACTTCTTCGATATGTCGGATAGCAACTCAAAATCCGTGTCTTGTCCCTGGCCGATCTTCAAGGCATGCGTGTACTTTTCTATTTCTGGGATGAGTAGCTGGGACTTGGTGGCGGTGCGTAAGATATCATCAATTTCTTGTCGGTATCCGGTTTCCAATGGAAGCTTCAAAGAGCTTTTCAAGGGGTTTTTGCCTTTCCTGGTCAGCAGATCGTTGTAGGCCTCCAAGGACACCAGACTGGCCGGGTTGAGAATGCACAAGATCAACTGCGCAGCGTCCATCACAGACTTGCAAGCACTTTGAACAGGTTCAGGCATGCTGTCAGGATTGAAGGCTTTGGGGAGCCCGACCATGTCCCTGTTATTCAGCACAGCCTCTACGAGAGCCTGAAGACGGTCCTTGTTGGAAGTGCCACTTTTGATCAGCCGGCACAGCGAGTCATTGGCAAATGATTCAATCATGTTTGAAGCAACTGCCTGGCAGCTGGCAGCAACACAAGGAAAAACTTTGGCAAAAACTTCAGTAGCACTGCTTGTGACTTGTGAAAGCGTTTGCTGTTTTAATATCCTGTTGCAGGCACCCAATTTGAAACGCGCATTCATGCGACGAAGAACTTTTCTTGAATACGCATCTTCTGATTGCTGAGATTCACAAATTAATGTAGATGATATTGCAATATAACTGGCCGGGCCTCAAATCCAAAAGCAGCGGCTACTACGATCAACAATGTGTCTATGGCTATGTGATTGCTGCAGGCTTTGTAAATCAGACGCCCCACCTCCCAGTCAGGCTTGTACTTCTCCTTTGCAGTCACAGATTCTTCTCCAATCTGCTTCTCGCCAGCTGGGACCCATTGGTGAAACTCTTCGGGCTCATCGTCTGCTTTCTCCAGCTCCTCTGCCAGAACACTGGTGAACGTGGCAGAGAACATATCGAAAGAAGCATCTTGCAACTTGAGCGGAAGGACTGTCTGGGCAAACTTGGTGCAATCTCCTAGCAAGTCGTCGGCACAATGGGCGATGCCTGTGCAGATGTCCATGGCATTGCGTTCAACCAAGCGCGCGCGAATTGAGAAAGGCAGTGCGATGTTGTCTGCGCCATCGAAAACTTGAAGCAAGGCAACCAAGTCCCTCTCCGCAATGGTGGACATGTCGCAGCCGCAAAGCTTGTCAGCAGCTTCGCACTCCGCAAGCCGCTTCTCCAAGATGTCATACTGCCTCTTCCCTTCAAGCCTGGGCAGGACCTTCTCTTTGGCCTGGGCACGCCATGGTTCAACGGCAGCATTTGTTGGTTTACAAAATTGAAATTAGTAGGGAACTTTTCGCTGTCAACTTGGGTCCTGTCCTGTCGTGCTTCCAATGGAACGCTTTCGCGTGGGATTGTGGGACGCTCGAATTTAGAATTCACAAATACCTCTAGGCTTGGCAAAACACTGTGGCCCAGATTTCTTCTGCAAAAAAGGCGGGGCTTGCTGATACTAGTGTGGGTCAACCCATCTGCACAACATGAGAAACTGCGGACAGGTGCTGGATTCTGGATGCGCTTTGATGGCCGAGCTCGGTAAAGGGGGATTATAACTACGCATAGCTACAAATCTGAACCAACCAAGGAACAGACCATTGAGAAGACCCTCTCTTCTGCCCCTGCAAGATGTCCTGGACGGAAAGTTTCGTGAGACATTCTGCAAGTTGCCCCAGACCCTGCGCAACCTTGAGCATCTCCATGTCCTTCTCTTTCAGCGCTTCCATCTCGACGCTCGCGACAGCGATCTCTGCGGCACCGGTGGAGCTCTTGCCCTCTCGCCTTTTCTCTTTCGGCTTTTTCTCAATCGCTGCAGAGCCAGCAGCTCTGGCCACTCCAGGGGCCGCTTTTCTCTTTGGCACTGGCTGGTCATCATCCCCCAAGTTTTGCATGATTTGGTCAAGATCCTCTGCCTCAGGACACGCAAAATCATCTTCCGGCATCTCATCATCTTGGGCAGCAGCTGCTGCTTCTTGCTCCAGTCGCTTCCTTTCAAGTCCGGCTGCAACGTCTTGTAAATCATTGAAATGCTTCAAGTGCGGCCTCTCCGTGCTCTTGATTCCTTTGCCGCGCTCATCAATTTCTCTGTTCTTGTAGAAATTGTAGAGGTTCACACCTTGCTGCTGTGTCAGCTGCCACTCAGGTCGTAGAAAAGCTTGCCTGTGGTGATGAGAGAGCTGGCTATACAAACGAGTCTTTCTGCAAGCCATGATTTCTGCCAGCGGCATTCCCCTCCTCAGCCCAAGTGAGCAACGTTCACCAAGAAACTAACAAAATGATGCTCACAACTTCAAAAAATGCAACGATACTTGCACCTGCTTGCGCATGCGCAAGGCCACGCAGAAGCAACTAGGCTTCCGACAAGCCCACGTAGAATCCCTGCTGACTCTTGCCTTCTTCGTTCACAAAATTCACTTGGTGCTCCTTCTTGTAGCCCAGCGACTTGGAACTCACCTTAAAGATTCGGGTGAAGTCGGATTCAGTCAGCACAGCCACATCTAGGAATGTCATCTGGCCTGTTGCCTGGTCTTGCAAGACTTCGCTGTCTGGATGAAACTGGCGGCCGGCAAATGTTTCCGCTGAGGCAAGTCTCATTTTGACAGCTCCTTTGCACTCTGACCTGAACTCTGGATCAGATTGCATCCTCTTGCAGCACTGGCACCATGTCAATTCGGGGTAGAGCTCGAGCAACCCGGACACACAATTGTCACACCCATCTCCAACTGGCTGTCCGCGGGCATTGGTCTCCGCCCAAAGCACATTGGCCTTATTGGCATTTTGAGTTAGAAAATGTGACACAGCCTCTCTGAGGAAAGTATTCCGCACTGGGCATTGTTCTGCCCGCTAGGGACTTGCAAGTAGCCAAGTGACAGAAAACTTGCGTTGGCACAGGAAGCAAACGCACGCGCTACCACCCGGACCCTTGGCAACTTTTGCGACCTGCTTGTCTTCAGGATTCACGGCGACAAGGGCCTACAGGGTAAATGGCGCATCATGCACAATTTGAAAAAAGTTAGATCCCTTACTGGTGGGCCTGCGTGGCACACACACACGCTGCAAACAGATTCTGTCGACCAATCCACATCTCTTTAACAAAAGGAAGCTACACACACCCGCGCCCGGCCTCAGATGCCTCTTTCCTTTTCCTCTGACTCTGCGTCATGTGTCTCTACAAAAGGGACAGGGCACGCAGTCAGAACACGTCTGGAATGCTTCAAAAACACCTGGGTTGAGCCAGGAAATCAAAAGGAAATCCTCGCACTGTTACTGTTGTGAACTGAAGATTGAGACCTGTCTACAAGGCAACTGCAAATACACGCTGAATGTGTTTGAGCCTGCGCTTTTGTGCGCTGGCGCAAAGAGCGGTTTGATTCCATCGTGGTGAAACTCGGCCATGGGACCTTTTCAGGAGCAGCTGGGCCCCATGGTTGCATCTGTGCAGAGCAACGGGGGGTTGCCGCAACGGCCCAAGGCTCAAGGAGGAGCTGTAGTGACTATAGTGACTTCAGGACAACTATTCATCGTGTAAACCAACTAGCCATATTCTATCCATACAGGGGGAAAGAAATATATAGAGAGGAGACAATATATCAGCATGAAGAAACGATCTATGAATATGAATCTATTCTATGTACCCGTCTATCTTTCCATGTATCAGTGGCATCCCTTTATAGTAGCATGCAACATGAATATCGGCAAAAAGCGGCCAGTCTACATAAAGATTTCTTTGGTTTCGTTACAAGCACCAAGGCCCACAAAACAAGTCTGTGGTCGAAGTCAAGTCTGGCAAACGGGACACGCCACTGCCAGTCCTAATTCCGAAAAAAATCACCTCGCACCAACCTCTGTAAAATGGTTCTGGGAAGCGAACCATGCGAGGTGAAGCAAATTAGCAAAAAACGTCGAACTACAAGCCTCTCTCAACGAAAACGAAACGAGTTTGATCCACATTCATGAATCCTCAACCATGCCCTTCGCATTGATCAGAACAAACCAAGTCCAAATTGCCACCCCCAAACAAGGCAAGGACATGCCCTCACCAGCCAAAGTTCTGACTTCTGCCGGTGACAAAGAAGCTAGTTTGGATTCGTGGCTATGTCCTTGCAACATCAAGTACTCAATTGGAGCCAGCATTGAGTCTGACCTGAACGAGTAGTACAAAGAACTAGTAGTCATGGTGGGAAGGAATCCCTTGCTGTCCGTGAAAGTTGGGCGTAAATGAGATTGGCTGATGTCTACAAACACATCCTGACTTTTCACCTTTTGGCAAGCTTTCTGTGCTGACAGATTCACGTCTCCATCTCGGCCTTTCTGAGCCACAATGCAATCTAAGAGATCCTTGACCCGATCAGTGGCAGGCACTCCAAAGAGCACAGCGCCTGAGGTTGTCCATGGCCTATATTGACCAGAGACATCAAGCGAGTCTCGCCACTGAGAACTGTGAGATTTCCATTGCTTGCCTTCATCCCTCCGTGATCGTTTCTCGCGCCTGGCGCGAATCTCCTGCAGCCCACACAAGGAATCGAAACCTTTCGAAGGGAATCCCGATGAAATTAGCTAGAAAAAGAAATGTATCTCTCATGGTGGTTGCACCAAACGACTTGCTTCTGCAGCAATGATTCGTCTCTGATTCTCGGTGTTTTTTGTAGACGCACGTCTTCATGCAACTATCAGCAGTGAATGCGCAGAATGCGCGTGCATATCAACGTATTGGCCAGGGATAATAGTTTGTAGTTTGTAGATATACTTGCGTGTACAATAAATATATAAATTATATATATATATATACAGATAGATTTAGATTTACTTGTGTATAGATGCTTTGAAATAAATCAATAAAAACGTATGTATTGTATATATGTGTATATTTACACTGACAACAGGACACCCGTAATGATTTCACAGAAAAAACGTCATTCAACATTTGTGTTTGAATTTGTGATTCAAAATCTACCCACAATTGCGCGGCTATGCGTTATATACATCCTTGGTTAACCCTATATGATATATGTTAATGCTCGGAAGCAGGGGTCCGGCAGGATTCCTAAAATCTTTTTCCCCGCTAACGAAGCTCGGCGAAGGAAACCGTCGCCAGCCAGACATGCAAGGCTCCTCTCCACATCCGCAAATTTTGGCACCGAATGCAAGCTGACATTCACCAACCCCGGCTGTCCCTGCCAGAAAGCGCAAGGAGACTGCAAAGCAGGAAAAGCCTGTACAAGGAAAACGCCAGTGCGTGTGGGTCGGGAGGGAAATGGAAGAAGGTGAAAGGGGGTAAGGCTCCGGGTAAGGGGAAATGGGGAGGGTCGAATGGAGAAAGAGTGGTGGAGGAGGCGAAAGTCGGAGCCAGCTTGGCTGGGAGCGGCCAGGGGCAGCACCTCCTTTCTTTTACCTTTTCCTTTCCTTTCTCTGGGCTTCCCATTCACCTTTTTGTCACCTTTTTGTCACCTTTTTGTCACCTTTTTGTCACCTTTTCTTCACCTTTTTTCACAAAAAAGGTGAAAAAAAGGTGAAAAAAAGGTGAATGGGAAGCCCAGAAAAAGGAAAGGAAAAGGTATGGAAAAGGTAGGAGAAAATCAGCGTCCTGCCCCCGCCCACCCCTTCCTTTCCCTCCTCCCGCCCCTGCTCAGCCAGTGTGAAAATTGTATTTGCGCAAGGGATCTTGCCAGTGGGCTGCTCACCATCTTGCACCGGGAGAACATGATAGCATAAAGCCTCGCATGCTGTAGGCAGCAAGGTTGCCAGCGTAACTGGCCTGCATGTAAAGCTGCACTTACTCATTGCTGAACTGCGTACTGCGTCACAACAAAATCTACCTTGAGCCTTCCATACCGGACCCTGCTTCCGGACTTCATAGATATATAATTAGATAATAATAGGTGAATATAGACATATTAAATACCACAGTCTGGAATCACTCTTCAAGGATGAGAAAATCTCTACGCCATCCCATCCATGATTTCGCGCCCTGCAAAGAATGCGTCATACAATGAAAGCCCGCAAAAAAATTGTCAAGCACCTGGGAGCACAAGCTATTTCAATGTTTTTGGCTGCACCTCCTGGACAAAAGCCTTTCTCTCTAGCTCGGTTAGCAGAACTTCCCGCACTGGCTTTGGAGTCAAATCATTTTGCCCTGCTTGGATCGCCTGCAGCAGAAGACAGCGGGCAAAAAAACTGAGCAGCGCATTCAAACAAGAAAGGTGGTACAAATCAACGCATGCACTTCTCAAATGCTTGTGCGCGCGCAGTATGAAAAGTTGAAGCTGCTGCCTTGACAATTGCGTCTGCATGGTGGGCATCTTGGATTGTGAAGAGGTCAGCACGCAGGAACAAAAAGTAATACCTGACAAAAATGGCCAGGTCTGGGAATGAAACTGAAAATCCAATTGTATGAAGTCACTGAAGCCGCCGTTGGCGACAATCAAACTCATAACTGCGAAAATGCGCTTTTCCGTTTCCTACAGTATTCACGGGCACGCACAAGGGAAAACAATGTTTTTGGCAAATCATCATGGCAACTGTTCCGGTTCTTCCGGTTCACCAGGGCGACGTTCTCGCTCAAAGCCAAAAAACATATCGCTATCATGAAACTCAGTGAAGCGGGCCCGAGCCGCAGACCGATCCGGGAGAGGAAACCTATTCATTGACATATGTGTCTTCTGGTCCTCTACCCCTGCTGCGCAACAAAGCCACTGCATGAGGAACCCCAAAGGGCGACCCTGGCCAGCAAGGCGGCCAGCTTTGGAAGTGCGTGTCTTCCGACACTGTCCATGGGAAGGGTTTGAGCAGTGCGCGCGAAACTGCTGACTGGTGTGGTTATACCTGATCTCACCAAACTCGCCCAACTTGATGATGTCTTCTGGCACGGTAGCAATTCTGGAGTGTGGAGCTATCTGATCCCGCTCATCACTGCTGGAATCCCCTGATGTGGAAGAAGAAGTGTCTGAATCTGAATCCGGTTCTGGGCCCATGGCATTCTTACTGCCTGCTGCAGCGCCATCATCTGCCGCCGCTGCTTCTGCGGGCTGGTGTGGTTCAAGCTTTGAACCTTCTTCGTTTTCGCCACTAGCTGCTTCACTAGCCGCTGGGCCTCGGTCACGGCCGTGCGGGTCTGCGCTTTGCTCTTCAAAGCCATCAAGAAAATCTAGCCAATTGCCAACTTGTTCCTCCAAAGCCTCTTCTAGATCTTCTTCCTCATCTTCTTCAGAAGAGTCGTCTGCCTCATCTGCGTCAAAGACTTCGTCAAAGTCCTGCAAAGGGTCAATCTCCCATTCATCTGCAGGTTCGATTGCTCCTTGCGAGGCCGCCTCCAAAACATGCAAATCATGGAGAGGCGGCTGCGGCTCTGACGCACATAAGTCTTCCTTTCTCTGTCGTTTTTTGCCTTGCCCTTGCCCATCTGAACTATTCTGGGCTACTCTGGGCCTTCTGGTTCCCTTTCCTCTGGATGGCTTGGTCGGTTTTGTCTTTCTTGCCACCTCCTCTTGCTCCGATCCGCGCCACACACGGCAGCGAGGGAAAATTTTGTCAGGAAGGGAGGTGACTTCGATCTCGTTCGGGGCCATTTCAGCTGCTGCCAGTTGCCTGTCGCCACCACGCATGCAGTGCCAGGACATGACGATTGGAAATTCCAAGTCCAGAGAGCTGAAAGCTTCGAAGCACCGCTGTGGGCTCGGAACGGCAGGCACAGCAAGGACTTGAATCTCTTCGCCATCTGATTCGTATGTACGCACAGGGTCCAAAGGCAACAAGCCCAAGTGCCAAGTCTTGAAGTTGCAGTAGCCAACGTGAAACCAAGCAGTCTCAACACAAGCTGCCTCTGGTCGCAGCAAGTCTTCCACGACAGCCTTGAACTCTTCACTTGAATGGAATTCCCTTTTCATAGCTTCTCTGGCCAAATTCTGGAGACCCAAGGTTGCCCATGATGAACCTTCGGCCATAGGCACCAGCACCACCCGGAGGCAATCCAGTCGAAGAACTAGCTCTCCATTGGCTACAAGAACTCTTGCTGCAGGAAGAGGACTTTTTTTCTGCGGTCGTCCATGTGCGTCTTTCTTGGCGCGGGGCTTCTGCATGAACGGCTTCAAGAAAAATTTGATGTTGCTCCAAAACTGATAAGCTTGGAAGTAGGGACCTTCAGGGCAAATGCAAATCCCAAGCTCGCAGCAAGTGGCTGGTTGGAACCGTGTACCTGTGTCTTGCAAAGGCACAGCATCTGCGTGTTGGAGCAACTCATGACGCTCAGTCCACGAATTTTGGAGCGAACTTGAAATGGATCCCGTGCAGGCCGTGGCAGCGGCTGAAGTTTGCCAATGCTTCTCCAAAACCTTAGGTCACAAAAAAAAACATCCGTTCATGAATCGCTGAGATTTAATACTGGAAAATGGGGAAGACAATGCAGCTATTTAATTTTCAACTGAATGAAACATGACATAACAGAAACTGCTGAACTGAGACCCGAATATTGGCACACACTTTCCTATAACATCACCAACCAAGAAACTTCACAGTAGAGCGCGTCAGCTGGAAGGTGAATATCAAAAGCAGCCAAAGGGCCAGCAATGCATCTGTGGAAATCTTGGCCCAACAACGCAGTGAACATGGCAGACATGCTGTCATGGTGCACTTGGTCAAAGGCTTGTAGGGTTGCATTCACATGCGCTGCCTCCTCAAGCGCACGAGCTCTCACAGTTGCAGCTTCCTCTTTGGCACGGACTAGCGCCAACTCAACTGTATTGGCCGATGGAAGGGCAAGGGCACGGTCAGAAGAACCCGGCTTGGCACCAAAGGGAGCGTGTCCATGCTCCACGCTCAACGCAGCAGCTGCGGCTACGTGCTCGAAGTGGGCCTTTTCCTCTGGAGGCAAAGACCGGTATTCTTCAGCAAACTTAGTCATTGCGCCATCCTTCCATTGGATACCCTGCTTTGTCAGGTGGAGATAAGTTTTGAAAGGACCAGGGACTGGCCGTTTTCTGATCTTTCCATCCTTTCTCACTTTTCGCATTTTTTTCTTTCGTTTTCTCTTCTGTTGACCTTCTCCTTCAAAAACATTTCTGCCACACACACGCACAAAATCTGCGGCGTTCTGTCTCAGCAAAAAGTCACAAGACAAATCTTCCAACTGCATGCCACAAGTTTGCAGTGATCGAGCTTTGACAATTCGCCGAACAGCAGCATGCTTTGCCTCAATTTGGCTGATGTCCATGTCAATGATCAGAGCGAGGGACAACAAAATGTCCTTGCCAGTTGGGGACAGAGCAGCTTCTGCCGTTGGAAAAGAATGCACAAACGCTGCTGTCAAGGAATCATGAAGGCACTTCCTTTGTTGATAAAACAGCGTCGCGGCATCCCCGTCGAGAAGGCAAGAGAACAACATCACTGGGCAACCCTTCCTAGACGGGAGCAGTGTAACTGGTAGATTGCACCCTGCTCGAGACAACAAGCGGAAAAACAAATTTCGGCTTGCCAAATTCATGTCTTTCAGTGGCAGAGCTACGGGGATGGTGTGGTGACTTCTTCCCAGGTCTTGGCAAAAGTTGTTCGCATCTTCGCCCCGGCATGCCTCCAGAACTCTGTAACTGCGCGGCTGCCCCGCAGCTGCTTTGGCTTCTTGCTGTTCCTCCCACTTTCGCCCTGCTAATTCAAGAAACGTATGCATCAAACGGACCAAGGGATCCATGGAAAGCCGCATCACAACCAACCTGCCAGCCAAAGAGATTTGGGAGGAAGAACTTGACTTGATCCAAGCAATAAACTTTTGCTTCAAAGATTTGATGATCTTGACCCAGTCGCGATCCACAAATTCAACCCCGCCATCTGACTGGACAGGAGCTTGGAGGCTCACCAAACCTCCGAGGTCATCATCTTCTCTATCATCATCTGCAGGCGCTTCGCCACCCACCGCCACTGGCACGGCTTCAATTGGAGGAAGTTTCTGCCGGAGAAAGTCATCCCATGTCACAGGACCTTCCCCTTGGTCAAGGCCACCTCCATGGAGATCACCTCCAGCTATGTTGAGCCAAGCAGCCGCTGTCTGTTCGAGCAGCTGGTGATGGGTTGCAAGGATTGCAAAGTAGTCAACAGCCAAGTCTGTCTCATTTGTCTTTGATCACTTCGTTCTGAACCGGCTGCCTGAATGGATGCAGCTACTCTTCTGAATAGGGCGCTGCCTACAGGACGTCCAGAGCCAACTCGCTTCTTGGAGGAACTGGCGCCAGTTTCATGGTCATCGGGCGTCTTCAGCAGACTGCCCCAGCCACCTTCATCATTGGACTCATCGCCCAAAAGATGTTCATCTGACATTCACCCGCAGCGCATGTTCTCCAAGCCTAAGGCTGAAGAGCACTGCGCTACTAATCCACAATCGAGTCAGCGCTGTTTGGATCGCCGACTTGACTTAAACCAAAAGCTGCGGAAAAAGAATCTGAAACATTCAGTCGCCTGCGCATCACTCACTGGCAACTCAGTCTTGTCTCTTGCCACTGCCTAAAACCAACCCATACACCCCAATTCCTGCCTGAGACGGTGCTGCTTCACCCAAATGATGTTGTCCAAAAGCATCGTGACAACGTGGTATCCACCATGCTTCCACTTGCGGTTCATCAACAAGCCCAAAAACCTACATGGTGGAAGGTGGAGAAGCTCAAAATGACCAAGTTCAAATTTAGCACGTACGAGAAAATTTCTTTCTTCGAGTGATCTCCACCCTGGCACACTATATATTCTGACATAGTTTCTAGAGTATATTCTGACCTTTTACGTGGCATTCTTTTGGCATATACTCTGACATTCTTTATCTATTCTGACATACTTTCTGGCATTTATCCTGACAGTCTTTCTGGCATCTATTCCCGCATTCTTTTTGGCATTTATTCTGACATCCTTTCAGGCATACATTCTGGCATTCTATTTGGCACCTATTCTGACATCCTATCTGGCAGTCTATGTGACATAAACTCTGATTTTCCGTTTGGCATTCTATTTCGTATTCTCTCTGGCATGAGTTCGGGTCCAAGCGCGGCCCACGGCATCCAGAGCTCTTGGTGTTCGGGCCAGGCACAGCATCCGGAGCTCGCGATGTCCGATGTGGGGTTCGGGTCCAGGCTCGCAATTGATGGGGTTCGGGCCCAGGCGTGGCCCACAGCATCCTAGTCTCGCGTCCAAGCACATTCCACAGCATCCTTAGCACTCCGCAGCATCTGGAGCTGGCAAGGCGATGAAGCAAGGAAGGAAGGAACAAGAAAAGGAGAAGGAGTTGCACCTTTATTAAAATCCAGAGACCCCCACCTGGCAGCTGGGAAAAAAGTCCGCGTGCAAACCCAATGTGCGTTTCGCAAAACATCTTGTTTGTCCTGCCTGTCTTTCGGAGAGGAGGTGTCCATGTCATGCGCTGCCATACCGAAACCTGATACTTGCTCCAAGATAGCCGCTTTCGGCTCCACAGATTCTAACAGTGCCAGGCTTTCCTCAAAAGTCACTGTGTACAGGCGGTGGGATTTCACAACGTCATCAGAACTGCGTTTCATTCGGTCTGGTCTCTGTGTGCTAAAGGGTGGACAAGGGGTCCCAAACACCAGGAGATCAGCTTGCTCCGGGCTGCGTTGGGAAGAGCAGGTGGACTCTGTGTGAAGTGCACAAGTCTTTTGCAAGCTTTGTTCACCCATGGTGCGATAAAAGCATTGGATCACATCACTATGGTTCGCCAAAGCGAATTCGCGAAACTTCTCTGTGGGCTCAGAGCACGACAAGCAGCGAAAGTTGATCCCAAACGCCTGGCAAACAAAATGAGACAAAAGGAGACGCCATAGCCAAACAAAAAACATTTGCCGACGCAACTGCTTGTAAAATCCACGCCAAATTCCAAATCAAAACGTTGCGCTCACAACACTCTGCGGGCACCTTCAGCACTGCAGCTTCTGCGAAACTAGCCGTGCACCCGGAAACCAACTTCAAGGGACTCGCTGCTCTAAACTGCTGCAGTCCACTCTGGGGCAACAGGTGGGCAGTATGAAGTGGAAACAGTTTTGCCCACCACGGCGCTGACAAGGGCATTTGATATCCATTCTCTTTCACTGTGTTGGACAAACTCCCTTGGAAGTATGGTGAACTCTTGTGACTCTTGTTGGACACACTGGAAACTTCATCATCAGAACCGCAGCGGCAAGCATCAGCCACCACCGCTTGGGCCGCCCTAGTTCGGGAAACCTCTAACAGGCTTTCTTCTAGCTCTGCCCAACTCATGGCAAATTGGCAGTTCAGTGCCCGTCTACGTCTTGCCCTTAAAAACGGCAACACACAAGCACACAAAATCTGGCAATAACGCTTTCATGTCCTGCATCAAACATGTCCGCAAGAGATTTGGAAAGGTGCCAAAGCACAATCAAACACATGAAATTTCGTGTCCAAGTGCTCACCACAACTGTGCACTTACCCTTGTTTTATTTCCAATCCATTTTGAAGACCTGCATTTTCCTGTGCATGCAGTTTTGCTTGTCCGTTTGCTTTCTCTGTTTGTTTCACCTTTTGGCTGCCTCTCTCTTCTTGGCTGCCTGTCTGGCCACGTCTTTTTTACGTTTTTTCCAGGTTTTGCTGATCACCTTTTAGTCACCTTTTTTTCAAGTTTTAATTCCCCAACATCGACATCAAAACTACCACGATCAAATTCATAAAGATAGATAGATAGGTAGGTAGGTAGGTAGGTAGGTAGATAGATAGATAGATAGATAATGAGATAGATAGGTAGATAATGAGATAGATAGGTAGATGGGTAGATAGGTAGATAGGTAGATAGGTAATTAGATGAAAGAGAGAAAGAGAGAGATAGATAGCTAGATAGATAGATAGATACATAGAAGATAGATAGGTAGGTAGATAGTCAGAGAACGAGAGAGACAGAGAGGAGACCTCAAGCACCTTTTGGTCCATCAGTGGATTCGTTTTGCCATCCCTGATTCACAACAACCAACCTCTCCTATAGGTTTTCTATTCTTGAAACTTCCGCCACCGCCTTGTGCGGTACTACTGGTATATATATACACATATGTATTGAATGTGCGGTGGATGGGATCTCATAAAATAAGGATCTGATCATGATTGTATGGGCATGGAATGCCACATCACAAAATGACTCAACTCTGAGCGGCAAGAATCCAGGCCATGTCCTCTTCATTGATGTGATAAACTTGGTGATTTCGCAGATCTAAAAACCCATGGGGTCCCCAAAATCCTCCCGTTGTGATTGGTCATTTCTGACCGGGAAACCATGGGATTTGGGGCCTATTTGGCATGAAACCCCAACCATTGCTTCATTGCTTTCCTCTTTTGTCATGCAGTTTGATATCTTTGCAATTTGAGTACCAAATCCATCCAAGTCCCCTTTTGTTCAACACAATTGTGTAATATTATATATCCTCCCGCACAACTCCCCCTTGGACCTCCACCAAAAATTGGGAAGTCGTCAGCCACAACTTTGTCTTCAGGCTGACTGCTACTCAAAAACTTCTTCCCGGGCATCGTGAAATTCTCAGGGCAGACCCCGCACTTCTCCACACCATCATCCAACAGCTCCACTGCTTTCCTGAGCAACATGGTCTAACAATGTCTAAGAATCTAAGCCAAGCGTCGACGCAAAATGGAACGAAACGATTGGTGTTCCCAAGAAACATAGCTGGGGCTCCACTGTAGGTGGATTTAGCTCTCATCATATTTGACCATTCTTGGGGTGTCATGTTGGATTTGAAGGTGTGCCTCTGCTTGAAAGAATTGATTAAGCAAAAGAACACCTTGCTATCAATCACTGCTTACTGGTAACAAAGCACGGCTCAGCAACACCCATTCTTTAGAGGAAAACCTCCATGCATGCATGTGTTGCATCCAGGTTAGCGTGCTGGAGGGTAGATGTTCCATGAGGAGTTTGGAGCTAAACACGGAGTCAAAGAGCCTCAGTAAAGTGAAAGATATTGGAGTACGCATCATCCCCTTACCTAAGACAGACTTGGAACACTGTTTGTTTTCCAAACGGTAATGTGGTCTTCCAACCCCTATTTGGTAGGGTCTGTGTTGCGGTACATGTCATCAGAGGTGTCATCAGAGTTCCGATCATGTGCTTTAAGGTTGTTACCAGGTAGTTTGATGAGGACATACCTACTCATGTGAGAGCCCAATCAGTACTAATCAGTGCAACTGTCACAAAGATACGTGTTGCGTAAAGTAGGACAGCAACTTATAAGCGGCTGATTTCAGGTTTTTGGACCCTTAACACATCCACATGTTTTGGTGTCAGAATGAATCAGAAGCAACATTGTCATGTGTTATCATGTGTTTAAGATTGCTCAGTCCAAGAGTTGGTGACAAAGTCGAGTCACAACTCGCATGGAGCAAGATGTGAATGTGGTATGATAATGTATGATATACAGTACAGTACATACACATAATGAGCAACAATGCTTGTGGGTCCTTCGAGATGCAACCAGCAGTTTTGCCTCAGCCCCTATAACTGGTTTGTGTGCTGGGAGGTAAAACCAAATCACGAGTCGGTTGGGTTTGTCTCAGTATGGGTGATACCCCAAATTATGTTAATGTTAATGAGAAACAATAATAATCGATGGGATTCGACAGGGTTTTCCCAAAATGTTCAGACAACCCCATTTGTCATCGACTCGAGATGACTTCAGCTAATGTAGAAGAGGAGCGGACGTTCAAGTCAAACCTCAGATTTGCGCAGATCTTTAGTTATTCATTTTTATTCATTTTAGAATGTTTTAGGTATTCACCAAAGATGTAAGATTTCCATATAGGTTTCCTATACATAGTAGCAGCGTCAAGATTCGGGCGCGGGCAATCCAATGAGATGCCGTCCATTGTGTGGCACGGAACAAGCGTTGTCTCGGGCCAAACTTCCCCCAGGCACCACGTCATGGTCAGGTCCCACCATTATGGTGTATTCACCTCTTTAACGGGATGACCATCCCGAAAATGACCATGCAGAAACAAATGTATTATTAATAATAATCAAGTTTTTGACCGTGGCACATATGGGCATGGCGCAAAAGTATTGACACCCGTTTTAGGATCGTTTAACATGGTTTATAATACTTTAACAATACGCCATGCTTCATGATCTGGATCAATTTGATACATCTCTGTGTGCACCCAAAAACTATGCTACGTTTTCGCTCACACCAAAAAACAGGTCGCTTGTAGGTATAGATCGCCATCTCCCGTCAACCAAAAGTCCCGCAATGGTCCCGTAGATATTGACTCATCTTCATCTCACAAATATAGCCGCAGAAAATCGTGGAAAATCATGTCGAAATCTCAAACGTTGATATGAGAACATAATCGTTTTTTGTCTTCCCCGGGGTGACTGTGTGTATGCACATGCATAGGTATGTATGTTTGTATACATACAATACATAGTGTATATATATATATACACATGAATATGTTATGTATAATGCATAGAAAATGGATGTGTTTTTTTTAAACAATAACACATGCATACATTTGAATATACTACACATGTGTATTTTATGTACACACTGTTTCTATCATAGGAATTACACTTAACAACTTCACACTTGCCCTGCGAAGCGCAACCCCTGTCCTCGGAGGAAGATCCTGACGAGGGATTTGACAGATATTTTATCAACGAACTTCGGGCACGTCTGCCCATCATGGAACTTTAGTCTGATCTTGTATGATTCAAAATCATTGAATGATTTAGCGCAATGAAGTGCGATTTAGAACTATTTATTTATTTGATATTGGCTTATGATGAGGTTGTATGGGTTGATGCAATTTTATATGCTCTAAGATGCCTTCAGCCTTCAGCTGATTTTTAGACAATTTTATCCCTTGTAGCTCGGTGATAAAAGATGAGTCCAGTGCTTTGCCTTCGGTGATCGTCATTGGACAAGGCGTTCTAGTTCCAAACCACCCATGCATACGTTTCAACTATATAATTCAACATGATTCATTGATATCTATGGTTCTCTACAAGTATCACGTTGAGATCTGTTGATTGTATAGAAATTCCAGAAGGATTTCATTCCCAAGATGGAATTGCCACTCTCTGAAGCTCGCTGCCTTTTAAGTTTTTTTTGCCGCCTTTGAAGTCAGAGACAACTCTTGCTTTATCTAAAGAACCGCAGCTGGTTTCAAACGTTTACACTATAATTAATATAGATTAAATTACATTATTACTTTCGCATTCGCTTTTCTGAAATCCCGTAGTTCCCTGTGCCCCATCCCTATAAGTTCAAACAATCAAAGTCCGTTACCACTTCGATAATCATTTCATCCATGATCAAACTTCCGGGAAGCTTCAGCGACGCTGCTCACCGAATGCTCCCGTGGAGGTGAGTTCCCAAAGCACTCAAATCATCATCTTTGGCTGATTAACAAATTGTCAAAAATTTCTGGAACTGTTCAAAATACAGAAATTATATGTAATTATGTAATTAAAATGAGCTAATATATGTCTAAATTCTGTAAGCAACTACCGAAGGTGTGATTCCAACATCTGTTTCAAACAACAAACAACTAATCACCCGCCAAGTCGTCTATTTGGCCCGTGTGAAGACAGGACTGATTGGCGATTGAGCCGCCCAATCGGGAAAAAAATATAACATAGGTAACACCATCCCCATGGAACCATCTAGCAGTTCTATTGATTCTGGACCTCCCGGCATATTGCCTTGGCAAAATGAAGTGAGGTCCCAATTTAGTGCTGGATTTCCCAACATGTTTCCTGTGAAACAAAACACAGAGGGGTTCCCTTGGGCCTGTGAGGACCAAGAAAAAGAGCCATGAGAAGCGCATGGCACCCATGGCATCAGCTCAAATGGCCCACCGAGGAAGCGGTGGGTAAATGCGTGACTTTTGTGAATAGTTCATATGGTTATCTCCTACTGTATCTACTATTTGGGGCAAGCCCAGTGAGCCCCCTCAATAGTACTGTAGAAGACCTGTAGTTACTATAGGTTGACTGGTTGTTTCAGTTTCTGTTCTGGGGTGATCATCATCCCTTGCATCGGGTCTGGCCTGCCACCCCAGGATGGATTGGCGACCTCCTTGTGCCTGACTTTTGTCCCAAAAACATCTGTTACGAAACAGAGGCTATCAATTCAGCGTTCAAGATTGGATGCACGCAGGTAACTGTCCAGTTGTATCAATTTGTGGGGTTCCATATGTTTCATGTTGCCCAACAAAAGCCCAATCATGTCGCCGGATCACGGTGGAAGTTTCTTCACCTTTGAAGAGCTATTCCCCGACTGAGGTCTACCTGTAATGTTAGATTTTTGGAATGGTGGAAACTTGAAAGCCAAACCATGTTAGCAATGCATCTGTATCAACACATCCCATTTATAACCATCCATGTTCTTCAGCCGTATTCTCATTTGTGTTGGTTCAAAGTCATCCAAGTGTGACCCATGTACACAAGTGGAACGCCTTAGCCTACATGTCTCAACTGCATTTGGTCCTTGCTGAATTCTTCAGCTTGAGCATCAGCCCATGGTTGGTGATGGCGCAAGAGACACCCTAGCACAAATCAAAGGTGGTGCAGTGGAGAAAATAAGAGGGAATTGGGTTTATGACACCACAATATTATCTAGAATGATCATGTAGGAATCTCTTTCAATTGTATACATCCATGTATAGTGTCACAAGCTAGCTCTGGGTATTAGGTATGACTGTATGACCAGTCACAACGGGTCAAGAATTCTGGTCTGTTTCTATAAAGTCATTATCACATATACATATAAACAAACGGACGGAGCACCTATACATCAACAATTTCATCTTCATACTCAATGGGCGCTGCAGCGTACTGATGATCACCGACCATGGCATGGAATGCCAATGTACAGTGATCCCCCTAAACCCTAAACCCTTTGAACAAATAGAATCGCGAATCATCAAACTAGAAGCGAATAAAGTCTCCAGCAAACCTCAATGGAAAACAACAAAAAAATGTGTCCTTTTGGGACCCCTGGATGACCATTCCAACACATGACCTTCTCGGATAGATATCATCGCAGTTTGGTCGCTCATTGCGCAGTATTTGTGCATCCCCTGCTCAAGAAACCAGCAAACAGGAGAAGACTGGCAAACGGATGGGGAACATGGACGCTTCTGGCGTACTTGCTTACCCCTAAGTTATATGTAATCTTTGCTTTCCGTAGATGCACATGCACATCCCAAGATGTTTCAAAGTTGTAAATGTACGTAAGTATTTAATTCACATGTCCTCTGTGCGAAGCCAAGGTCCTGATTTTCAGTATCTTTTCCTGACCCAACGCTGCAAAATAGTTCACAGGTTCGACGGTCAACGGACCTCAGAACCTTAGAACCCCAGAAGTTTGTACAAGCGATGGGTGATCAGAGAGTCAAACAAAGTCCCAAGTTCATCTCCTGCATGCGGATTGTGACTCGTGATGAACCATCATAGTGACAAAGGACCGTTTTCTGGGGATGGTTCGCATCCGAGAGTTGCTCTTTTGTCACGGAAGGATTACGGAAGCTATATACAAACTTTGCTGTCTTTGGGTCAAGCATAAACAAAAATGAATAACCTCCAAAGACTGTTAGTTCGCATGTACACTGTCAAGTATTTGAGGGTATTCTAATTAACTATAACCAGTGCCCCCAAAAGCGGGTCTACGAATTGTTGAGAAACCATATGCAATGGTTTTGTTCTTACGATCCGCAATCAATACTGATACAGTTGCTATATTTTCTGGGTTTACCATGCACAATCCACTCCGCAAAGAACACACATCCTGCCGGTGGGCACTGAAGGCCCAAGGGCATCCTGCCTTCCATTGGCGAAACGGATTGGTGATGGAACACAGCTCGACGTCTTCCTGGATGATCCACAGAGAACCATCATTCGATATGGGGACCCGCCATATCCACCATAAGAATATCTAAAGTTGAGCGATATTCGGGATGGGTAAACTATGTGTAGAGTGGTGGCTAGAATTGGTAGAGTATAGCTTAGATGTCTGACATATGACCGACATTAAAGATCCAAAACATATGGCTGGACTATGATTAACGTTGGTGCTTGATGATAGCTAGACACGCGGTTGAAACAAAACTTCACATTGGATTTTGACTCATGAAAAACGCACATGTTGGGATGACAACACATGTTTGGTGAGATTGGCATGTTTTGGATACTTTTTTTTAAATCTGCCAACCAGGGGGGATCTATCTTTAGATTTCGCCGGCTTGATGGCCACTGGCCAGCATGAGTACATCACCGATTCTTTAAAGCCTTTAATATCATCAGATGGTAGAATAAACATGAATAAACATGATTAGATGATATTCGATATTGATTGGGTGACCAGATTACCACATTCCCTGGACTGCAGATTTTCATGGTCAGCACGACCTTCCCAGCATTGGAGACGCGGAAGATCACGAACTTTCCACCCTCCTGGCAGTCAACAATTTGGAGGTTCAAGCTTGCAGTTTACACTCTGAACAAGAGACTTAATCTTCTGTAAGACGTGAGGAATTAAGCTAGGTTTATGGTTGGTAAGTGGAGTTGTTCACCGTTCAAAATTGAGGATCTTTCCTGACCACCCACAACTGAGCGACAGAGAAAATTCACAAACGGAAATGCCATGGGGATTGAACACCAAATGAATGGAGACATTCAGGCGTGACTTGGCTGAAGTGGTATCTGGGAATATTTGAGTTAATATTTAGCCATGCAAGCCATTATAGTCATCCTATTGGTTTGTCAGTAACTGGGGGATAGTTTTTGGCTACTAGGGGGAACGTAACGGCAGCATGCATGAGCAAATTAGCCATCCGTAGCCAACCAAGACTGGGAACAACAATGAACATACGAGAGATAGTGCTTGGTCGTTGCTTGGAAGATATTTAAGATATTTACGTTCCAGCTTGTCGTAAATCCAAATATATAGACATGTAGCCTAGAATTCCGTCCCTTTAGGCAATCTCATATTTTTCCAGACAAATCCACCTGGTTGGTTATGCCCATCTGGTATCACTTCAGAAGGTTGTGCATTGTGGGATATCCCCAACACCCCCCACTAAAGGAGCTTGCATGTCATCCATCATAAACCCACCATTCATCCATCAATCGAGTCAATCAGCTGCTGGCAGAACCTGAAGGTACGATCCATCATGACTAAGTGGGGACCGTATCCCATGAAATATCCCATTATAGTGATGCAGTGACTTCACCCAGCTACTACTCCAATTCATGATTGATTCCAATAAAATTGCCATGAAACTCATTGCATCCCCCATTTCCAAGGATCACCCATTGTTTGTTTTTCATAAGGAGGTTATGACCCAGTCGGTCGTCGAAATGCACGACTTTCATGCAGCAATTCCAAAAGGCTTGGGGCTGGTCCTTCTGTGCAAAGGTCCATTCTCGATAACTCATCCTCAGGCGCAGCCAGTCCGATTGGAGGTTAAATTTTAACAACAGGGTAACCCTGAAATACCTCCTCTACTGGTATCACATGTTGGGGCGGTGTTGACCACTGCTGATTTACCACTAAGAAACACATATATATAAAAGGATCCCTGAATAATCTACAGTATATTGTTTGGGGAACAGAAATCTAGCATGGTTGGTCCTAAGACAAACCAAGGATCATTTCTCATATTTCTCATATTGCCCTCTTCATGGCATATTGCCGCCCATCCCAATCTTGTTGGTGGTTTCCGCCCATTCCCTCAGTATTATAGAGTTATTTAATTTGGGATCATGCAAAATAGAGTTGAACATCACATGTCACAAGTTGGAACCACAAAGCAGTGATTGTATCCAAATCGCCCCTTGCCATTTAGACATGTCATCTGAATCTTTTGTTACAGCTGTATGTGGTCCCCAAATACCAATATGCTAGCAGCAACACCACATTTGGTTCCAGGTGTCCCCGAAAGATGGCAACTTCCCATAATTTCTAGTATGTTGATCGTTTTTTACTGTTGCATCTTTTTTGGGGACCCCAAAACTACTGAGGTGACCCCAATATTATTAGTGATATCATTGATATTCCGGTGACAACCTTTGCTCTCAAGTCTCTCTCTCTCTCTCTTTTTGGATTCTTGCTGGGCGTGTTCGCAGCTTCGTTGGTTGCAGTACTACAAGTACTACAGTATATATATAATTATATATATATATAATTATAGAATTATATATATATATATCTTCACTTTGGTGCTTCTCTTCAAGGCGTTTTTTTCTGGTTGTATCAATCATACCCCAAGTTCTGCTGGTGATCCCTTGTAGATGTAAATTTGATCCTCAGCTTTGCTGGTCATGTGACATGCCCACTATCCGGTGGTAAATGTCAGGTTAGCTCCTGTTCAAGTGCTCATGTTTTATTCGTCCTTTTTGCATCTGCTACATGCTCGTTTTGGTTGACCAAAAATATCTACTCTATACCTTGATATATCCTTGATATATCCTCAAACCCATTGACAGTCACCCTTGGAATCGTCTCATTTTGGGAAAGGCTCCCTGACATCCACTGCTATGACTATCGGGATGCCGCCAGGCAACTCAAAAAGTTGTTTGTCCTGGCCGATGGATCAGTGACCCACGCTGTGTTAGCTTCTGATTGGGAGAACACATGACAAATAGGAGATAGTTTGGAACCCAGAGGATTTCACCAACAAACAACTGGGAGTTCACATGAGAAATGTGGACTGAACTGACAAACATGGAGATTTAACTTTATTTATCTTTATTTGATCTTCAACAGGTGGAAGCAAAGGAACAATGAAAACCAAAACATGGGCATGATGATAAACCCATGGAACAGTGGGGCATAGGGATACGCCCATGGTTCTGCGGTCAGCCTATTAAAACTGGAATATGATAGAATATTCATGATTCAGCCACACTAGGCATTTCTGGTGGATCCACGTGGGGCTGATGAAGCACCTGCCATAGCGAGATAGGGATTGAATCCATAAAATAACATGACTTCAAAATGATAAACAACATATATCTGGCTGGCGGTTGAATTGTCCCAAGGATACTACTCGATTGAGATCCCAGCCAGGCTGGAAAATACATCACCATTGAACCCACCAATCAGGTATGACATGGTTCACTACCGACACTTGCAACCAACCTTAAAAACTGTTGAAATTTTAAATGCCATCCCCCGCCTAAACACTTTAAATTTATGGTTGGCAGTCAAACACAACTCTGTTGAACATATAAATGTCAACTTGGGATAGTTGTCCCTGGATTAGGGGAATGAAAGGAACACAAATGTAAATTGTTGATTAAAAACACAGGCAGTTTTGTTTGTGGGTTTTAGTCATTGTTTGTGGTTCACATCTTTTTAGTTTCCTCTCTTAAATCCTGTCACATTTCTATCGGGTTTGTCTGAAATTGCCATTTGGGTATCCCGTGCCATTGGACAAAGCAATGGTGGCAGCTCACACATGGACAACCGTAGTTAGTGCAAATCCCTGCAACAACTTTTTGTTCAGCCGGTTAGGATATTCCTTATTCCTCCATCACAAAAACATGCATCCACTAACCTATCTAACCAGTCATATACACCTGCAATAAACTCCATTAGGTTAGCTCTGAGTATATCAGCATATCTCTCCATAAAAATCATGCATTCATATATATATATATACACACATATATATATATATATTATACAGTATATTTATATATTTATATATACCATTCCACTAGCTTTATCCAGCTCGGTCCCCAGTTTTGCAGCTTCCACCGAAACCTCTGAGCAGCACACCTTGGCACGCGAGGTCTTCACTTCCACGTAAGCGTCGACCTCACCGTTGCCGTCCTGGACCAAGGTTTGGGCACCTACCTGCAGATTGAAGTGGTTGAACCATGTTGAACCATCAAAACTCTATTTGAAACATAATTTAATTGAGTGAACCTGCACCGCTAGGGATTTACATTATCGGGATTTACACTATATACTGTACATATGTAGAAGTACAGCGAAAACAATATTTAGACAATGCCCCGCAGAAAAACATGCGGAAGGGGGGAAAGGTTTGGGCACTATGTAAGTGCTTGTCCATATTTTTCCTACATTCACCAGGGCTTCATCCAGTCTTTTGTCAATGTCTCGCTAAGTGTGCCTGGACATTTCACAAAGTTTCGCTTGAACAATTAAGACAAAAACATGAACCCTCATCATCCTCATCGACCTCCTCATCATCATGGAATTCACGCAGATCTTGCAGAACACTGAGAATAACACAGAACAGGATCCCAGCAAATGACGGAACCATATTTCCCGGTCCTACTTTTGGAAAACCACTCTGAACCTATCATCGTCCATGCTACTGTATGTTTCCTGACGTTTCACGGTGATGCCACCCTGGTCCAATGTAAGCATCTGTGGGGGGTTAGTTGCCAAGATCTCATCCTCACATTTAAACTTGATGCATCATGGTGGTTCACAGCATCAATCAGGCAGTGTGCAATCTCTATATAGTTGTTGTGTCTTTTGTTGCTTCAAGCGGGCTTCGCATTCCGCAAAGTCGAGCTTTCTGACGGGCGCGCTGTCAAGCAAACATACATGCGATTGAATTATTTCACATCTCCCCATTTCCCAATGCCATCCACATGAACATCTCTTCAAACATCCCGTGAATTAAGCTGCCAAGAATATATAAGAGGATTTAGCTAGATCCAATCAGCCAAAACATGGATTTAATCAGAATTTCTGGAACCTATTCCAACCCCCACATGTGCCAGTCCCATGATTTACCATATCCTCGATCCGCAAGTCGTATTGGAAACCCGTTTCTTCAATCTCGTTGACCCAAAGCACACGCCTGGGAGCGACTGCTTTGGATCCCTTTTGTCTCATGAACCATCATGAACCATAACTGACTGGAAAAATGGCAGGAATGTTTTATAATGTACATGAATGTATATGAATGTATGACATGCATCTGTCAACGGATGGAAAAAAACAAAATGAACCAGGCTGGTTCAAAAGGCAGGATCTGGGGAAAACCACATAGTTGGGGTTTTCATGTTTTTATTTTACGTGGAGTTGGAAACTTGAAACCATTTCATGAGCGTCCCCATCAGCACCCGTCCCGTCTGGGCATCCCAAACTTTCCAGCATCCTGTGAGGGTTCAGTCTGACAGTCTGAGCCTACCAAGCTAATCTATTTTGGATAGTGATAGGCTCCAGTTGTGGATTGGGATGGATTGGATATATTTCGGTATATGTTATTTAATAGTACTCAAGTTCTCAATCATTCTGCCGATTTTAGCAAAACATATGCAAAAAGTGTGATCGGTGCCTGGATAAATTGTACTACAGCACTGATCCCAACAAAAAGTTGTTGAATACCTATCCCCAACTAGGGTTGATCATTGATACAAGAGTCAAACCGGCTTCGAGTCCTAGCACTAGAACATCATGGAACATGACTATGACTAATTCTTTAGGTTCTGACAAGCTGGGACTTCCCAGTGCTTTTTTTGATTCAGCAGCTGACAAAGGTAAGATGTAATCAGTGGTGTTATTATTGGGTAGCTGGGGTCTAAGATTTTCAATCACCAACTTCTCCGGATTCTTTCTACTAGCTGGTGGGGGTAGGATTCTTTAATGAATCAGGAAACCTGTCCCAACTGATGTGACCCCTTTGGTGGTTGAGACTTTTGTATAAAATATGCTTGACACTTGGCAGCATTTGTCAAAATTGAAAGAACATCAAAACAGCCGGTACATGCCGACACAATTCGTTCCAATAAGAATGGTATCAAAGGCTGCGACGCGCCTCCACTGTTCCATCCATGTCTTGGAACTTCCTACTGAAAAAGCATTGACAATGGTGACAAGATGGACCCCGTGTCAACATGCCTCTGACTCCAACTTTTGCTTCAAGTAATGGTACACAAACCTGGGACGCTGCTACAAAACTGTTTGCAAATAAAGACGGAGGGTCGGGGGCCATCGTGGACAAGGAATGATGGCAGGTGGCTGGCAACCTAGAAATGGTTGGTTGAACTATGTATTAGAAATCGGGTTTTATGATGGTTTTATATGGTTTATGTAGTCCTTTAGAAAATGTGAGACACGTGTGTAATCAATGTGATAAATCAAATAGGACCTAGAACCCCTGCAGTTGGGGGATGGTTTATACCACCCATTTCTGGTGCGTACGTCTGATCTTTTAGCTTATGTTCTGTTTTCCCAATATTTACATGCCCTACTTTTTTGTTATTCATAAACAATCAGTATCCGCACTGCGTCTGCTGTCAAGCGTCTTATCACCAATATCTCGGCCTATTCTGTGGCTTTCCAGGATGTTCACCCGTCAGCAATACCAAAGCCCGTCTAGCAGCTGGAGTGGTAAATGCACACCCACAAAGAGATTTTGGTCTATATCATACTCCTGCAAAGGAACGCTTGTGAATTTGAATATGGGCAGTTGCGGATATTTCGACCTTGAGCAAGCCATCGCGTGGATTTAAAGCAATTCTTGCCAAGACAAGGGAAATCGTCACATAGTCTTTGTGATGAGTATGAACAAGAGGTACAAATCAACCGATAGAAATGTTCCTTTCAAGTATCAAATTGCCCCGTTTAGATATAGAATGTAAACGCTAAATCAGTTTGAGCCACACCGCATCGATGTGCTTCTGATATCGTTCCTGAAAGCACGAAAGTAACTTCAATTTCTTGAGCCCCACCCAAGTTCACCCGCAGGCCACTAATTTGCAGACAGCAACTAATATTGCTGCCAAAATCTCCATCTTTTGCAATAATCTATACTCAATGTTTGCTGGCTATATCACATATATAATATGTGTATACATAATATACATATATATATATATATGTATATGTATATCATTACATATCAATATCCATTTCGCTGGTGAAATCCTTAAGGTTTATATAGTACTTGTCGGTTCAACCGGACCAAGCTGTTGTGATTTCCCCTGCATCCAGGGTGCTGCTCACCCCAGCGTCCCACTTTTTCTCGCTCCTGGCCAAGCGGAGCTCTGCTGGAAGCAAAGCAGTTTTTAAAGA